TGTGTTAAAAAAATAAAAATATATTAAAATAAAATAAATAAATAAAAAAGTAAGCATGTGTGTGTGTTAAAAAATCAAAATATATTAAACATTTAATTCAAATAAATAAATAAAACAGTAAGCGTGTGTGTGTGTGTGTGTGTGTGTGTGTGTGTGTTAAAAAAATCAAAATATATCAAAAATTTAAATTAAATAAATAAATTGCCAGCAACAGGTTTTGTGTTTTTTAGTCAAACATCTCAACAGCTATTTGATGGATTGTCGTGAATTTGAATTTTCCCCTTATAATGAATTTACTTTCAGCTGTCAAGAGTTTTAAACACAATGCACTTTGTATGTCTGTGGGCTTTTAGCATGCACACCAATGTAGTAGGTCCAGATTTTGCTGCATTAGCCTCACATTGCTTTGAGGGAAAAAATTGCAATGATGACGTGACCCTGCACAGGAAAACCCATGACACATATATAAAACTAACACCGGAAATACATAATTTATTTGATTGTTTTCAAAAGATGATTATAAAATGAATCCAGGCTGACTACAGCTACTGTCATCTCTAGAACGTCAAGCCACAAGCCAACAGATGGTGTTTGAAGCTCAAAATATATTTTTTTGATGGAGTTTTCCTTTAAATTAGCACATAAACACTTGCTTAAATAGTTGCACAAGCTAAAAGCTGAAGTGCATGGAAAAGTGCAAGAGAGCCTGTCGGGCAGCTACATGTTGAGGCTTACAGCAGAACAGACAGCAGCCGAGGAGATGAAGGAACGAAAGACAAGAGCTTTCTTTTTGTCCTCCTGCTTTGTTGTCCGAATTCAACCAGAAGAACAATAATCCAGCCAAGCCATGAGATAAAAGGTGTGTTTAGTGAGAGGAGGGAGGAAGTGAAAGGGTTACAGGGTTTAAAAGGTCTTTTATATATATATTTTTATCATCCACTTTTCTGCAGTTAGTGTGTGTGTGTGTGTGCTGTCATTCATATAACCTTACAATCTATAAGTCTGTTTTTCTGCAATCCAAACTGTTGACATCAGAGAAAATAAAACAGAGAAAAGGACTCAGAGAGATGGAGAGATTGGTGAGTGATGAGAGAAAGAGTGAAAGGACCAGATAGTCAGGTCTCATTCTTTAGACTGCCCTCCCTCCCTCCCTCCCTCACCCTCCCTCCCTCCCTCCCTCACCCTCCCTCCTTCCCTCCCTCACCCTCCTTCTCCTCCTTCTGTCACTCCGCTTTCTCCCCTTATTGTCACTCGGCTCCTGCCTGAAAACAGGGGGGATTCCTCCTGTCAGCAGGGGGGATGTGGAGGAGAAAGCTGCAGATTAGCAGGACTAGAGCCTCACGCAGGAACAGCACGGCTCTGTAAGTCCACATAGCCTCTGCGGGGCGCCTTCAATGGTGTTTGTATTTTGACTAAATTATAGTAAAGTCTGGTTTGTGTGAGGATACAATCTGAGGGGATGAGTTGTCTGTGTTGTTCAGGGAGTGAGGTAAGGCAGACTATGTTGGTTTGGGGTTTGTTGGCTGTTGATAAATACTTTACAATAACAAATGCTTAATATTATTATAAACCATTCATTTTATATTTAAAAATCCTGTGTGTCACCAAACTACATACTTTTGTAGTAATTATAAAGAAAGTATGATATAATTATTTTATGCTTCCTGCTGACAAATTTCACATTTTTAATGTTCAGCTGTTTGTGATATTTCATTGTAAACTGAATATCTTTGGGTTTTTGACTGTTTGTCAAAAAACAAGATCTTTTAAGATGTCACATTGAGCTCAGTTTTATAAACTAACATTTAATAGATTAATCAGAAAAAAACGATGAATTGATTATAAAAATAATCATTAGTTGCCCCCTTATACTCTTGATTACATTAACTGTGTATTTTTTCTTTCCCGGGAAAGTACCTTGAAAACGATTAGGTAATCACAGACTGGTAAAATAAAGATGCTCCAGATGCTCTTCAGCATTATTATTTTATTTAGGGTAAGTCCATCAATCAGTGACTGGAAGGACCTTTAATGAAGCCACTAAAATCTTTGCAAAGGGTAGCTTATTAGAAAATCATACCTTTGTTTTTCTTACTGTTCATTGCATTGCACAATTTGAAACAGAACACTTCCTCTCTATTCAGAACTTCTTCTACCTGTTTAACGAGACGTTTGTACCTCCAGGGCTCAGGAAGAAGTCCAGGTGATCCACACTTGTGCCTGGCGTTTATTAAGCTGTTGACAGGAGACAGACAAAAAATTATAGTTTTTTGTTGTGCACAGACAATCAGAAGTTTCAGGGATGAGTGTTAGTGACCAAAAGTCACTAACAGTGTTAGTGACTTTTGGTCTAAGAGCATGACTTCCAGAAATGCTCTGCCTTGTTAGCTGTTTAGGGTGAGAACAGATGATAAATCACTGCACATGTATATTAATCTCTGAAATCAGTGGTTGAAAATGATACACCACATATTTTGTTGCCATATGCTCTGATTTTACACCCAATAACCTGGTTGATTTCTGTGTCTGAAACCAGAGTTCGCTTGTGTCTTTTGACTCTGAAGACAAATGGCAATAAAGAGAATCTTAACGCTTAGATGCATTTAGGGAAAGCGAGGCCAGATTGCATTCTGATGTTTAATCAGTGTGAACAGAGCCTTTTCTGTAGCTTTGTGTTTTTAGTTTTAATGTTGCTGGCTCTGGTTTTTGCTCTCTGCTGAGCTATGTCATTGTCCTACTCTGAATGTCTGTGTTGTTAATTGTTTAACCTGCTGCTGCTACAACTACTGTAATGCATCTTGACTGGGAGAGAAGACGCTGTTTTTCATCTGCTGTGCTTGGACTAAATGTGAGCAGGGACCACACTAGAGATTAAGGCTTAGAGCTGCAACGATTAGTCGATTTAATCAATTAGTAAATTAACTAAATAAATCGACAACTATTTTTATTATTTAGAATGGATTTTCGAGCAAAAGCACCAAACATTTGTTGTTTTCGCCTTCTTAAATGTGAGTATTTCATCTGTGTCATAAGTGAAAGCAAACTACGTATCTTTAGCTTTTGCACTGTTGGTCAAATAAAGTAAGCAATTTGAATGCATCGCCTCGGGCTGTTGGAAATATAGCGGGCATGTTTCACAATTTATGACATTTTATTGACAAAACAATGAATTGATTAAATAATCCCATTGAAGTATATCACCAGGCTGTCACACATTACAGGGGTTTATCTTTTTGCCTGAAACTCAAGCTTATATATATTTACCTCATATCAACCTCTGTAATTGTACTTTAATTACTTAATACTGAGTTTATGTTTCTTCATATTGAAATTATACTACTTCTACTTCTGTTTACTGTGTATATTATATACCTGTCCTGGAACAAGAGGGAGGATCCCTCCTCTGTTTGCTCTTTTTTGTTTTTCCTCCATTTTTCCTTTTTCCAATCACGTTTCTAAAGATAGAGGGTGCTGAATGTTGTACAATCACATGAAAGTGATGTATGGAACCTCCCAGATATGGTAGATATGAATATCAATATAAAAAATATTGATGTAAAAATCTGTGCAAGTAGATTATTAACCAGATGCACAGATTGGCAAACCATGCCTGTGGGTTCAATTTCATGACTTCAGCCCTTTCAGATGCAAGCTACGAGGAGGGTGCACTAATTTATCATTTGATAGTTTTATTATTTATTATCAACATGTACATTATCGTCAGCTATTTTCTTAGCAGAAATGACTGAAGATAGATTGTGCCCCTCGTGGTTTACATCCCATGGGGCTGTTTTAATAAAGCACAATTTATCAATCCGTTCTCTTGGCTTATTAATCCTTTCGCACAGAACTGTATCACATGACCCCTCGAAGGGCTTTGTAGTCTGTAGCCCTGTATATAAATACAGTAAAATTGACTATAGAGAATAAAAGGTTTCAGCAGTTTAAAACGCCAACGTTCCTTTAGAACCGACAATCCTGTTCATAAATACTGTACGTTAATAAATACCTATACTGATGATTATAGCTGCGTAAAACTACATTATAGTGTGTTATAAAGCATTTATGAAATGTTTATATATGCTAATAGGGGGAGTACATTTTTAATGAATGAGCTACAGGATGTACTTTGGTAGGGAAAATATGAAGTTTGTTGAAAGATATATAGAAAAATGTGTGTTTTTCCTGTAAATGGTAATAGGAAAAGGAAATAAGAAAAGATAGACATTTCTAAAAGTGTTGGCTATTAGAGAAGCACAATACACAATGAGTGCTTGATGCTTTTGCACCACGTTGGATCCAAGTATTACTGTAATATTCTCTGAACACTCCAGGCAACATTTTTCTCCAGAGTACATCTTGTACCGTCAAGCTGTCAATGTCCATCGTTGCTGAAGGCAGCGACAGAGTCGATCAACGATGCTGTAACGCGCCTTAATGTCTGGACACGACTCACAGTCAGTTTTCCAGAAGATAGCCTAAAGGAACTGATAATCTAATAAATGACACCGAAGACTTTTGGGTTTGTGTCATAAGAAATGTTTTATTTAGATTGTCTGGAAATGAATCAACTATCTTTCTCGTATTTTCATCTAATAGAGTGAGGTTTTGTAATATTTAAGCAAATGGCAGTTAATCTATCAGCCGGTCATGGCTCTGTATCGTAGTGCATAGTGAGATTATTTAACCCTTAACTATCTTGATTTATGTTCCCTCACTTTTACTAAAAATCCAAGTCAAGGCAATTGTATTTTTTGACAGATCTGCCTCAGAGGGCTTTACGAAGTGTCACAAGAAAAATCAACATTCCTGTGAAATGATTAGCTCCAGGCTGCAACGGCAATATTATTTATTACATGCACAGAAATTCAGCAAGTAATTACATTGATTGAGCGGTATATGTGTATGTTGCCCCAGTTCCCACGATAACAAGTTTTGTAATTTAGCAATTTCCCCCTCGACTCTAACAGCCTCCTTTTTTTTCTTCTTCTCTCTTCCAGGGCTGAAAAAACAGAAGTACTAAGTGATGACCTTCTACAGGTATGAATCAAGTGTTTGTGTGCATGCCATTCCTCAGTATCTTCCTGGAGGATGTTTGCTGCCTCTCACAGGAAACAATATCATTGGTGCAAAGCATTCAGTGTGCATTAAATTACTTTTTCAAATTACTTCAGGCAACATTAATGAGCGCTGAAATTGAACCTCTTTGTGAGAAAAAGGCTGAACGTCCCCACTGACTGACTCCGGGTGCAGCCCCGTAATTGATCTGATTAATTCCACCCTCAGTGGCAGCGACATCAGTTCCACTGAGTTGGTTTAATAATGAAATGAGAGGCGTTTAAACCTGACATGCAATGGTCTCCGACTCAAAAGAACTTTGTTTTGATGCCAATAATTATGTATAGATATTTGTCCCCGTGGGGAAAAAGGTTTGCAGCACAATCACAAAGCATCACAGAAGTCACCACTAGACATACACGTACTGATACATGCACACATGCGAGGGGATAAGGTGCAAGTGCATTACCTTTTTAAGATCTTAATGGCTTGTAGAACAAATGAAAACTATAAAAGTACAGTTTGTTGTGTCTTATGAGGTCAGTCCACAGGTCCAATTTAAACTTATGGTTAACCACAATGCCAAGTATTTTTAGAGACAGCTGCAGAGCTGTTCTATTTTTCATTAGACTTTATACTAGGTCGGGGCTTTAAGTGCCTGCATGTGCATGTCTGTAACTGCCAATGGGGATCTCCCAAAACTGACGCAATCTGTGTGTAAGGCGAGTGGAATGTGCATTTGCAGAGTAAGTGTGTGTGTGTGTCTGTTATCCACCACTCACCGAGGCCTGTCCCGTGTCTTTTCTTTCTTGTCAGGTGGAGAAACGTCTGGAGCTGGTCAAGCAGGTTTCCCACAGCACACACAAGAAGTTGACCGCCTGTCTGCAGGGCCAGCAGGGCGTGGATGTGGAAAAGAAGTCTGTCAGGTCACCCTCGGTGAGAAGCAACCCAGACTCAGGGGGGAAGAATCAATCCAAGAACATGTTAATAATAATATTACTGAAGTGCCGGGAGTATATGAGGCTGAGGAGAAGTGAGAACACCATGCAAATCTCTTATTTACATATCTCCTTCATCACAATTTATTAAACTAATGGAGAATATCTAACAGTTTGAGAGAATAAAAGGACAGATTTTTCCTTCAACTCCTTCATGTGTATGTGTACAGATTGTGTGTGTCTTTGTGTGTGTGTGTGTGTGTGCTGCAGCATGGCTGTTTGTGCACGATTCATTTCATTTGTTAATTGCAGTTTTGTTTTTAGTGTTGAATGACACATTCAGCAGACTGCGATGGGTGATTCATCGATTGTGATATGTGTTCCTGTTTCTGTGCAGAAGAAGCTTCCTCTCACAACACTAGCACAATGTATGGTGGAGGGGGCGGCTGTGCTCGGCGACGAGTCTCTACTAGGGTGAGTGCACACACACACACACACACAGTAATTTACATTATCATTGATTATCAGTAACATTGGCTGTGTTTTCCCTTTCTAAGCGCTGGCATGGAAAGGGATGTTTTCATGACCCAGTGACCCTGAACTGATTTTCCAGAATACAGTCAGATGAGGACAAACTGCGAAATGTTCTATTTCTTTTCTACTTAGTGTGACCTTTAAATAACCAGGGAAGCCTCATTATACAGTGGCCCTGAGAGCTCAATGCACTGCAACTTAAGAAAACACATGCAAGTAAACAAAACACAAGCAAATTTTTTTAATATGTTGATTAGCAACGTTTGCAACTGTCACAAAATAATTTTCCTTCGGGGATCAATAAAGTATTTCTGATTTCTGATTTCAATGTAGAAAGCATGTTAATTAACTTGATGACACAGCTTTAAGGAAAAAAAAGCTTTGCAAAGTGGGAAAACACAACCAAATACAGAAACACGCTGCACACACAAGAGTTACAAAATACTTTGATTCACTAAATGAAATGAGCTAAAAATGTAAGCTTTAACATTATCATTGCATGATTCAGATATTATGTGCCATTATTTTAATTGGGATGCTAATAACCAGCAAAACATGTGTCATAAACATTAAATATTTAGTTTTTGAATCAAACTCATGGATGGTATTTTGTCTCCGGGCTCTTTGGATCACTGAAATCAATCTCAGACACCTGTGATTATTAGTTTGCCAGGTGAGCCCAATCGAAAATATTAGATATTTCACGAAAACTTAAGTGTGATCATCGTACTGATTTGTGGCTGATTCAGAGCCGAGACGGGTTTGTGCAGGTAAAGGCATAATGAGGAAGGATGCTGCCAGACAAAATCATCGGCTTAAGAGAGCAGCTGCTAAACTGCCATTACAAAGCAGCGAACAGGTATTTGAAGCTGCCGGTGCCTCTGGAGTCTTGCGAACCTCAAGGCGTAGGATCCTCCAGAGGCTTGCAGTTGTGCATAAACCTAATATTCGGCCATCCCTTACCAATGCTCAGAAGCAGAAACGGTTGCAGTGGGCCCAGAAATACATGAAGACTAATTTTCAAACAGTCCTGTTTACTGATGAGTGCCGTGCAACCCTGGATGGTCCAGATGGATGGAGAAGTGGATGGATGGATGGAGAAGTGGATGGCCACCATATCCCAATAAGGCTGCGACGTCAGCAAGGAGGTGGCGGAGTCATGTTTTGGGCCTGAATCATGGGGAGAGAGCAGGTAGGCCCCTTTAGGGTCCCTGAAGGTGTGAAAATGACCTCAGCAAAGTATATAGAGTTTCTGACTGACCACTTTCTTCCATGGTACAAAAAGAAGAACCGTGCCTTCCTTAGCAAAATCATCTTGATGCATGACAATGCACCATCTCATGCTGCAAAGAATACCTCTGTGTCATTAGCTGCTGGAGAGAAGTTCATGGTGTGGCCCACATCCTCCCCTGACCTCAACCCTATTGAAAACCTTTAGAGCATCTTCAAGCAAAAGATCTATGAGGGTGGGAGGCAGTTCGCAGCACAGCAGCTCTGGGAGCAAAGACATTCAAGCAGAAACTCTGCATAAACTCACAAGTTCAATGGATGCAAGAATTGCGAAGGTGATATCAAAGATGTCCTATTTTAACATGTAACTTGCCCTGTTAAGATGTGTTTGATTGAAATAGCTTTTGATTTCAGTAAAAATTACCACCTAATGCTGCAAGTTCAACAAATTACTATTTTCAGTTCTTTACAACCTATAAAATGTTTTTGCAACTCTGTTGTGCATAATAATTTGGAACAGTGTATTTTGCATTTTTTTTATTTTTGAAAAAATAAAACAAACCATTGGGTGATTTGTTAAATGAAATTTCGAGTTATACCCAAACTGTATGACTTGACTGTCATTTGTATTGACTAATTAGGAAAATCAGTGTAAAATATAATTTGCATAATAATTTGGAACGCAGTGTAAAAATCATGTTACTTGCATTGTTCGCTCATTTCCATTCACAAATTAATTAAACAGTTTGTAACTGATTTCCATTGTGTTTTGTGTGGCTTGTAGCATTTCAGTATTTGGTTGTGTTTTCTCACTATGCTGCACTTTCTCTAACCGCTTATGTCGAACTGAGGAAGCTGTTTTCTTAACTTTTTTAAAAATTTTATTTCCTTGTGTTTTGTCTAGTTTTCATGAGTTCTTAAGTTGCAGTGTGTTGAGCTCTCAGAGCCAACAGGTCAAATACAGGTGACGTCTGGATGACAATTAAAAAAAGTCTATGGAATAAATTCATCTCTGTGTTTTTATTTCTGAAAGAGAAAAATACAGGAAGTAAAAATGTCTTATGTGCTCATGTTGATGTCAAGCTATGTTTATATCCACCACTGTAGTGAATTAGACTGTACTACATCACCTTGCTGCTTTAATGCATACAGTAAATGTAAAGACATCACTGTTGTTTATTACAGAGTTTTAAAAGAAAGTACATAGATATATTCAGAAAACAAAACATGTAAAAGACATTGCATTATTCAGGAGAGCTGTGGTAGTGACAACCTCAGAGACCTACATTTCACATTGTGACGCATGCTCTTTGTTTGATCACCCCCAACTGTTCATGGATGTTTCCTGGTCCTGTTGTCTGTTGCAGGAAGATGCTGAAGCTCTGCGGCGACACGCAGGACAAACTCGCTCAGGAGCTCATTTTGTTCGAGCTCACCATCGAGAGAGACGTCATCGAGCCTCTCTACGACCTTGCAGAGGTACAGAAACGACACTGTGTGATGACAGAGAATAAAAAACACAATGCACTCACAGACAACACATTTCGGTAACTCAATGAAGAACAGAAACAAAAAGTAGTTAGTACAAGTAAAACAAGACAATAAACTGAGAAAGGGGCACAAAGTATAAATAAAATAACACATAAATACACAGGGTAACACATTTTCAGTATTAGAATAGTTGGAATATTCACTTCTTGTTGTGATAACGAAAAAGGAAAACAAGAGAACGTTCCCACAATAAAATGAAGAAAAGTACCTGCTTTATTTTTAGACTTACTGACAGTAGTTATCATCCACGAGTCCCATTTTTTTTAAGTTCAACTGCTCCAATCCCACTTTATGTATAAAGCACATTTAAAAACACCCAGGTTGACCAAAGTGCTGTACATTGACATGAATCCATCCATTAATAAATAAATAAATAACAAATATGACCATAAAATAACAACAACATACAACTCTCAAACTGGGTTAAACGCCAAGGAGTAAAGGTGACTTTTTAGTGTGCTGGGGGCCAGCCTGACATGAAGAGGCAATTCATTTCACAGTCTCGGGGCCACAACTGAGAACCTGAATACCTTCAAAACACCCTCTTTGGTTTTTTGTATATTAAAAAAAAAAAATACAACACATGAGTCTGACCATTTTAAAACATGGGGGCAAAACAAGAGAAATAGTTGTTTTTAACCCATTAAAAGGAATAAGGCAAACCTGCACTTTAATCTCTCTGTTGAAAAGCACGGCTTTTCAGCATGGCAGCACACCTACATGAGCCTTATACAGGATGCACTGTACAATAGACTCATTCTGATTGCTCTGTAATTATCCAGTAAACGAATCTTCATGAGACCAAGGAACAGATGCAAAGCCTCTGACAATACTGAGTCTGTCTCTCGTCCTCTTTCACATCAACAAACAACAGACTGAAGGAAAAACTCTCTGTCCTCTCAGGTGGAAATCCCAAATATCCAGAAACAAAGGAAACATTTAGCAAAACTGGTCCTGGACATGGACTCTGCACGCACACGGTGAGTCTGTTACTATGTGTGACTTTATTTTGTGTTGTGAGAGAGAGACTTGGATGTGATCTGAGAAACTCCATCCCCATGTGAATTGACTGGTCCTGAAGCTTCCCAGTGAATATAATTGAGATTTGATTGCACACAGTGAAGTTGTAACCACCGTGTGTCTGGACTAGCCAGCACTCCTCACACTACAGTCTGCTGTCAGAGTGTGAAAACCTTACTTAATGCCAGTTTCATTGGAACGTTTTTGGCTTAAAGTTTTGGCTGAAAGGCTCGTGATACATTGACAACAGTACGCCTACTCTCAGTGGAACATATCAACATATAAACCTTAAAAAGGGGAGCACAAACATTACATACACTCTCACAGCTGGTCACTGTAGATTTTATCAAACAAACAGGAGGAAATAGTGCATTTCTTGAGGGCTATTTTCAGCGGCGGATGAATCTACATGTTGTGCTCTAGTGAGTATTTGGGGCAGCAGGACGGTGTGTGTGGGACTGAGTCAAAATAAACTGCAGTGTGTGTGTTTATAGTGATGAAGGAACATGTCACCCAGTGCAACAGTGAGGCCCATTGATTTGTTTTAATTAGTTTTTGGACAACAATGGAGCTCTGCGGCACAGAGGATCTTGCTTACAATACTTGTTAGTAGATCAATCTGTGCTGATTTCTTGTTAATGACCCCTCAAGGCCTAAATAATTATTTTAACATTTATGTGTATTTCCAGTACAAAGGCAACAATTATATCATTGATTCCTGGATAGCTTTGTTGGTAAGTTGATGTTTTGAAATCTGGAAGCGAGAAGAAGAAAAAAACACTGCTTAGTGTCTTTTTATTGGACCCTCCCTGCCTGGAAAATGCCCAGATGTCTCTAAAACTCCACTTCCAAGTTTGTAAATCAGGTTTTCTGAGAGTCTACAGCCATGCTAACGTCAACATGCTCACAAAGACAAAGCTAACAGGCTGATGTTCAACCAGTTTAATGTTTACCATGTTCACAAGTACAGCTTTTGGAGGCATTTGGTCAAATTTAAATTTGTAACCCAACTAATAGCTGCTGCATATATATATATATATATATATATATATATATATATATGGACCCACATTGCCATCGATAGAGCTGCTAGCATGACTACAAATGTGTAGCCTCCGTGCCTAGTCTGGGTTTTTTTACAGGCCTCAGTTCTCCTCATGACTAGATTACTTTAATAATAATAATATCATGTTTTTTAAGGTGAATTTAATTCTGCAAATAATAAAGATTAAAAGTTCCCCGTGGAGTTTTTGACCTCTAACAACTCTAAGCAGGTACGGCCACGTACCATAAAAATCTTTATTTACAGGGCACTTTTCAAAAGCATGTTACAAAGTGCTTTCACAAGTGAAAATACAATAACACATATAAAACGGATAACAAGATAAAAGCAAAAAAAATACAGTTAAAGAAAGACGCAAAGAAATTCAGTAATGTGCCAGAAAAGAAGCAAAGAAGAAGACTGCTAGCAAACATGTAAAACAATCCGTGATTTAAAATACCTAAACAACATTTTTTATGATGAACACATTTGTTAGAGCTTCAGAATTCACACAAACTGTTTTGGTGGGAAACACTGAATGTAAGCTTTTGTTTATTTAAAAGAAAACTCCACAGGGTGTGTTTAAGTAAAGAACAATGATAACTGTAGATTATTAAAGATGATATAATGTTTTTGTGGTCTTTCTGGCTCAAAAGCTGCAAAACCTTCTGCAGCTCAACATATTTCAGTGTTGAATATGTTTAAACTTCTTTAGGACAGGTGTGAAATCCTTGACTTCGCTGGAATCATCATGTCACTGCAGATTTTGCTCCCTTCCAATCGGAAGTTTTCTAATTCGCTGAAACGTACACTTTCTTCGCCACACTTTCTTTGTGCTGCTTCACTGTCATTTTAATGTCAGGGACATGGAGAAATGTGATTTTCCTCACTGCAGTCCAGTCAGTCTGTTTTTTTTTTTTTTTTTTTTGGGTGACCCAAATCTGAGACAATTTTTCCCATCATGCTGCTGAGCTCCTCTGGCAGCGCGACATATTATCTCCACGCCGAGAGACACAACTCAGACAGAAAGTCTCAAACAGACAGGGAACAGGAGAGACAGAAAATAGCTTAAATTGAATGAATGAGGATATATAGTCTAGAGTTTTTCAGAATTTGCCATGAGTAGCTGTCAGATTTTGTTGTCAGTGATTATCACTCTGAGGAACAAAGGTTTTAAGCTGCTGAAGGAGAATTAAAAAAATTCTGTGTGGTTTAACATGCTGTGTTTATCAGTTTCAAACTTTCAGGATGTCTGCTTATTCTAACAATGTTCTAACAAAAAAGCAATGTTTTGCTGCCAGGTTTTATCAATCCACCAAGTCTTCAGGACTGTCCAGCAACCTGCAGCCAGGAGGAGCCAAGGCCGACCACCTCAGGGAAGAGATGGAGGAGGCAGCCAACCGCATGGAGATCTGTCGAGTCAGTGATCGCCTTCACAATAACTTCACTGTTTATTTCCATTATGCTATAAATTAAATGGCTTTTCTTTCAGGTAATCTTAAATGTAGGGGATCCATTTGGTTAGAACTGCTCTAATCTCGATCTCTTATCAATGGTTCAAATTACTATTTGTAATGTGAAAGAAGTGGCTTTATTTTTTATACTCGGTGGTTCTCTTCAGCTCTACGTAGCGTATTAGCATCTTTCAGCTTATTGGTTTTACTTTGTTGTCCCAACTTAACTGTTTTGGGACGCTCTCACCGTTGTTCCCTGCAGCAGCTGACAGACACAGGTAGAGACTAGCTGGTGAACATAGTGGAGCATTTACCAGCTAAGGAGCCAGATTATTTCTCATGATTTGTGGGGACCAAAGACAGAGCTAAAACAACATCAATGTGCACTTTCATGATTCTCAAAACCTACATAAAATGGATTTCAATTAAATTTCTTGGAAGGTTTAGACATTAAAGTAAATAAAGCACCATTTGCCCATAATTAGTTTTGCTTTCTTTGAGCGTTTTCCATCTTTAACTTCTCTGCCCTACACCTAAACAGCTGTTGTTTGGCTAAACACGCCCAACTCAGATAAACAGGTGTGGTGTGGAGTAAGGAGAGATGGAAAATATGAAGCGCTGGAGCTCTCCAGGACCTGCAGTGGGCACAGCTGTTAGGCTATATATTTTTATTCCACACCGTTTTCCTATGAATGTTTGCCAAATCCCTGTAGGTGCGGCCTGTTTCCCATGCGTTACTATAACTCTTTAACACATAATGGAATTGCAACTGCATTTAGACGACACATGCACCTGTCAAATCTGAGCAATCCTGCCTCTCTGAAAGACTATACATTTAAATTTTGGACAGGTCATCCTTGTGCTAAGCCCTAGTATTCACAGGATTTAGATATTATGCAAAAATCAAAATCTTGTTAATTTTGTTTCACATCCAAATACAGATAAACATGCCATGATGGAGGTGACACATTTAATTGATAACAGTTTTACCTTTTATACGGTAGCAGGAAACTCACTCACTCACTCACTCAGGTGTAACTAAAAACATTTTTGAAGACTCAGCTCTATTAAGTGTCCTAGTGAGCTAGCATGCACAATCCAGGACCCAAGAGCCTGCGGCTATCATTAGTGTAATTAATTTCACCTGTGCATTTCCTACTATAAAAAAATTTCTGCATTGAAAAGGGTCCTTAAAACACATGTTTTATGTTTGTATAATAGTATTCTGCCTTCCTCACTGCTCATGTTTAAATGTTATAAATGTTATTTTTCCCCAGGATCAGTTATCAGCAGACATGTACAGTTTTGTGGCCAAAGAAATTGACTATGCAAGCTACTTCCAGACAGTAAGTACATCTCTCCAGACTGTGGCATTAATGAAGGAACAATAATATTTTGCTTGTCCATCAGCAGACTCTCTGATCTCTTTCTGTCTCGTCTAGCTGATAGAAGTCCAGGCGGAGTACCACAGGAAGTCATTAGAGCTGCTTCAAAGTGTTCTGCCTCAGATCAAAGCTCATCAGGGTGAGTTTGAGACCAGCAGACAAAGAGACGAACACTCATGATGCAGTCTTTTTTTGTGTGTTATCGTTTTCCTTCACTTACTGCATCCTTTGGCTCTGCCGCAGTTCACATCACAATGAGAACCTGTCCAAATGCATTTGCATGTGTTTATGATTGCTTGGAAACTATTTGTGTTCCTGTTGTGGGAATTTACTTGTGTAATTACATTTTCAATGCCCTATGTGTAGGTTCTCAGCATTAGAATAAATACGGTCAATGCAAGTGAAAGGTGGACCTTGTCTGTACTTCCTCAGCCAACATGTTGGTTTTTTTTTAGGTTAAAGCACCTAAAAACTTGGTTTCAGATCTGAAGTTTTTGTCTATAGCATTAAATATTTGTGACTAAATAAGCAACAAAGTTATTTTATCACAGCAGCTTATTTTATCACATCAGGCCTGTGGATCCTTTGTTCTTGTAGGCTACCTGTGCAGGTGCAGGGCTGTGCTCAGTTCTATATGCCCGGCGAGAATTGTATGCACCTCAAAGTGCTGTTTGAAAACAATATCTTCTTTGTGGGGTTCATCAATGGTTTAAATGATTCAAAGTAGATATTTCATGAATGTTTAGTCATTACTTATTACACTTAGTAGAAGAAGCAAAAAATATGGTGATAATGTGCACAAATGTGTAGCAATTTATGCAGAACGGGTTTTACTATATGATAGTAGGCTGTGTATTATTTTAATTAAATACAGGCAAATAGAAATTATGTTGCCTTTCAGTTTGTGGTTTACGATTTACTAATGTGTGCTTTAATGGTAGCTGCCGTTGTTGTGTGACGTCGTTCAGCTGCTTCATTCTAAAGTTAGGGGTAAATATTTTTTATCTGAGTTCACAAGTAGGAACTCCGACTTCAACCGTTGTTTCATGGTACTTTTTCTAGTTGGAAGTCAGAAATTTACGAGTTGGTAGAGTTTGTCCAGGGCTGAGTCCTTATCACAACGGCCCGGGTTCGAGTTCAGCTTGTGGCCCTTTGCTGCGTTGCATCTACCCTCTCTCAATCCTATCTCCACTATCTGAAATAAAGGCCAAAAAGATCTGATTGGTCCGTATAAATATGTGACAGCACCTTTTTCCAACAGAGCCCCGCCCCCTTCGAACTAGTGAGAAGAGCACCGCCAAAACCCCCACAAATACATAAATCTCTCATGCAGAAGAACCAGTATTGAAAATAGGTTTTTGGTCCCTTTTTTAAGCTTAGCCAGAAAATATATAGAATAAGCATCTGCAGCGAATTATTCAGTGAAATTTAACCGCATCACAAAAGTAGAGTTGCTGCTGTGTTTTGTGCATGTTTGTGTAACTGTGTGTGTGTTTAACAGAGACCTGGGTGGAGAAGCCGTGCTACGGGAAACCATTAGAGGAGCACTTAGCGCTCAGCGGGAGAGATATTGCCTTTCCCATCGAGGCCTGTGTCACCATGCTGCTGGAATGTGGCATGCAGGAGGAGGTCAGACTGCACAACAAACACACTGCATCCGTCCATCTACATTACATTACAGTAATTAGACAGTAATTAGATGTTTGTTGAACGTCATAGATAATGTTTTGGTATGGCTGCAGAGAATTTCATCTGAAGCTGATGATCAAATGAAGTACTCATTATGCAGAATGGCCCCTTTCAGACTGTAAAATTATATACTGGAAAACATTACATAATTGTAGTACTTTATTATTAATGCATTATAATTGTTAATGCATTACCGTGTAAGCAGTATGATCTTGTAGCTGGTTGAGGTGGAGCTATTTTAAACTACTTGGGTGGTTGAATGTGACATATTTATTATTAGTAGTAGTAGTAGTTAATGACCAAGTACTGTAATTTATACTTCAGTAGGTTTGTCATGGTAATTTTTACTTTTACTTGAGTAAAGATTTACAATACTCTACTCACCACTGGGAGGGAGATACTGTAGCAGTGTAGTAGTTGTTATTCTTTTAGGCTGCATACAGCGTCAAACACGGTTAGGGCTGCCTACACTGACATGTCCCCCCCTGTTCCCAGTAGGAATTAGACCCGTGTATATCATTTCATGACTGTGGGAGTAAAGTGAAGTCTAACTCATGCTGACACATTTTGTGTCTCAGGGTTTGTTCAGAGTTGCTCCTTCGGCCTCCAAACTGAAGAAGTTGAAGGCGTCTTTGGACTGTGGGGTGCTAGATGTTCAGGAGTACTCGGCAGACCCACATGCCATCGCAGGTAAGCTATCTACCTTCACTTCCTCACAGAGTAAGGGGAAAATTGTTGTGGGAATGGACATCATAATAAAGCCGCTGGTCGCCTTCATCAAAGAAATTCCTACCACTTTATATGTACATATTTTATATATATTTATATTTTATGTTTATTTCTCTTGCACATATCGCTGATTCTGCTGTTGTCATTCGAAACCTCAGCAGTGAATTCTTATCAAAGGGCCACACATGAGTTAAAAGATCACTTTAGACCTGATTAGGATTCAGTTCACTTCTCGGCTGCAAGAAAAACAAAACTGTGTTTGTCCATTTCTTCTGTATATCTGCTGTTTTATTAGAGGTGTTCAATAAACAATCACAAAAATGTCTAGTGCTAAATTCCAAATCTAACCGGGATTAGTGTCAGACACATTCTTCATCTTCTGCGGAGGCTGCACCAAAAACAAGATCTCTTTTCGTGGCGTCTTTTTGTTGCTGTCACTGATTTTCTTTTAAACTAGAACCATGACAAGACTACAAAAGAAGGAAAAGCTTTCAAGCTTTTATGATGCCGTTATTGATCTCTCTCTTTTTTTATTTATATAAGGTTGGAGCTTGTTTACTGCAGCTGACTGCTGCTTCTCAGATGACACACTTGTATCTCCAAAATAACAACTTTTAAGGAGCTATAATAATAATAATAATAATTTTTACCTCACTAAAGAAGCCCTCGGGGACCTTTAAGCTGCTCCATTGTAATTATTGCTCTAATGTTATTACAACAGGAGTATTTCCCGATTTAAAAAGCAAAACAACCAGATACATTTTACCAACTGTAACACCTTTGTGGTTTACTGTCTTGTACTGTTACTAGAGTAATTGTCTATACATAGGACGCACAAAAAGAAAAGGATTCTCTAAACACAAAAACCCAATAAAAGGCAATGATTGTTTATTAAGAAGGGTTTGGAACGGGTTTAACCATTTATTAGAGGTGGGGGCCGCACACTCTACCAGAGAGACCATCAAACTTGATGCGACAGTATATCCAGATTTCAGTGAAGAAAACCTTTTTGTTAAACATTTATTTAAGTTTTGTGGAAGATATTTCTGAACGACAATTATTGGGCTTTATGCATGAACAGATTCATTCTTAAGTAGCACGTATTTTAGAGAATTTGGCATTCATCAGTTTACTCGTACTTAGTTTTCTGTTACAGTAGGCACAAACAAAATTTACGTCTGTTGTACTACAAGCCATGAACAGATAGTCGGCTTTTCTCAGAAAAAAACCCCCGTCTGTATTATCATTATTATCATGGCTTGCCAGTTTACAGAGATTTTATGATTTTATTGGTATATTTCAGAATAGCAACTTCTACATTTCAGTTGTAGAAAATTATAAAGACCCTTTATACAGGTATCTGTCAAGTATCGTCCTCTGTTGCACCCGGCAGTTTAACTTTACTTACTGTAGGTTATAATAATCTCTTGTCTAATATCTCTGTGTTCTGTTAGTTGCTTTAGAAAGACTTTTCTTAGTATCTAACTTCATGTCAAACCATTCCTTCTTTATTCCACTCATATTACAGCTGTCATTGACACATAATCAACAGCGGTACAATATTTTCTTTTCTAATTGCTTGGAAAACATTCTAATCTTCAAATAAAGCTAAATTTATGTTTTTGTCTGCTGTGCAGAACTTAAAGCTCAGCGCTGTGAAGTTTCCTTATTTTAACTCTTTGGTAGCATTTTTTGTGAATGAAACTTTCTCACAAACAGAACAGGAAGCTTTACGTGGCAATTTTAGGGTCGCCAATCATGCTAATGATCAGACCTTATGAACGAGCACTTCCTCATGAAGAGGTGGAATTCATCAGGGTAAAACAAGTGATTTACATTTAGATTTTGCATCCTGAATGAATGCATGACAGTTTCTATTTGAACGCTGGTAAAAGTTGAAACTGGTTTCAAGAACAAGCCGACTCCACGTACAGTACTCCTGCTCCTCTACATGTGAGTGCAAATGTGCATGAAAACCACTAAAGCTGGTGATGGCGCATAGATAAGATGCTTGCCTTTGGTGTGGGAGATTCCCCCTGTGAGACATCCACCATTGTGTCCCTGAGTAAGACACTTAACCCCTAGTTGCTCCAGAGGCGTGCGACCTCTGACATGTATAGCAATTGTAAGTCGCTTTGGATAAAAGCGTCAGCTGAATCAATAAATGTAAATGTCAGCTGTCTACTGGAGCATGTGGAGTAGGAGAGAGATGGATCTTAGTTGAGGCCATATCCCTGTCTAATGATCCCAAATTAAACTGGGTTAGCTCTAACAGCAAATCTAATTTGTGAGCCTGTCCCATTGGGGGTGGTGGCCAGTGGTTCATCTCACATCAGCCTCAATGAAAACCAGCAGGGTTTTTTTTTGTTAATATAGCAAACTAGAGGAGCGTCTACTGTAGTTTCAACATAATTCCCTGCATGTAATGTGTTTATTTAGCACCAACCACCGACAACATGCCTGTATATACACTGAACCAGACACACAGACACACAGCCTCCAATCTGTCTCCCAGTGAGGGACGCCCTGACTCTGTTGTTTGTCATCCATCCCACGCATCCCCGGGGGAAATGAACGCAGCAGACCAGAGAGAGAAGAAGACGAGTCAGAGAGAAGCTCAGTCAGCCGTCGCCTACCTCGTCAGCACTGGAAAATTTCACCCACTAGTTCTGATCAAATAGTGTTCGGAAATAGTTTTTGTTTATTTTAAAGTGCTTGTTGTACTTGTGTAGGTGGGGAGTTATAATGGTGTCTCATTTCCGAGTGAGTCATGGGAGAAAGATTTTTTTGCAAGCACATAACTATATATTACCAGAAATTACCATCATGCAAAGAATCATTTAATTGTATTTGTGTGTTTTATATTTTCCATCCTCATGCCAAAACTAGTGGAAGTAGATAAACAGTGATGGTGATGTGACAACTGAGCGGGCCATAGCATTCAGATAACGGTGGCCGAGTTATACCTTAAGTATATGCTCTTTGCTTGGATGAAAGTAGGATTTAAAGGCAGCTTAAGGGAAGTTACGGAGGGGCGAGAGAATGGCTTTGCATGTCAGAAGGCCCAGTTCATTTATGACAATGCAGACTGATAACCCACTGCAGAGCCCAGAGATGGGTCATTTAACACTGGGCTTCCATAGGAATGCCCAGGAATATCCACATTATATATGCATTGTATGTGGACAAATGCATTTATCTCATTATTTTGTTCTCTCCAGGAGCTTTGAAGTCCTACCTGCGAGAGCTCCCTGAGCCTTTAATGACATACGAACTCTACAACGACTGGATCCAGGCCTCCAAGTCTGTATCTTTTCAGTATCATGTTGTTGTTGTTTGTGATGATCTGCCTTTCTTTAGAACTTCAAGTTTTTACATGTTCAACCTCTTTTTGTCCTGCAGCATTCAAGATCAAGACAAGAGACTGCAGGCTCTCCTCAACGCCTGTGAGAAACTACCCCCAGCCAACAACAGCAACTTTAAGTGAGTCAGTGTTTCCATGTTTCACTCCTTGTGGTCCTCTCCTGGGCCCTGTTTCTTCAAATGTGGCTTCATTTATCCAGGCCACCATCGAAGTGAGCCAGCTAAAATGATTAGTTCAGTCTTCAGACAGCTCTCGCTTTGCACAAAGCTGTCTGGTTCTTGACTATCGTACTGTAAGTAGGACTAATGTGCTGTGGGTTTTGGGTGAATAAAGCCTTTTTTTCAAATTAAAAAACATTGCTGACTCAGCAACCACGTCAAACTGCTCAGCTCAGTTCACTCCAGCAGAAAATATTTGCATTCTGGAAGAATTCAACACTCAGCAAAGAGTCTAACAAGACAAAAAACTAACAGTAGCACAAAATCTCATCTCAGTTCACTAAATGAACTCCCTTGCACCACCTAACTTGCAATTGAACCACTGCAAGTTAGCCTGCGGGTAGGGTGGCTAACTTTAGAAACTTAGTTTGAATCCTTATGTTGGATCACAGAGGATCAGGCTTAAGTGTATTGACCGCTGGTAGGATTTTTACCCAACAGATTTGAGGTTTTCCGTCAGTTGATTCTTAATACTAATTCATAATTTAGAGAGTCTCCAGAAAAAAATCAAGGTTTGTGTCAAATCATCAATCATATAAATGTTTGTAGAACGTGGCCCTGTTCGCCCTCTTCCTTCCCTCCGACTTTCTCTTCACTCTTTAGTGAAACCTTTCGTCCATCAGTTTGTTTCCTCAAATCAAGAGTTTCAGTGAACTGAAGAAAAATCCCTCCATGCGTCCATGAGGCTGGTTCGTTGTGTGCTTCTAATCGACACCTGACAGAAAAAAACACTGACCTCTGTGTGAAATGGTGCTGAGAAAGAGGCCTTTTGGCTGAGGTGTTGCTGTATATGCTGCCTGATTAAGACGAGCCGTGGATATCTGCAGAAGGGCTTGTCTCGTGATCAAAAGGAAAGAGGGGGAGAGGCACGACGAGGGAGAGGGAAAGGGATGGGAGAGAAATTGAAAGAGCAAGATACTGCAGCACTTGTCAGTGTCATCATCAAATCGCACAAATAAGGCGTATTTTTAGACAGTCCTCCTCTGAGAAGACCTGTCAGACCTGTCCAGATGATTGCTGCTCGCTGGAATGAGCTGCCTGATGTTCATTCAACTGTAGGAGCTCAGGATGAGTCATTCAGCTCAGCTGCTCTCGGAGAGCCACAGAAACACACTGGCCCATTTTTGCATCTTAGGAAATCCACAAAGAGACTGAAATATAGTAATGATAGTTTGCTGTAATAATAAGCTTTGCTCAGTACGGTCTTCTAGTTCTAACCATGACCACGACACCTACATACAGTATAAGTCTTGGAAATTTACCTTTTATTTTAACCTAAAAGAATCAGGGTGGGAAACTTGGACCTGGATTAACGAGTACGGCTCGGTATTTACCAGGCAGAGATCAAAATTAGAGGAAGGCAATTAAAACAGGCAAACGAATCCAATAGGAAACAGGTAACGTATGGAATCCAAATGAACCACAAGAACTAGGGAAGTAAAATAAAAAAAAAACACAGAACAAAACACTAGGAGTGCCAGGAAAAGATAACACAGGGACGAACGCTGAGACAAGGGAACGTACAACAGCGTTACGGAGACCTGCCCCATCAACATCGGCAGGTGGTCCATGTTCCAGCGCAAGACTCTGGCAAGATGAGAGGAGGTGGACTGCGTTTTAAATCGATGATGCTTGGTGCACAAAAGCAGTCAAGATCGACTCTGTTTCCCAAATGTCAGACTGTTTATTGTGAAGATGAAACTTTCATATTATCATCTGTTTGCTGCTGTTTACATTCACCCAAAATGCAAATTCAAAAATGCACTGTGGAAAGCTCAGGATGTTTACATGTCTGTATATATGTATATAAATAACTGTATTGTTTTATTTTATTTTAAATGTTACCATATTTTAATAGGCCTACACTTAATTATATGTTGTGTGTGTAGCACAAAGGGACTACAAATTTCATTTTGTTATGCAGCCTTGTGCTGTATAATGACAAATAAACAACCTTGTACCTTGTTGTACCTTGTACAAACTAAATACACTAGTGAGGGGAGGATATTGAGATACAGATGAAACAATCAGATCATCTCTCAAAGTACTGTGTCACCAAACATTATGTTGTTTTTCTTCTTAAATAGGTTGAACTTATTTATTGTAAGCTGCTTTGGACAAAGGTTTCAGCTAAATTAATGTAATGTTTTTATAAGTAATGTTTTCTGACCTGTTTTTTCTATCTGTATAAACAGGTATTTGATCAAATTCCTCTCCAAACTGACTGAGGACCAGGATGTGAACAAAATGACGCCTGGAAACATTGCTATCGTCCTCGGACCGAACCTGCTGTGGATGCACAACGAAGGGTAAGAAAGCAGAGATGCACAGTTACAGTAGTTTATATATCTTTAATAGTAGTATAAAATACAGCTTACACATGTGGTACTTAAAGAATGAGGCTGGTTATATTCTAAATTTTACTTTTACTACTAAATCTAACAAGTATTGTGTGTGTATCCAAAGCCTGTCCTGTTGGAAAGCTGAACGAAAATTGGAATGTTTGCTGTGTAACATTGGATGTACTGACAACGATCACTGAATTAATTTGATACAGAAGAAATCTTAAAAACCTTGAGGATTCTCAGGAAAGCTTCCTGTTCCAGTTTCGAGTGAGTTACAAACGTTGAGCCAATATTATATAGTTGTAGCCTCCGGTACTGCAGCTATTTTGATCTTCAAGCTCATCTTAATTACATTTAATCAGGCACCGCCATCACCCAAGTGTATCTGCTGCAGGTTTATCAAGTGTAACACACAAAGCTACTCAAATCAGACGGATTAAATATCAAAATCAATATTTTTCCGTTTTGGTTTTAAAACAGAAAAAAACAAAAAAACGACTTTGTTTTTGGGTTTTTCTGATTGTGTTTTGAAACGAAATAATCAAAGAATGAAACCATGCACAATGTGTATGGTTCGTCCGTTTTAAAACCAAAACGGAAAAACAGATAAACAGAAAACAAAAAAACAGACATTGTTTTTTTTTGTTTTTTTTTAAACCAAAACGGAAAAATATTTTTGATATTTAATGTGCCTGATTATTGTAGCTTTGATTAAACATTATAAACCTACAGCAAATACACTTGGACGAGGGCGGTGCCTGATTAAATGTAGGTGAGGTTGAATTAGAAAAGCAGGAGGCTCAGTTTGTAAACCAAAGAACGACTTTTTGGTTTTGAAACAAAAAAATCTAAGAACGAAACATACACGGATTCAGAAAGCATTTAGATGGATTGACATGTCGTTTTTGGTCTTCTTGTGGAACATAATATAGAATATCGCCAGCCTTATCCTCTTTATCCTAGTAAGTTATGTGAGGACATAAGTTAATTTTCTAATCTACTAATCTATGTTATGGTAGATTCTGCTGAAAGGCAACCAAGTTAAAGCTAAAATGTTTTAATTTCTACAGCTGCTGAAGTCTTGAAACATTTGTTTTTAGCTCAAACTTCTAACAAAATGTGAAGACAGCCAGAAAAGAAGGACTTGAAAATTTGAGCTGCTGAAAATCATGATGCTGTTTAGAGCTCAAAGTGCTACAAGTATTGATAACAAAATGGCCAATAGGCTCCAGGCTTTAACATCTCCAGGAGATGTTTTATCATAAAGTATATTCATGATGAGGATGACTAAGCAGTTGGAAAATGGTGAAGGGCACCTCCCTTTATATCTCTGTGTAAATCATACAAACTCTTTATCCCCCTCTTACTTTTAATTAGTATTTTATTAGCCAACATTTCCAAAATGGTTTTAATTTTCTCATTTTATTGCTTCTCTAATATCATGAAAATGTGTTAAATCGCTGCCTGAGTGTAAATTTGTATGATTTATGATTTCCTCGACGTCCCGCCATAAAACCGTCTCTGTCTCCTCTCTGTCTGCTACAGTAACATCACAGAGATGATGACCACCGTTTCCCTGCAGATCGTCGGCATCATCGAGCCAATCATCCAGCACGCAGACTGGTTCTTCCCCGGAGGTGAGGATGGATAATAGAAGAGGAAATAGATTTTTATTTGGAAGTCTTATTTGAAGATCTATTTTTTGTTTCCACAGTGGGGGGTATTGACGTCATCACAAAATAAAAGACTTAATTGTTTCTGTATCTTGTCCTTTTCTTCTGTCTTTCTTAGAAATCGAGTTCAACGTCACAGGTAACTACGGGAGCCCCGTCCACACCAACCACAATGCCAACTACAGCTCGATGCCGTCTCCGGACATGGATCAATCGATCGATCGTAGGCAGAACGACCAGAGTCGACGGCCGCTCAGCGTCGCCACAGACAACATGATGCTGGAGTTCTATAAGAAGGACGGGTACGACCCCTCCGTCTCTACTGGGATTATGTTCTTTTAAAACACATTTAGGAGTTTTTAGTAACTGAGGATTGTGATGGCTAAAACAAAAGAACAGGAACAGAAAGAGTCATTAATAGAACTGAGTAACAGACAATAAATGAGGTAAATATTTCATTCATTTAGAGCGGTCATAGATAGATTCAGATTATTCTGCACTAACAACAAAAACATTTATTAATCAGTTTTAGCAGCGGACTCCTAAAACATCGTCACTGGAGAAGGTTTAAAAAATAGCTTTTTAGGACATGCGCTTATTTTGCTGAGAGTTAGATGGGAAGATTGATTTCACTCATGTCTGTGCGTATGGAGCTGAAGCCGGGAGGAGGTTAGCTTAGCATAAAGACTGGAAGCAGAGAAAAACAGATAGCCTAGCTTTATCCAGGAAAGCAAATATCCTCCTACCAGCACCTATAAAAATCACAGATCAATGTTATATCTAATCGTTTAATCTGTACACAAACAGAAATGTACAAACTACAAGTTTGTAGTTTCTTACTCCAGAAATTCGTAATGCTAAGCTAGGCTAATCACTCCCTGGTTCTAGCATGATACTTAATTCACAGATTTGAGAGAGTGATATCAATCTTCTCATTTAACTCTCTGCAAAAAAAGCAAATGAGTGTATGTCTAAAAATGAGCAAGGTTGTGTCGCTGCAGCTTGAAATTAATTAAAATGCTAATGTCAGCATGCTAAGATGCTCACAATTGCAAAGCCAACATGCTGATGTTTAGCAGGTTTATTTGTTAACCATGTTTATCTTATTTAACTAAGCTTAACTAAGTACTGCACAAATTAAAAATATGACATGATGACGGAGCTAGATGAAAAGTTCTGGCATCAGCAGAGGCACTGAAAAAAAGACAGTAGTGCAATAATTAAACCGTACCATTAAAGCACTGCAGCCATTACCAAATCTAAATGAGCTGACGTAATAAACCAAAACCGTGAGGAAAAACTGCTTCAACAAGACTCTTTCTACAAGTCAGAGGAAACCGGTCTCAAACAGGCCCACTCATCTAAAACCTCCCAGTGATTACACACACAATCATGTCACTCTGCCTCTGAATCAGTCAGCAGTCTCCTCTACCTCCGGTGTCCTTACAGCGTCGTTCAGGGTGGATCCTAACTGACAGCTGAACTTTACATTTTTCTTCAAGACAAGGCCACGCAGAGGCCCGTAAAAGTTCTTGCATGACTGCCTTTCGACAGGGTCAGACACAGGAAGCGAGACAAAGAGAATTCCCTACCGATTACACAAGTTTCATGTGCGAAGTGAACTCGGTGAAAGACTCAGTTTCACAATGAAGTGGGCAGAAATAATATTTTATCACACTTCAGCTGCAGTAGCTGCTTTCAGGTTTTTTATGTAGCCCAGTGAGAGGGGTAAGGAAGTGAGAAAAAAGTAAAGTGAGAGAGATGACATTTAGTCTGTGAAATGAGGAATCTGCCAATCCTCAAGCTTTGGAGGAGGATTAGCTGAAAACCAGTCAGTCGCTTTCTTTCCCTTTCTCTGTCTGTCTCTGTGTCTCTTTCTTTAATGCTTTAATACACCCTTGGTCTTATCAGGCCCTGCGGGGAGTCTGAGCTCGGCAACCCTGGGACCACAAGTAGCCCAGCTAATTAAACCCGGACCGAGTGTGTGTTGGGTCTGATCAATAGCGCTCAGCTCTCAATAGAAACACAAAGAACACTCTTCAGAACCAGTCAGCACAAAGAAACTACTCCTTTTGAAACGAGAGGCTGTCTTAGTTTTTATGTGCAAATGATTTTAGATGTAGGTCCGTATATACATGGATGTAAAGTTGCTTTAAAAACTGCATAGTGTCATATTTAATTTTTAGAGATTTTTTTAATCAGAGAAAAATAGTTTGCCCGCAGCATCTTTGGTGCGCTAACAAATTAGGTATTAAAACATAATTTCAAGCCTTCAATAGTGATAGATAGCAGCTAAAAGACAACAGTGGAAAATACGCTAGTATGCAGACACATGAATGTGCCAAATGCATGCTAGAGTACTGTCTATACATGTTCTATGAAATTAGATAACTTCTGTTATGAATTGGTGCTACATAAATAAAATTGAATTGAATATGTTGTTGTTAAACATCTTACTTTAAAACTATAGTCTGGTACGATATTTAAGGAAATACACTTTTTCACTTTCTGAGAGTCAGGGAGAGAAATTAATACCACTCTCAAGTCTGTATGGTAAAAAATAAAGCTAGCTTAGCATAGCAAAAAGACTGGAAATACAGAGCCTGACTGCACAAAGGTAACGAAATCAGTCTAAAGCTCCCACCATTGCTCCCCAACTACTTCTTGGCCAGGAGCAGTGACTTCCAGGAGCCTTGTCATCGCCATGAGTCCAGCAAGTCACCTCTCATGGCCAAGAGGTGCTGGTAACGTTAGGCAGCTCTTTTTGTCTTGTTTCCTCATTTCCAGTCTTTATGCTGTGATGTGCTATGCTAAGCTAAGCTAACTGCCTGCTAGCTGCAGCTTCATAATTACTGGACAGACAAGAGAGTAGTATTAAATTTAAAGCTTGGCAAGAAAGGGAAAGGGCTTCGACAGGCTCCCCAAACCCAAAAACTATTAATTGTTTTACAGCAGTAATGATTGTGTATAGAAAAAAACGTCTTGGACCAATGTGCATCACTTGACCTGCAATTCAGACTACATCAAATTCGCCACACAGCCCAGCACTATTGAGGGGCTTGTTCCAGTTTATCCCAAAGGTGAAGGATGGGGTTAAGGTCAAGGCTCTGTGCAGGACCTGGCTTTGTGTCTCGTCACCATTGCAAACTAACCCGCTCACATTTGTCGTTTATCTTTGGCTAATTTTCTTGAATCCGTTCGGGAAAGTTTGACCTAATTAGGGCTAAACAGAAAGATAATTTTCTCTCTGGGTTTTGACGTGGTTGAAGCACTTCAGGGAGAGCACATTTCACCCCTCAAATCGCTCTCCTCATTACACCCAGCGTGAATCTCATCCCTTGCAGCCCCCTGCCAGGCCAGCAACCCCATTCGCTCCTCCATCTTGGCTCTTGTCTTTAAAAGTTTATCCTGCCAAAGTTCCTCTGCTGCTCTGATAACGATGCTGTTAATGAGCCCAGTGAGACTCCACGATCTTTACTCCTGTCCTCATTGTGTTTGTCTCTGTTTTAACTATGCAGCATTAGGAAGATACAAAGGTACAGTATAGATCATTTTAATCCAATCATCCTCTCATCGGCCTGTTCATCATGTCTGTTCGTCTGAGCTTCCTGTTGACAGGAATTGTCATATGTCATGTGTGTTTAATGCTCCAGTCAGGTCTGCTTGAACTCCTGTAGTTCAATGTCTCCAACAGAGTGGGGTGACACGGAAAAAGCCGGCCTTTCTTTCTTTGTTTACATGAGTAGCATCTTTGCAGCTAAAAATAGCCCTCCAGCACCTTTAAAGCACATAGTATATTATTAACCTTATGTGTTTCGGCAACAAGGAAAATCACTGACTGTTGTTTTGTCTTTTAACTTCCTGTCTATGTTGGAACTGGTAATATATTTGGTTGTCTAGGTGGATGTCTGCTGCTTGTAATCACCTTTCACCTGCATTTCGGCAAATATCTGAGCAGTTTTACAAAATACCTTTTAGTGTTGAGGACTGCAGAGTTGGAAGAAAACACTCTCCTCTACAGCAGTCTGACAAATTAGATCAGTTCTCCCACTTCTCACCTTACTGTTATAATAATCATACTTAATGGTCAGAATGTGTTGGTGCTAAAAAGCAAATGTTAATAACTTGATAACCTGCATCATCCTTCTGAGAAGTGAAGCATCAGAGCATTTGCCATTTGGTTTGGTAACTTTGCGCCTACAGTATTTTTTAATCTGATATCTGCAGTGCATATGGTGTTGAAATCATCGATGTGTGTCCCCAGCTTTGAGAAATCGATACTAGGCTGTGTGAACCAATCAGGACCGACTGAGACTTTTCACTTGAGTTTCCTACAGCGATAAGCAGAAACCCAGAGAAGTCACAGCTTCTGTCCAAGAAATAGTCTGGCATGTAACACCCAGAACCATAAGCTTGTCGTTTTTACATGTCAGTTTTTATACAGATTAAACAAATTAGATATAATGTGTTAATTAGTGAGCTTTAGAGGTGCTGGTAGGCGGGTCTTGTTACCTTTGGACAAAGCCAGACTCGCTGTTTCCCTGTCTTTATGCTAAGCTAAGAAAACCGCCTGCTAGCTTCATTTTGAATTCGACGGACATGAGAGTGGTATCGATCTTCTCATCTATCTCAGGAAAGCACATAAGGTCGTTTCCCAGAATGTCAAACTATTATCTGTATTTCTTTTTAACCTTTTTATAATGCCAACGTGACCATAACAATCATCTCATTCTTAAATCCATCCAAACTGCTCTTAAGTTGCAGTCAAAAGACACTTTACTCATAAATCATCATCATCATAAAAAAGGGAATTATACATTGAAGCAGGACACTGTGTAGATAAAATGTTGTTTTTTGTTCTTCCATGCTGAGGATCGAAAGTACACCCATACAAGGCTGTGTGGGTGGAAGTACAGTGTCCCTAGAGGCTGATCCAGGGTCCGGCCTTTTCAAAGCACTAATGGTATAGATGACGGGCAGGGAAACTTATCCCTGGCAACTTCACCCCTGACGATCTGTTCAGGAAACCTGACCCCGTGAACCACACACACGGCCTCCCTTGATTTGATTGGCTGTGCATCTTTGTCCCACTGCAGCATGGGTGTCAGGGTGATGGACACTACTTGGGTGTCGCGCAGGGGCTCGTCTTCTACGCGTAAATGCTCGTCCACGCCACCGAGCGTGCACCCCCCTGCCCTGTCCACCGACGCTCTCCTCCCCGAGCAGCCTGGGGAATTTGCTGCCTCCCCCTCCCCCACCCCTCCTCCCACTAGCAGCGACCGAGCCAGGTAAGGCTGTCGTGCCCCCCTGCTGTCCTCCTGTTTTACTCCCCCTCCCCCACCTCACACACCTCCCACCTGCTGCTGCCTCCCCGCCGCGTGTGCTGCTGCGTCCTGCAACTGACACCAGAACAGCGCTGTCTGCTCGTACCCACGTTTTCTTGTCTGTCGCTGTTTTTCCCCCCACAAAATGTTCATCCTCTCACCTGTGTGTGTGAACCCCAGTGTCTCGCCTCTGATGAAGAAGCATGTCGTTTTTAAACTTTGCGATTGCCCTTTAAGTTCTTAATGTTTCTTTTTTCCTTTAAACTTTCTCAATCTTGAATTAGTAGAGCCATGTGTGGAGTCGTTCAGAATTAATTTTCTGCTTGAGTGGTGATACTGTATATCATGTGGCGCAAGTAAAAGATTTTCACTTCTCTTTAGGCTGGGGTTTTACGTAATGACGTGTGGAAAAAGTTGAGCAAAGTTCATCCATAGTTCAGTAGAAATGGTTCATTGCTGCATGTGCATGAATTATTTATGTGTTTTGTTTTTGTCATTAGTCCAAGCATCATTAACAGCATAACAGTCCATTGTCGCAAGGCCCTGCAATGGATGAGGTGACTGACTTTTCTGTTTATTTCATTTTTGTAATTTGAAAACCATTGAGGTTTTCATTAGCACCTATTCTTTATTTCCTCTGTGCTGTTCCCCCTGGAGCCCTTACTTCTCCTTCCTGACACAATAATTAATATTCGCCTGATTTCCTGCCTCGTGATGGACCAAACTTAAAACAAATCAATACCCCCAACTTTTCTTCACCTTCTTTAGATACTAATGACTATGTCACCTTTAACAGCATTTCAGCCTCTGGAGACCGGCTCAGTTCCCCATGAGACATTGATATGTTTATCATTGCAGCTCGGATGATGCATCCTCCAATTGGTCGGACTCCTGTTACACCTACCCCTCCCCTGAGGAGGAGAGGCTGCCTCCCCCTTACCCCTCTTCCTCATCTTCCTCCTCCTCCTCTTGCTCTTCCTACTCGCTCCCTCACCACCATTTCTACACCCGAGCACCTCCGGGTATGCGTCCCGTCGCTCCCAGTCCCGAATCCGTGCCTCCCGGCCCGTCCCCTCCCCTCCGCCTCTCTGGCTACAGCCCACCCCCTCTCCCACACTCCCTTTGCCCGTCTCCTCAGCAGCTTGACGTCAACTCCAACCCCAAACCCAATTCCTTGCACCTGCCCAAACAGGCCTCCCTGTCTGACGCTTCGCATGCGGCCCTGCCCGAAACGAATGGCTCCACCCTTTACATCAAACCCCCGCTCGTTCTTACTCGTCATGAATTGTTCCTGGGCTCCCCCAAACCCCCCAACACCCCCCTATCTGCTCCCCCTCCATGGGCAGCCTGTGCCTGTAGCCGGGAGAGAGCCAAGCTGACTAGGTAAATACAGAACCCTGCTTAACTCGTTCGTACTTCCAACACAACTCACACACAAATGAAGAGAGGCCCCGCAGGCTCACTGAAGCATGAGAGAGGGATGATATGAGGAATAAAATGAGGATGGGTGAGATTAAGATTCTCCCAACAGCTCCACTCTATTCTCCGTCTAATATTTTCCCCTGGTTGTGTATCCGTCAGTCATGGAAATCAATGCTCTTTATCAGATCCATCTTTAATTTAATAGCCATGAATGCAATCCATAACTTTCCATGTTGCCAGGATATTCAGGAGCCGGTTGCGAGGCAACAAAGGAAATTCAAAGCTTTCAACGCACACTATTATAAAAGTGGGCGTTAATGAGTCATACCAGTGGGCCCAGTCAGCCCTGAGTGGTAGACTGCAAGAGCAGACCTTGAAAATGAACAAAAACAACACACTGATGTATGCTGAAGTAAAACAAAGCAACATCGGTTCATCCTCATGATTATGTTTGACATTGGTAGAAAGCCCAGAGATACTCATGTGCATTGCTCCACTCGGACTTTAAATCCCAGCAGCTTCAATCATCCATTCATGCCTCATGTGCCGAGAGTGAGAGCGGACTGACAGTCAGAGTATAAACTGGTTACGTTGTGACCTTCAGGCCCTCTTCCCATTGGCATTCTGGCTGCACTGCGCTGTAAAAGTAAGGAAAATCCATTAAGCCATTAGGGTTTATTTGGGATTTTTTAACTGCTTCGTCTGCACCGCAGTATAGACTGCAGAAGTGGTCACTCTTGCAATTTGACATTGAACTATGGGTGCTGTTGTTTTTTTTTTTTAATATGCCTAGACATTTACATGGTTGACATATTATTACTGAGAAGAAAGATGCAGGGGCAGCTTGTGATTCCTGTGTGTTATTCTCCTTCGTAGTACTTTAAAGAACAAGGAGCTGTCTCCAGTGATCGGACAGAAGGGAATCCAGGGAACAATGACCTCTAGTGGACAGTCTCAGCACTCTGAGCACAGCCCACACAGCCTGAGGAGAGGTAAGAAGGCTGCGTGGTTTCACCCGCTGTGGTCACAGGGCTGCCTTGGCTTTGGTCTGAACTGAACATGTAATTTTCTAACTGAAAACTGTTTATTTTCACGTTAACCCTTTTAGTCATTGATTTTTTTTTTGGTAAACTTTACTGGCTTCATCTTTCCGTTAAAGAAATGGCTTTTCCACGTTTAAAAGCCCCGGAGACATGCACCCCATAAATATGCTGCCAATTCAGTGAAATCTTTTACGCACAAATAAAATACGTTTTAAAAACTGATTTATTATTCAATACTGTGAATGAGTCCATTTTAAGTTTAACTGAAGAGGAGGTCTTAGGTCCATTGGACCATTAGTCTGCTTAAATTTGCGGTTTTCATTCACACCAACACCTTAAAAATGTGAGCAAAAAAAGAGTTAAATGAGTCACAACCTAACATTTTGTAACTCTGCTTGGCAGATTGTAGCCTAAATAATAGGCAGCAGAAATATTTATTCTACTTTTTTAATGATAAACTTGATGAATACATTTGTTTGGGAATCTGTATGGTTGATTAGTAAGAAGTGGACCTGAGTGATAGCTTTCATGATGATAATTTAAAAGCCACCACCTGATTTTACACATAAAAATCAGTTTAGCCATCATAGTTAGTGCTACTCAGTCGCAGTACACGTTTAATTAAACCACAGAGAGGAGCAGTCATTCATCTCACAAATAAGTTTTAAAATCCATCACTTATGTGGCCTGTGAGAGAACTGAGAACATTCTGCTTGCTTTATATCAAGGCAAGGGAAGTTTATTTGTATAGCACATTTCAACAACAAGGCAATTCAAAGTGCTTCATGTAAACCATAAAAGCAGCAAAGGGAAATAAAAAAACCTACAATAAAATATAATTTTTAAAAGGGTGAAATAGAAAATAAAACAGGATAAAATACATTTTAAAGAGTTAAATTGGAAATAGAAACAGTGCAGTGCACGACATTAATCCACAGCCTTACATCTGATCTAATTAAAGGCAGTGGTAAAAAGAAAAGTCTTGATTTAAAAGAACTGACAGTTTCAGCAGACCTGCCGTTTTCTGGGAGTTTGTTCCAGATATACGGAGCATAAAAACTGAACGCTGCTTCTCCTTGTTTAGTTTTGACTCTGGGGACAGAAAGCAAACCTGCCCCAGACGACCTGAGAGGTCTGGATGCTTCATAACGAAGCAGAAGATCAGAAATGTATTTTGGTCCTAAACCACTCAGTGCTTTATAAACTAACAGCAGGATTTCAAAATCAATTCTTTGACATACAGGAAGCCAATGTAAAAACCTCAGAACTGGAGTGATGTGATCCACCTTTTTGGTCTTAGTGAGGACTCGAGCAGCAGCGTTTTAAATCAGCTGCAGCTGTATGATGGATTTCTTAGGGAGCCTGTAAGGACGCTGTTACAGTAGTCGAGTCGACTGAAGATAAATGCATGGATATGTTTTTCCAGGTCCTGCTGAGACATAAATTCTTTAATCCTTGATATATGCTATCAATATGTTCAATCTGTTTTAACTCACACTGCTCCAATCTGCATAACAGGTCCAAGTAATCATTGCAGCTGAATAATATTTAGATAATGGAAATCCGTTGTTCTTGTTGGTCTCTATGCAGCAAAGAAGCTGGCACCGATCCCACCTAAAGGCCCTTACTGCCAGACAGGAGCCATGTCTGACCAGTCGACAGGTCAGCCATCTCCAGTCAGCCTGTCGCCCACTCCTCCCAGCACCCCCTCCCCGTACGGCTTCAGCTATCCGCAGGGATACAGCACCATCGGCTCCCCGGGGCAGATCCAGATGGCCACCACCCCGTCTCTCTCCTCTCCACCCTCGCTGGCTGGGACGCTCACTAAGGCCAGGCCGACCCCCAAGCCGCCCCGTCAGAGGCCCAACTTACCTCCTCCTCAGCCCCCCACCACGCCCGGCAGCAGTCCCCAGCCTCTGGACCATTCGTCAGGTCTCCTGGACGGTTTGTCTCCTGGTGAAAGCATGTCCACAGGTAAGGTGTATAAAACAGATTACATCACTATCTGGTACTCTTTGACTGTTGTATTTAAGGATAGCTTTGAGCAGCTGTTACTAAACTTAGCTATATTTTCCTATGTACTTTTACTTTGTCATTGTACGAGTATTTACATGTCAAGGTAACAACTTTTTCTAATTTACACACCACTGCTGGCTCATGAAGAACACAGGATTTACATGATGTGTTAATTGAACTTTTATGCTAAATAATATATCAGATTGAGACCAAGCTGGACTCCAGGTTTATATTCAACAGATATTAAATAAATAAAGGGTTATAATATAAAATGGAATACAACATATTACTGTATGTTTTATGGATCAAGTGGAGGTAACACATTATATATTACATTTTAAATAACTAAACTTTGTTGCACACTAATTAAATGAGATGACTGCTGATATTGTACATGATTTTAGTTATTAACAAATACCATGAAGAGATCTCATTCCTCTGTACCACAGGCAAAGTTTATTTGTGTAGAAACAAAATATAAAAGAAACACAAGGCAATATAAAAATACAAATTTAAATAGTATTTATGTACTGTATATCATATATTTTATTTAAGAATTTTATATATACAGTATATATAAATATAAGCTGAAAATGGTCCCCAACAAATGCACGATTTCCTCCTGTTTGAGTGACGTTTTGTTAAAAACTACAGTGACAAGCTGTTTTAGGAAATTACTGAGCCTTTAAAAAATCCGTGTGACCCGTTTTTTTAAACATTTACATCTTCAGTGGTAACAGGCTCATTGTACAAGTCACAGACAGGGTAGTAAAGTCTTTTTCATGGGATTTGTTGACAATAAGACAAATATAAAGTATGAAAATAAATCTGCACTAAAACATGTTTATTTTATGTTGGCTGTTTCTGGATTTAATACTCTATTTATCTATTTATGTATCTCAACATCAGTAAGAGGTTCTGATTATGCTTTCATCTAATTTTCCCCTGTTGTCGACTGCTCTTATTGTCTCACTTACAGCGGTATGAGTCGAGAGGCTCAGTGTGATTCTGTGTGTGAGAGGGACTTTTAGGGTAAGCAGGAGTTCCTGTGCTAAAGCCTCACCTCCCCACCCCTCCAATCCCTCTGCCATCTTGGCCAAACATGGAGCAGGCTCGAAGTAGGGTGAGGTTGCCAGTAGATGCAGATTCACCGCTCTATGGCACCCTCACTCTAGAGCCACTCCTTATGTACCTATACATGACATCTCATTGTACACCAACAAACGGCTGTTCAGTCCAGCTCTAACGCATTGTGTTGGCCTTTGCATGGTGGCTGAGACTGATATGATGCATGGCTTACATGGGCGTGTCTAACGGACCCTGCAGCCTAAACACACCATGGCAAAAACTTCCAGCCTTTATTTTTTTTTTTTTGACCTTAAGATTCCCACCCATAATGCCCTGCTCCAGCTGCCCCCCTCCCCTGGCTTTGACAGTCACCCTCCCTACACTCCCACTTCACTCCACAATGTTGTGCCTCACTGCCCACCACTGTTCCTCAGTCAGCACACTTCCTGTCTGTGCAGTGTCCAGTTGTTCATCACTCATGTTACACTGTGGACGTCATTATTCTCCAGCAAAGACAGCTGTTATTTGCATCAAACGGAGGTCAATATATTAGTTTATACACGAGTATAACTAACTACATTGATCTTATGGTTTGGGGTTGTTTACTGAATTGACTGGTCTTTTTATGCCCATTGATCAATTCTGAATCAGGTGTAAGCAATAGGGATGCACGATATTGACACTGATGCACCACCATGTATCTAGTTTCAGTGTTACTCCTGGATACACGAGAGACACAAACTGGGGCCAAGTTTCATCTTGGATTAAGTAAATCTTAATGCAACATGCAAGGATGTTGATTAGGTTTTCCCAGTTTGGTGGGGAAGAACGTGACTGGCCTGTACAGAGCTCTGACCTCAACCCTATCCAACACCTCTGGGATGGACTGGATCGCCGGCTGTGAGCCAGATCTGATCGCCCAACATCTGTGTTGCACCTCACTGATGCTCTTGTGTCTGAATGGGAGCAAATCCCTGCAGCCCGGTTCAACATCTGGCGGAAAGACTGAAACCTGAAGAGTGGAAGGTGTCATAGCAGATTAACGCCCATGGTTTTGAATAGATATGTTAAACAATGACTTATAGGTGTATTGCTTTGCTATCCACTTTTGCCATGCAGTTTGTCAAATTTTAAGCTTTATCATTATTGTCCAAAATAATAAGTTGTCTTGTATATCGTGCACCTCTATTCGCATTTATTTTATTTATTCATACTTAAATGTATGATGCTGATCGTCCAGCATCAATGAAACCACATCTGGAAGGATCTGTTTTACTCTACAACCTCTCTTTTTACCAAAATTAACAGTATTTTAATTTAATTTACTCTCTCTGCATCCTGTCTGTGTTTCTGCTCTGCCAGATTCTCTCTGCAACTTGGACATCCCCATCATTGACATGGAACTGGACGGTATTTTTGACTTGCCCCACATCTCCTCCTTCAGGAACTCATTGCCGCTGCTCCAGTCGACCAATAAAAGAGCGGAGTCGGAGGAGGAGTCTGAGAGCACAGTGCTATGACGCCACTGAGTTCCCCAGACGACTGATTAAATGAAACACAACGCTACTGCTGCACAGTCCCGCTCATAAAAAAACACCCACGCTCATTCAGTGACCTTTCGCCTCTCCAGATGGATTACTTCAGCCTCACTCTGGATGTCATCGCCACACCTCACCTGTTCTCGATCCAGAGTGGTCAACTTGTAAAAAAAACCCAACAAGCTCTTCTAGAAAATATCAACAAATACGGTGACCACACCTAAAAGAAACCTCCACACTCACAACAATCATGAGGCGTTAGCGACAATGCTGTCAGGGGGACTTTTGAATCAGACACACAAAAACACACACATTTTAATGTTGGCTGTAAACATGTTTTTCTTTTTTATTCAATGTTTTGTTTTGCCTTATTTGAGTCACTTCCAATATTGCCTTTAACTTCACACACAAGACTGGAAACAGGCTGCTGGGAGGAATGAATGCTCTCTGCTGCTGCTGCTTCTCATGAGTGATTTTTTGAAGGAAGAACGACACAGTACTGTACATCTGTCCTGCCAACACTTTCTTCCTCTTTCTCTCACCATTTTATCTCCCATCTCAAGTTCCTCCTTCATTCCTCAGGGGTGTCAGTTGAAATGCCTCGCTCTGGCATGTGGTGGCAACGACAAATGTCCCACCTGAGCGTTCACTGTGAGTGTGCCAGTATGTCGTTTTGGGAAGTGTGTGCGTGTTTGTATGTGTTTGGTAATCGTACTATATGATGTTGCACTGTTGTTGGTGTCGTGGAGCATAAACAGGAATGCATGTTTTAGACATTTAGGAAAATAACTACCTGGTTTTCAAAGAGGTTAAATGCCCAATCACACTTTTCTCTGTATTTACATCACATTCGATCAGGATCAATCACTGAATATTTATTGTTTATACTGTACATTTTCAGAGTATATGATACAATTACCATTATAAATCATATTTTCTATCTACAGAAGAGCTATAAAGTTACCATTTCCTCCAGATAGATTATAATTGATGTTGTCAGGGAGCTACTAAATAAATGAGATGCATACTGTAGTTTATGAAAAGTTTAAAATTAAATTGTTGAAATGGCTTTTGCAAAAGCAACAAGTCTAGTAAGCTGGGGAATGAAAATATTTTACACACAATTATTTTGGCAGCAAGCAAAGCCCAGTGGGATTTACAATATGGGGGTTTGGTACTATGGTGCCTGGAGTGTGCCACGACATTGTTTACTTAAATTAATAATTAAATTGTCCAACTCACAGAGCAGCAGCAGGAGATCTGTTAACAGCAGCTGTTTTGGCAGGTGTGTCACCTGTCATTTAAGGGAGGCCTGTGGAGTTTTAACAAACAAAAGTAATGTTTACATTCAGTGTTTCTCACCAAAACACATTGTGTGAATCCTTGAGCTCTAACAAACATGTTAAATGCTTTTATTTCCTTTTGCTAAGCCAATTGTATTTGATTTGTGCATTGTTTACATCCACGTTTCCTGGCTTGCAGTTTTCTACTTCTCTGCTTCTGTGGGCTCACTTATTTGCTTCCTTGTGCATTACTGCCACCAACTGTGGATCAGCAGAATAGCATAAAATCGGTGGCAGGATTGCATGACTTGTGTTCATCCTCACGCAAACAAAACGGGGGCCCTTAATAAAAACATTACTCAGTAGCGCTACTAGTGGTCAACACTTCCACAGGGTACCTTTTAATGTTTGGGTGTTATTGTGCTCACATGACAATTAAAGAGTGCCATCCTTAAACTGAGCAATCAAAACAGGAAAATTACAAATGTCAAAGAAAGAAGGCAAAGTTAATGGTAAATGGTAAGTAAAATTAAAAAGCCTTTTTAGGATTAGTTTTGTGATTCCATTTTAAATTTTTATTATAAATTCCACACACAAATCCAGGAAATAAAATAATTCTCTGATCTTTTAAAGTTGATATGGCAGACAGTTGCCTTTTTACACGTCCATTATCGCTTATATTTAGAATCGTGTTTGTGTCCACCTGATAAATCTAAGTTGATTTTAGTTTCTTTTACCTCTGCTTTTGGTCTCCACCGACTCCTGAGGGAAATTTCTGCCTCTTCAGCAGCTAAATGCTCCACTGTGTTTACCAGCTAGTTTCTAACTGTGGTTGTTTGCTGCTCAGCAGGTCGTGTACAGCTGTTTTTCAGAGCTATTTCTCTGAAAACAGCTGCTTTAAGTTTTATAATGTATAATTTAATGCCAATTCGTATTTATCAATTTATTAAATGATAATATTTAAACAGATAAAACTAAAACTCCATAATTACTCTGATGGCACACTTCAGGCTCCTGTTATACTTATATCTTGAGAATCATACCTGTCAAGGCCGTGTAGGGAGAGAGCGTAGGCACGAGATTTTGTACACCTGCCCTGAGGTATTTATAACATCCAATCATATCACATAACAAAGAACTGAAAACAGTCACACTCCCAGAAAAAAAGGTGCTATTGTTGTAAAAAAAATTTTAACGCTGCAGCCCCAGTGGCAAAACAAGCACTCTTTTCTTCTGCCAGTGCAGTTTCAGTGTCAGCCACCTTCCCATTGCAGTTTAAAGGAACTCTGTCTGATGATGCTGATATTTTTGGGTCTATATTAGTGAACCAGAGGCAAGTGCAAAGATATGTGTATATGTGTTTATATTGATGAGAGTATTTATACAGATATATTTCTGAATACTTTTTAACAGGTCTGAAGAGTTGTGATTGTTTCCACTACACATGACTTTCATCCGAGGATTAAAATAAAGCATTCAAACACGGGACCAGAATTTCCCTGCTGTCGCATCAAAACCTTTTCAGGAATCTAAGAGGTTAAGTTTAAGAGAAAACTTGAAAATCAATAAAACTGGAGTAACAAGGTTTGCATACGACAGCAGCAGGTTGTTATTTGCCTTGTGATGGGTTTTGCTGTGACCTATCCAGATTTGTAAGACTTTCCGTTTGTCGTGAGAGCGTCCACTATACATGGCCTCAAAGTCACTGTGCTGCTCCACCATCCTTTCTTTTGAAGTGCGATATTATTCACAGGACTTTTGTAAATAACTGGAGCCTCTGTACATACATGTTCTGTATATACTGAAGGAGGAGAAATTTAACTATATACATATATATATATATATAAAGAGATAAACAAATACGGTATGGAAAAATATAAATGATGATAAACATATTATACTGTACATATAATATTATAATGTTGCTGGTTCTGGCACAATATTGCCACATTCACATAAAATACAGACTTCACACAGTTAAAACTTTATATGGTACAGTAGCTCTTGTGGCACTGACGTAGGCTCAAGGTTAAATCTAGTTTGTAGATTTCTAAAATAAAAACTGCTGATTGTGCTTGTGTTGCAGACTAAGAATTAACCTCTTGAACCCTGATTTTAGCTTTATTAATTAGAAAAAAAGTCCACAATGTTTAATAATATTGCACTTTTATTCTCTATTCGCTTATTCCAACACGTCATTGCAGCTACATGTTTGCTATATAATGGACAATTAAATGGGTCTTCATCATTTTATACATTTTCTCAGAGTTTAACTTGGTGTATTTAATAGTTCTGAAAATGTTGGGATGAAATTTAAAATGATTTTCTGTTTGCACAACCTGCAGCTGTAATGATGGATCAATGGTAGGATCCAGCAGGGTTTAAGAGGTTAAAAGAGGTTCTGCAATGAAACCGCTGCATTGCTGTCTTTTAGTTTGACTATTCAACACCAGAAAACAAATATCCTCAGTTCCACGAAATAAAAGACAAAGACCTACATTATGTTCCCGATGTTATACATAAGATATAGATGTTTAAGATTGTTGTAATTTTAAATTTAGAACATGCAAAAACTGTTTTCACATGCAGAAAAACTACAGAATGAAAAGCAGAATGCAAAAAGAAAAAATAATAAAAACTTTTTAGTGCTGCAACCTTCTTATATAGAGTCTATGGCTGCAACTAATGATAATTTTCATAATCAGTTAATTTGCAGAATATTTTCTTAATTGTTTGGTCTATAAAATGCCCGAAAATATAGGAAAATCAGCACTGCAATTTCCTGAAGTCCAAAATGATCATCAAAGAGCTTGTTTTGTAGTTGTGGTTTACTCTCAAAGAAAACTGAAGAAAAGCAGTAAATCCTCACAGTATAGAAGCTGTAAGAAAATGTTTGGTCATTTTTGCTTTAAAAACAACATTGATGATTGATGAATCAATCAGATCCTTCAGTCTAAATCAATACAGCATGAAATGCCATCACCAGTATTTATAATTTTAATATTTAAAGAAAAGCTTAATGCTGACCACAAAACAGTTTCTAAAAAGACGTTATTGTTGCGATGTGGCTGTGCTGAGGTGAATGGTCCGTCCTGTCTTTGTCTTGATCTCTGTGTTACAATGTGCTGCTCTTCGTTTTTGTACTAAAGGGTTCCAGATTAAGGCTTGTACATACAGTATTCATCACACACAACTTTATTAACAGTAACCCTTACGAGCAGAGACAGAGGGCGAGGGATTCCAGAAACAGTTTCCAGTATTACAGCTTTTGCAAGCATGCCCTTTGAGCACTACAATACGAAGGCCTTTTTTTTACATGAATAGGTGGAATGTACTGGTGATAGATGATGTTCACCTCATATATCGTGATGAAGGCGGGTTGTGTGTGTTGTGGAGATAGTTTCAAGTAAAAGAGGGTGGTGGGGTATTTGATAAAAAGTGTGTTATGACCAACTTCGGGAGGCTAGGGGAGGGGAAGTTTGATTTGACATTGTCCTGTGTGAAACTCAGCAGCATGCTTTTTACCCATGCCTATGAAATATGTCTCATCTTTGGTCCTAAATAAATGTGCTTGTATTTATTTTTTATAAGTGAATAGACCGAACTTTATAAAAGACTAATAAGTGCTGCCCTCGACCTTTTTTTGTCAAACTCTCCATCAATTTTGCCAACAGTTTGAAACAATTATGATTTACAGTTTGTTTTCACCATCTGTGTTCCATTAATGGAGTACGTACCATCCTTTTTACCTATAGCAAATAAAGAAAGCACATCCAGCCACACTGTCCGGAAATTAAAAACCTTCAGCTAACATGGTAGGAGAGAAGACTGTTTGTGCCCAGAATAATGTGCGTTTAGATCTCCTGAAAAGTTCCTATGACTTTACATGGGAATCATGCAAGCAAGAAAAAACGTGCTTGTTTTTCTTTTTGCTTAAGTTTAAATTCCAAGGAATGGAGGCAAAATAAAAAGGGAACACAAGAGTGATCAAGGAATCTTTATAGATCTTTGTGTCAACCTGTGGTGACGCTGTGAACTCTTTAAAGTTTGGAGTAAAGAGGAAATGCCTTTTTCGCGGACATGCTATCTCCCGGTCACCGAGTGGAACACAGTGTACAGTAAAAAAAAAAAAAAAAAAAATTAACTTCATCCGAATGTTCAAACTATTAAAAATGTTTTTATATTACTTGGATTTTCTGTGTTTTTTTTGTTGTTGTTGTAAATGATGTTCAGTGTTATTTCACTCAAACTAATTTTTTATATCATTTTATATAAAATAATTTGGAACAGAAAGAAGTTTATCGGGACCAAACAGGAAAAATCAAAACAACAAAAAAATGAAAACCCAGAAAAGTGCCACAGTCAATGCAACAGTTCATTGTTGTTGTAAAATTAGATGGCCGAGATTTCTCTCCGCTTGTAAGGCTTCAGTCACATCCAAGGTACTTTAGTGAAGGCCAAACACATTCTGCAGGGGCAGAAAACGTTTGGTTATATTGTTGAATTGCAAGGTAAATCAAAGTTTAAAGTGACAGCACTGAAATGCCCCTGGAATACAGACAGCCATGCTGTGAGAGAAACTACTGTAAATCACCCTCCGACACACAGTGGTCATGGTCACACAACATGCTGTGCTTCATGTAAACTTTATGCAAAATATCACACACAGGATTAGGGTCCTCCAAATTACAAAAACACACTTTCTCTCTCACCTCTAGAGGTATCTAGTCATGTAGAGAGTGGACATGAATGAAAAAATGTGTTTGTGGAGCTTACAGCGATGAAAGTCGACAGCCGACCTAGTAGCTTTGTCTGTTTTATGGTTATAAAGAAAACGGAGAATCACAAATGTCAACTGCTAGCGTGGCTAAAAGTCCAACAGCAACGTTTCTTTCCAGTAACAATGTTCCTGTTTCTCAGAGACTTCGCTGCCATCAGTTTGTATTTGAGGATGTTCTCTGGATTATCCAGTGGACACTTATTCTGGAAAGAAGTTCATTTTTTAAATCTCATTTTTCAGTGCTGTGGGCACCACAAACACCTTTTCTTTCCTTAAATTGTGATGGGGCATAACTATCATACATATTTCTCAAAACCAAGACTATCTGGCTAAATAGCTATAAAAAAATTTTTTTTGTAATTTGAGCAAACTGACCCTTTAAATAATAGCGGTTTGATGTCTTATACGGGATGTAGATGAAACATGCACGATGAGCCCTTACCTTTGACCTTTTGTCCTAAAAGTTAAACTGTGGTGAGGAAGCTGCTTCGAATAACTTGTCCTGTTAAGTAATCAGAATATACAACATAGCAAAATGTGCAGCTTTCTTGCCTTTACCTCTTTCTTATCAATTACTTGATTCATTGCAGAAATGAACACAATCATCATCAAGTCACTCGTCTTTCTCCTAAGACTGATGTTTAGTAACTCAGCTGAGGTCATTTCTGAGTAAGCATATTCATCATAAATCCCAAATACACTGAAGGACGCCTCTTACCGAAGTCCATGCTGATGTTTAGCGGTGAGTTGTACATCTTTAGGTGTTGTTGCGGAGTCTGGAGCTCATCTCGAGCCAAAAGCTTGTGTACAACCTCCTGAGAGACGATCAGCTCCGGGATCTCGTCCAGCACTGACCCAGGAAGAGCCTTAAGAGTACAGTCACACAGTGAGAGAACATCTTATTCATGAACTTCCTCTGACAGTGACATGGTTACTTTATTTTTAATACAGAAGAAAACAGGTGAAATCTATCCCGAAAAAGGAAATAAACACACCACAGCAAACACACCTTAGATATTTTAAGGTGTTCACCCAGGTTCTGCAGTTCTGATAGGACAGTGCAAACCAGCGTCTCTGTGCTCTCTTCCTCTTCCTCAAGTCTCTTAGCCCTGATGTCCCCGTCCCCCTGATCTACATCGAGCACCTTCGGTCAAAAAGACAACACTCAGATTCATGTAATTCATAAGGAAAAGGCACAGATGAGTGACTAATTGGAAGAAAAACATGAATAAACGGGTGGATGCTGATGAAATTATTAAAAATGATCTTGATGAAACTTTTCTGAAAGCTCGTGGTGGAACAACACCTTACTGAGACGCTATATTTCTGTATTTGCCTCATTTTAATGGAACGATCAAAGACCAGAAGTAAAGATAAAAAGCAAACCTTGTAGCTCCACTGTTGGAACAGCCTGCTTTGAGGGTTGTGTGCCATGAACACAACCTTGGGAGCTTCCAGCAAGGTGCTTAAATGGGATGTAAAAAATAATGTGTAAAACAGTGTGACAGAAACCGGCTGAATGTAAGGGGTTTTTAGACTTTCTATACTACAATGACCCCATGAAGATGTATGACCTTTTGTTAAGTAAGTGACAGTGCTTGGATTAATCCCATCGTACTGTTTAATTAATCTGTTTCTATCAATTTCAAAAATAGGAAAAACTAATATATAATGATAACCAAAAAATACATGGTCTTGAAGTAGCCACATATATCTTCTTTAAAAGTGGCAGGTTATGATCACAACAGCTAAATTTGTTTTTCACATGCCTTTGCTTTTATTGTTTGCTTTTTTCTTTTTCCTGTAAAACAACTTGAAATAGAAAATGCTATACAAATAGATTTATTATTATTATTATTATTATTATTATTATTACATCTGTGCAGAAGGCGAAGGAAAAAAGAGAAAGGGGCAAAGTTTTAACTTTCATCAAGTTTTTCCCTTTATTTTGTTAAGGTTGTTATGGTTGCTATTGGTTTCCAGCGGTATAAAGTCCCGCTGTTCCAGTATTTCTCCGTTCCCCCTTGACATCGACATCCCCTGAGTCCTCAAAGGGAATACTGCTGGTAAAAAGCACATTATTTGTTTGCAAACCACATGTTATTGTGGTTAAGTGGGCAATCCACCACTTTAGAATTCATTATTCAATTTTGCGCATAACTATGCGATTAATCGCGGTAACATTTTTTAATCACTGCCCAGCACTAATGTGTACACATACGTTGTTGTCATAATTTACATACAACAGACTTGTGTGATGCATATTTGATTGCTAAACTGGCTGAGATACGTTTCCACGTAGCAAACTTTATCTTCCCAAAGCCTACTAACTCATGCCGAGCAGTTTAATTTTTTAATTTTTAATTTAAGTTTAATTTCCATTTGGTGGAATGGTGCAGACTTAAAAGCATGAGGGCTCGGGTTTATATATTTTACTCAGGGGAACAACATATGTTATCCTGTTAGTAAGAAATAATATGTTTTCCAGCCTTAAAATAAAGGGCAAAACTGGATGTAAAGGGCAATAGTACTATGCATTATATCACAACATGTAGAACAAGAAAGCATCATTACCAGTCTGGCTGCTGTTGCACGTCTTCAAGGTCTTTCAAAACAGAAACCAGAACCTCCCTGGATGACTGGAAGATAGCCACACAGAAAAGTTCAACATCTCACATCACAAACCTTCATCATAGGTGGATGATGTGAATTTTTATTTGCAGTAAAACTTACTTCAATGATATGCAGCAGACAGGATGGATAAATTAACAGCAGGCCCGTCATATGATCCCATATATACTGTTTGCTTAACTGGAAGTTGAGCTTTTCATAATGAGCTGTATGGAAGCAAGCAGAAGAGAGAAGAGAGTTGAGAGCAGCTTGACAACGTGAAGGCCCAGCTCTGTTGTAGTTCCAGGTTTTCTTGTGGCTTTTATTGTGGGCTTTCTATTCAAATTTGTGTCAAAGAATTCCTTGAGCAGCAACCACAAAAAGCTCTTACAAGGATGCCCTGCAGGCTCATTCTCATACAGAGGTGTGAAAGCTATAAAAACACTCAAACAAGGGGAAACAAGACAGACTTTCATTGCTCAGACAGAAACTGCAACATGTTTTTGTGGATTTAAGAGTTGGAAAATTGGTCAAATTCAGATGTTTCTCTGTATAATTGCTCATAAATCTACTGTATAACAAACAGTGTAGGTGTATGCATTTGAGTTATCAATGAGATTACCATCCCCCTCCATTTCCCCTCAAGGAAAACTGGATTAAATTGGCGTACGGTGATTAGGTCATTGATTAGAATGAAGGGATCTTGTCAGTGGAATACAAATGCCTTATTATCAAGCTCTACGGTAATTGCTTAGCTGACCTCCCAGCTCTGTCCTGTCAGCAAGATGGTGGGGGAGCCGAGCAATCACTATCAGCTGCTGTAGCACGATCTTCTGCAGAGACAATGAAGAAAGGTATTAGAAAACCTGCAGAGCGACAACATAAAAGTCCTAAACACCTGCAGAGCGCTTTGTCACATACAGGTAGGCACACACACCTGCAAAGGGAAGATCATTATTACATGCATATACAGTGGGTACGGAAAGTATTCAGACCCCTTTAAATTTTTCACTCTTTGTTTCATTGCAGCAATTTTCCAAAAATCAAAAAAGTTCATTTTATTTCTCAGTAATATACACTCAGCACCCCATCTTGACAGAAAAAAACAGAAATGTAGAAATTTTTGCAAATTTATTAAAAAAGAAAAACTGAAATATCACATGGTCATAAGTATTCAGACCCTTTGCCGTGACACTCATATTTAACTCAGGTGCTGTCTGTTTCTTCTGATCATCCTTGAGATGGTTCTACACCTTCATTTGAGTCCAGCTGTGTTTGATTATACTGATTGGACTTGATTAGGAAAGCCACACACCTGTCTATATAAGACCTTACAGCTCACAGTGCATGTCAGAGCAAATGAGAATCATGAGGTCAAAGGAACTGCCTGAAGAGCTCAGAGACAGAATTGTGGCAAGGCACAGATCTGGCCAAGGTTACAAAAAAATTTCTGCTGCACTTAAGGTTCCTAAGAGCACAGTGGCCTCCATAATCCTCAAATGGAAGACGTTTGGGACGACCAGAACCCTTCCTAGAGCTGGCCGTCCGGCCAAACTGAGCTATCGGGGGAGAAGAGCCTCGGTGAGAGAGGTAAAGAAGAACCCAAAGGTCACTGTGGCTGAGCTCCAGAGATGCAGTCGGGAGATGGGAGAAAGTTGTAGTAAGTCAACCATCACTGCAGCAATCCACCAGTCGGGGCTTTATGGCAGAGTGGCCCGACGGAAGCCTCTCCTCAGTGCAAGACACATGAAAGCCCGCATGGAGTTTGCTAAAAAACACCTGAAGGACTCCAAGATGGTGATAAATAAGATCCTCTGGTCTGATGAGACCAAGATAGAACTTTTTGGCCTGAATTCTAAGCGGTGTGTGTGGAGAAAACCAGGCACTGCTCATCACCTGTCCAATACAGTCTCAACAGTGAAGCATGGTGGTGGCAGCATCATGCTGTGGGGGTGTTTTTCAGCTGCAGGGACAGGACGACTGGTTGCAATCGAGGGAAAGATGAATGCGGCCAAGTACAGGGATATCCTGGACGAAAACCTTTTCCAGAGTGCTCTGGACCTCAGACTGGGCCGAAGGTTTACCTTCCAACAAGACAATGACCCTAAGCGCACCGCTAAAATAACGAAGGAGTGGCTTCACAACAACTCCGTGGCTGCTCTTGAATGGCCCAGCCAGAGCCCTGACTTAAACCCAATTGAGCATCTCTGGAGAGACCTGAAAATGGCTGTCCACCAACGTTTACCATCCAACCTGACAGAACTGGAGAGGATCTGCAAGGAGGAATGGCAGAGGATACCCAAATCCAGATGTGAAAAACTTGTTGCATCTTTCCCAAAACGACTCATGGCTGTATTAGATCAAAAGGGTGCTTCTACTAAATACTGAGCAAAGGGTCTGAATACTTATGACCATGTGATATTTCAGTTTTTCTTTTTTAATAAATTTGCAAAAATTTCTACATTTCTGTTTTTTTCTGTCAAGATGGGGTGCTGAGTGTACATTACTGAGAAATAAAATGAACTTTTTTGATTTTTGGAAAATGGCTGCAATGAAACAAAGAGTGAAAAATTTGAAGGGGTCTGAATACTTTCCGTACCCACTGTATATGTATATATAAATAACATTTAGATTACTAAAACTTCCTCTTATCTGTAATTTAATACAAACCACATCTTCTTTTTGATCCTTCCTCTGTGCCATAAGCTGGTGAAATAAACTAGTCCCAGTTTCATCCTCTTTGTTTTCCTGTGCTTTATTTTCCTCCATCTCCTCCTTCTGACTTTCTCTATGTCCAATTCAAGCCCCGAGTGAGTGAAGCCTTAGCGAGCTGCGCGCCCTCAGTGTTTATAAAAGCGTATATCCTAGAAACCTATTGTTCTCCAGATGATCCTGTTAAACGAAGCCTGCTGCACTCTGACGCAGTTACAGATAATCACGATAAACACGTGAGCCAATCCCAGGCCAGGACAGCCTTGTATTTCAGGTATAGAGGGCTAGTAGTGCAGAGAACAAGGCAGTCAGATGATAAAGTTAATTTGGTCAAAAACTGTTTGCTGCCTTTCTGCTGGTCACTTCCCATGATAAGAGAATTGATGTGTGCTAATGAGGCTGGGCTCAAGGGATGGAAACTAAATGTTTCTTTTGGTTTAGTTATCCTCCATTCATTCCATGCGTTTTTCATCATCATCTTAACATTTCAGCACTCCGAATGGGAATTTTCTATTAGGAGCGTCAGCTAAATATGTAAATGTATGTGTAAAGAGGCCTATATAACGTTGAATACACACACACACACACACACACACACACACACACATATATCTATATAGATATATATATACACACACTACAATGGAGCAGAGTGCAAAGGATGCCTGAATAAATGAGTAGGCCTGTTATGTGCACATGTGAAGTCTACAGGTGAATATGATATACTATTTGCAAACTGTAGTAGGCTACTGCTACTCTGTAACATCTCTGAATAACAGTTTATTGATTATTTCTTCCACCAGTGAATATAGGCTGCTATATCTGAGATATGGTCATATAGTGCAGTCCATTTAACGTTACAACCCTGTCAGGACATTTCATAAAAGAGGAATTATATACACTATGTGCCTTGTTAAATGATTGTTTGCAGTTGTCCCTTGGTCTTATTTTGAGTTTTCCCCTTTATTTGTTGGAGTCAGTTGTTGGTTATTCCACATAAAAACTTAATAATTCCGCCATCAAAGCGCTCCGGTACAAACCTCTCTCATTCTCCCGTGAAACACATCAAACATTGTCAGGGTGTTGTTTTCTTCCTGCTCGGAGTTTCCCCATAACTTTGACGAAAAGCCTCTGAATTTTTGCAAAGCAGCCATTTTTCAGCTTTTAAGTCACCGTCGGATGTTTAGAGGGGGGTCTATGTGCGTTACCATGGCAACGAGGCACGTCAAGACGCGTTTGACGTTACCGACTGGGTGACCAGGTGGCGGGTGGTTATAACAACAAAACTTTATTCACTTTATATAAGAATTCAACCGAGTAACATTTGCAAGAAATAGGCTACGTATAAAAAATAAATAAATAAAAAGATAACCCAGTTATAATCACGATACTTACAGACTCCTACAGAGGCCTACAGCCTACCGACAGTTTAACTAAAAATAAAATACTGGTAGCCTACATACTATGGGTACACACAATAAACTTATCAACAAGCAGCAGGTTGAGCACCTATCACAATTTCTATCCATCCATCATCAACCGTTTATCCTGCATACAGGGCTTTTTATATACAGTCTACAGGTGGGGTACACCCCGGACAGGTCGCCAATCTATGGCAGGTCACCATTTCCACCATGAAAAAAATTAATAAATTAAAGGTTACTGGAAGTTTAAAAAAAATCCACCAAATGATAACATTTCTAACTTTTATCTCAAAATTACTCTTACTGTATATTTATTTTAACTTACTATGTCATAACTTTAAATCATTATATCATAATTTTGTCCAGGGCAAACAAATATTTTTTAGGTATCTGCTATGTTTAATTTTCTCTTTTCACATGACAGCCAGCTTTTAAGTTGGATCTGAGACTAATGGTGCTTTCAGACCAAAAGCGAAGTTAGTGTTCGAGGCCGTGAGTTTACATCATAGACTGGTTTACATACAAATCTGCAGGCCGGCTGAGAGCTGCTAAACTTGGGCTAGAGGAGCAGGGAGCAGCGCTGCGGCTTCGGACAAATAAACACCCGTGGTCGGACTGGATTTTGCTGGCAACTTCGCCGTTTGCTCGAGGGAGTAGCTCGGAGTAAACTGCTTTTATTAAATTAGCTTTTTACTTTAGTTTTTAGGATTACAACGTTGATTTATCTTCACTCGAGCTTCTCAGCACATCCGGTTCCAGTGTTGTTAGCGTCGTTTGGCACGACTTCATATTTATATAAAAAACGGACAAAACTGGACATTGCTGGGAGCAAAGAAAGCGAGGAGGTTGAACTACCTGGTGAGTTCAGAAAAAATGTGTTTGTAACTTTATTCCAGCTATCGTTGTACTTTATTATGACCAAGTTAGCATAGCATAGCCCTGATTGATCCGAACTCCATTCAGAAAACAAATATTTTAGAAGTTGTTGTCCTGCTGTCTTGCTGACAGACCTGACAAAGCATGAAATCATATGTTTAACAAAACTGCATTATATTGTAGTTATTTCGGCATCAGTTTGATCCGTTTATTTCTATTTACAACAATCACAACAAAATGTTTACTTTGGGTTCATACAGCTGTAGCAATGGCAAGTTGTTTATTCACATTATTGGGTTAAAATCGACTTCTCGCGTTGTGTGTGAACACTTTTTATATACAGTCTATGATGTACTCACGCGAGGAAAGCGTTGCGAGGCGAAAATTCGCGTTTGGTCTGAAAGCAACAGTATGCGCCTTCTCAAATGCTCAAATGGCTAGCGTTTTATTTTGAAAGTCTAACCAGACGTTTTATTTATTATTGGTAACTTTACCAGAAGTATATTTTGTCATTGCTAAGCATTGCAAACTTGACCAAAGAGCCCTAAACGTCAATAAATGATGCAAAAGGCCTCCCAGGTCATTAAAAGGCGACGCCAAAAGGCCTTGACCAAGCGACAATATGTGATGAGACAGGAGTGAGAACCATAATATAAAAAGGTGAGAACGTGTTGAATAAGTTAATTTTTAAATAAATGAAAATGTAAACTTAAAGGCAGGGTAGGTAAGTTTGAGAAACTATTAAGTATCTAAACTAAGTATCCAACAGACCCCTCCCTTCTGGGATCCTTTCAAAGCCACGCCCCCAAAAAAACGTGAACGTGCGTTGCCGACTCTGCTGGAGGACGAGCACACTGTGACAAGCAGAGAGCAGCGGCTCACATCAGGGGTAAGAAAACATCTAACTTTATCGTTATGAAAATTAACAACTAACCCGGCTGTTAGTACTCACTATCAAGCTAGCATGTTATTATTGGATAGGTTTAAAAAGACTGAGTTTGATTTAGTAAGGAGTTGGCTAGCTGTTAGCATCAGGTAGCTGTGCTAACAGCTGCAGTAACATTGGGCAAAGCTAAAAACAGGCTGATACACATTTTCCCTTTTCCATCAGTTACACGACACGAACGTGAATTTTGTGACTCATAACATGTACGTTGTTTTTCATGTTAGAGCTTCCATGGTGACAGCATTATTGTCTCTGATGAGGACTGCACATGAACAGGTAGCTTATTTATATATATATTTTTTTTTATATTAATACATTATTTCCCAGTGTGCTTGTCTCAAAGTTTCTCTGGTGTTTCCCCATAAGCCCTTTGGGTGTCAAAAATAAAGTGCTATATAAATGTAATCCAACACTATTGTTATTACTTTTTTATTATTGTTTACTGATTACAACAGCTAACTACAGCTCTGTAGTTAACATCCAGACTACAGTATTTCCATGCACCACACATGGCTGATCTTCCAGACCCAGGTAAGAGTAACAGACAGTTCAGTCAGGCAGCATACAGACAGTTTGTAGTGTGGCAGTGTGGAGCACTTAGAGTTGTGATACTGAGTTGCTGTTTCTGGAAGATGTGCAACTTTTGTCCTAATCCATTAGGACAATACAGAGGTTTAATCCTAGCAGGGTGTAAGATGTAATGTCACTAACTGACACAGTGCTACACAAATAATTCCATCCACTGTGTGGATGAATACCTGTATATTGTTTTATTCCCAGGAGGGCAGAGAAAACACAAAGATTTTTCCCTGTTCTGGATAATATTTTCATTCTTTTTTAAATAAAACATTGAAAATGATAAATGCCTTTTCTTTACACTTGCAGCGTAAACAATCAAGCAACTACATGTATGTCTTATGTCTCCAATAATGACATCCAAATGACACACTTGTTTATTGTTATTATATACTACTAAAACTACAACCTGTATCACAAATGGATAATTTTAAACGTCATTAAAAATAAGTATACTGTATACAAGAAGAAAGACGAGGTGTGTCCAGAGGTGTGTTGACTGATTATGAAGACAGTTCAGACTTTACTCGTAGCTTCGTATCGCTGCTGTGGAGATATATATAAATATATATAAATATATCACAATCACCTCTCTGACATGATTACCACATTTCAAAACCAGCCGTATTACTTTTTGTTTTATATTTTGCTGTATCTAGCAACACAGTTGGGGCAGGGACACCTGACAGAATCCCATGTTGATGGGGATCATCAAGTCTCCTGGTTCTGCTTCTAGGCATCTCCTCAGTAGTAGACAACCTTTGGAGGAGGATGGCACTCAGTTGACAAAGACATGGAACAAAACCCCAGACTCCAACATGACTAGATAACAGATACAGAAAGGACTACAAATAACAGGACTGACAGAGAACTAAATGAACAAGGCAGAACAGACACGCCCACAGTATGACATCTACAAGGCCCAGCTCAAGACATAAAGCACATCATTATTATCACCGATTAGCCCAAGAGATCGACCACTTCTGCGGTTCCTGTGGAGAGACCTGAAGCAGGATCGCACCTTGTGTGTATGAGTGGCAAGTACTTTCCTTTGGAGCTGTAGCCCCAGCTGTGCTACATTTGCAGGGAATATCTCCCTCCTTGTGTATTATACCAGATTTGCATGGCTGATTTCTTCTTTCCTTTATAGTTCCACACTTTGGAGCAACATTCATTTAGTCTGTCAATATTGAATACTCAGGCAATATTCATATTACAAACTACAGACACAGTTGGTGAACTATCACTTTATATGAAGAGCCAGCACTTTTGAAGGAAAACCAAAATGTACAAAAGGAATGAAAAGGCAGTGGAAATGAATCAGATATTCAAAAAAAGAGGCTGTTTTTTTTTCTCTTCCTAACCTCAATTCACATCATCATATACAGCTTTTCTCTATGTATCGTTGAGCATAGTAATACATCTATAGATATTTTCTTTACAGCTGTAAGGTGACGCATACATTTTACAGTTAATCGCGAAACAATCTCAGAAATTTTCACTTAAGGCAGCGACTTTAAAAGGAGGTTAAATACTTAAGAGTAATAAATGCTGTCCCACATGACGTCACTGTGTGCAGGGTGGTGTGATTGTCAATTGTGTTAAGTACGACCTGGATGACCGAGAAGCTTCATCTTTCATTTTCTTTTTAGATCTTTGTATTATTCTGTAGGGTTATATCATACTCAGCAAAACTGAAGAAACATTTAATAGTGCATCACATCTGAAGCAACAAAAAGTAGTAGTGTAAGGCACAGTCTGGATAAAAGGTCTCACCTTTCTTCTTTTTGTAAACAAAAAATACAATAGCAGCAATGAGGACGACAGCAAGAACAACCACTGCAGCAGTTATCGGGATGGGAATGTTACTGAGCTTCGTTACTAAGCAAAAAAAACAACAAAACGTGATCACAACATGTGCAGATGAAGATTACAAGATGTAGGCTAGATCCAGATATTGGTTTTCTGAGGGGTAGTGAATGGAGTACCATTCAGCATAAAAAAAATTAAATTAAACGTGTTTCTCACCTTTGTCAAGTCTAATCTCATTCTTACCCCGGTTGGCCCTGATCTTTGCTTTGTCCAGTTTGGTAATGATGTCGTCCTTCATGCCAGACAACTGAAACACAGTCGAACCTCCTCCAGTCTTCAGGTGTAACTGATGAAAGATTCAGGTCAACACCCATCTGAGATCTGGTAACTGCATGGCTGTAGTCACTTCATTTTCACACAGACTAAATCATTCAGTGAGCCCTGCTGCATGGGAGCATTGGCATTTGATGATCCTTCACTCTTTTATTCATGTTTTTCCTTTAATTTGTTCCTAGTCTGTATACAGAACTTTGTTCTAACTGTCAGCTGTCAATCACATTCCTTCAAGAACCTTGACAGGACGCGTCCCCTACTATTGAACTTCTGATTCCATCCTTTGCGGGACAAAGTGGACAAGCTTACTCTCAGATGTCATTAAATGATCCTGTGAATTTGCTAAAATAGCTCTTATTAGTGGGTTTTCAGAGTTGCGGCAGGAATGGAGGTGTAGGTCATTGCTGTGAGCTATTTATTCCATTTAAAAATGATCAAGAGATGTTTTCATTCCTGACTGAAAGTCAGTTATGCTGAGTATGAGGACAGCAACCTAAACATGTTAGATGATGCACTTCTCTTGTTTGTGATACTGATGGACAGGATACCAAGCTGCAACTGATGATCATTTAGAATTGAGAAATGCAAGGCGGTCCCTCTTCTATGACATCATCACTAAAAACAATAATAATGCACGTGCCTTGTTTGCTACTGTCGACAGGCGAACCAACCCTCCTGTGTTGTCCAGGTACAGGATTGAAAACTGTGTTGGACTTTCTGGCACAGTACTAAACTACTTTGTGTCTATAGGTAATTACACATCTGAGCTGACAAAAATTACATGTGGAGTTCCCCAAGGCTCCATTCTGGGGCCTCTTTTGTTCAACATTTACATGCTTCCACTGGCTCAGATTATGAAAATCAACAAAATATGTTACCATAATTATGCAGATGACACACAGATTTACATAACCATTTTACCAGGGGACTATGATACCATGAAGGTGCTGAGTGGCTGTATTGAACAAATCAACGGTTAGATATGCCAGAATTTTCTTCAATTCAACAAAGATCCAAGGCAGAATGATTGAAAGTCAGTGCTCAGCTTCAATCTGTAATGTTAAGAACCACAAATCAAGCCAGAAATCTTGGTGTAGTCATGGACTCAGACCTGAATTTGAGGAGCCATATTAACACAATTACAAAGTCAGCCTACTATCACCTGAAGAATATATCAAAGATTATAGGACTTATGTCTCAGCAAGACCTGGAAAAACTTATCCATGCATTTATCTTCAGTCGACTCGACTACTGTAACGGGCTCCCTAAAAAAAAAACCATCAGACAGACAGATTCAGAACGCTGCTGCTCGAGTCCTCACTAAGACCAAAAAAGTGGATCACATTACTGCAGTTCTGAGGTCTTTGGCTTCCTGTCTGTCAAATAATTTATTTCAAAATCCTGCTGTTAGTTTATAAGACACTGAGTGGTTTAGCACCAAAATACATTTCTGATCTTCTGCTTCGTTATGAACCATCCAGACCTCTCAGGTCGTCTGGGATCAGGTCTGCTCTCTGTCCCCAGAGTCAAAACTAAACATGGAGAAGCAGCGTTCAGTTATTATGCCCTGTATATCTGGAACAAACTCCCAGAAAACTGCAGGTCTGCTGAAACTGTCAGTTCTTTTAAATTAAGACTGAAGACTTTTCTTTTACCACTGCTTTTAATTAAATCAAATGTAAGGCTATGGATTAATGTTGTAAACCGGACTGTGACTTTTACTGTCCTATTTTACCCTGTTTTTATTTCCTATTTAACTCTTTAAAATTTATTTTATCCTGTTTTTGTTTTTTTCAATTTCCCTTTGCTGCTTTTATGTTTTATGTAAAGCACTTTGAATTGCCTTGTTGTTGAAATGTGCTATACAAATAAACTTGCCTTTCCTTGATGTCAGGACTGTCCCGTTTGGTGTCAGTTTTGGTTCTGTTGATCCCCACAATGACCCCTGATATTCATTGGAGCATTTTTCCAGCTGAGTGTGACACAGTCAGGATTAAGATCAATACCTCCTTTAAACAAATTCTCACTGCAGTCAAGACAAAGTGGCACTCATTCATTTAATTAGCCATTAATCCACTCTTCAGAACAATTATGGCTCTCGTTCTGTATAATCACAATACAATTACCATGTAAATGATATTAAAGTGTATGTCGCCTTCAAAAACTGGAAGAAACACCTGATGTTCTCTGAGGCTTAAGGGGAAAACTAAATGCAACAGAAGCACAAAGTAGAATTCAAAATTACCATTTTGTCAGCACTAACATTAGGGACTGAAGCCATCTGCAAGTATTTAAAGTTCTTCTTAAGTAAAATCACAAAGGAATAAGAGGTTTATTGGTGAAATGATTAAGCCAGGAATGATATAGGTTTATTTACCCAAGACTGAACACTGAAAATTTCCAAGGCATGAAATTTTTACACTGATGTATTACCATCCGAGTTTATAGTTGTTGTTGCCCTCTAGATAATAAATCTACGATATCAGCAGAGAAATAAAGTAGGCTAATGCACAGCACAAATATTGTGACTTTATACTCATAATACAGTAGTTACAGTACAGTAGTTTATAAGCTGTGATTAGTTGTAGACGCATCGCACATTAGGCTACATGGTTGTGCTCTGTGAAAAACAGGTTACAGAATTCCTTATACTATGCTGAGTTATAATCAGCCTGCATTGAACACAGCAGGTGATACAACAAACCTTTATAATCCTTCACCCACCCAAGCAAGTCTATCTGATTCCACTAGCCTTACCAATTACAAACTAGTTAGTAACCCCTGTGGTATTTTTATACCACACGTTCACCTGTCTTACCAAAGAACCCATTTCAATAATCTGTCATCAGAAGTAGATACAGTATTCAGTTTCTACATGTTCAGAAACCTATAACTTATGTAGGAATTTAAAAACTATAAAGTATCATTTAAAAAGGATAAAAAAGACATGCTTAGAAACTGAAACAAATGATTGCATCAATGTAAAATGAATGATAAAATAAACATGTATGACAAAATCAAACAACATTTTTTTTAGATCATGAATTATAAATTTCTAATGTGAAATAAATTATTACATTTAACATAATACATATGAAGCACAACAATTATACCGATTACTTACAGGCACTTACAATTTTGTTGCATGAAGCCATCTTTAGTTCTGAAAAGCTACTGTATATAATGTGTCACATGTCATATGAGGAAACTCATTTAGTGTGTTTGTCAATGTGTGGATTCAGTCCCTCAGAGAGTTCAGAGCTGTTGTCAGGATCTGTAAGGTCAGAAACAAACTGTGTGAAACAGCGTCCACTAATTCTGTACTTAACCTTTGTGAATCTGCATAATAATGTGAAGCCTTTTTTAATCTACAGCACAAGGTTTGTGTCAGATCAGATGAAATAGAATAAAAGTGACCAGTACCAATTGTAGTACATTTGGCTGAAATCAAAACAGAAGACAAATAATTTCAGTTCAAGTTGTAAATGCCAGAATATCTTTTGTCACCTTTCATCCCTAGTGAAAGTAATCCCCACTTCTCACTCAAACTGAAAAACAACTCCTTTCTTCCCTTCTAATTAGTCTTTACTTTTTTTCTTTTCTAATCAGTTCTCTCACACGGGATAGTCATATTATCATCACTCACAGGCTCTGACCCTCACAGCTCTTACTGTTGGTTACTTCTAACTGCGGGATGCAGGGAACTGATGCTTGTTAAAAAAAAATTTAACTCAAAGACTAAAATCAAAGTACTGAAAAATATCAGAAAAGCAGATAATCTTTATCTCTCACTTTTCTTTTTTCTGTAAGCCATCAATCCAGCAGCAGCGATGAGGACGAGAGCAAGAACAACCACTGCAGCGACAATGGGGACGGTCATGACGCTGGGTTCTTCTGCTGAACAAAATTACAACAACAAAAAACTAAGACTAGTACAGATGAAGCAGTTTAGAACAAAAGTACATTGATCCATCCAATTGTTTATTCATACTTGTTGCTGTGAACTAAGACTGACTTATAGTTTAGTTAATACAGTAACATCAATGATTTGGTTCATTTAGTTAAAAGTGTGTCCAGGGGCGGACTGGGATAATAATGGTGCGTCCATTTACCTCAGAAGTCGGACGTGAAATCACACACGTGTTGAGCATTCCAGTACAACAACAGATTTAAGTCGGAAACCAAGATCTGATTGGAACTCGGAAATTTCGACTTACTATGTCAAATGGACTACACCATAATTACTATCCTGTGTATTATGTCAACTTTTTTATTTTAGCCTGCAAGAAAGGAGGGGGGGGCGTCATGCAGTCGATATTGACTACCAGCTATAGACAGCTAGTGTTGTTTCGTTCATAAGACCTAATCGTGTGTATGACTCGAGAGGAACGGGTTGTCTCAGTGAGTAATTCGTTCATTTTCATGCATGTGTGAAGGATCTTGGACTCTTACGTTCACTCGTTACATGGCAGCTGCATGGGCTCCATCAGCACAGGAAACAGAATTGATTAGTTCACGACTCTCAACTGTGGGTCTCAGGGTTTGATTCGTTCATTTGTCACGTGACAGCTCGGCTACAGGGCTGTGGTAAGCAGGCAGCACAGGAAACAGAATTGATTAGTTCACGACTTTCAACTGTGGGTCTCTAGGTCTGAGTCGTTCATTTGTCACAGAAACTTTTACTTTTTATTTATCAACAGAGCAGTGCTGTTGTTTCACAGCTCGTGACTGGTAAACAAGCTGGCAGTGTTTGAGAGCGATGTGCTCATGTTTGTTTCTCTGTCTGCAGAATCAGGACCTGATGTGGCCCATCCTGCGTCCAGAACTGCCAAACTGCTGCGTTTACATGTGTTTATTTCTTTGTTCCTCTCTCTGTGCTGGAGTTCTTTAAGAACTTGGTGGCTTGATCCAGATTATTATTAAATTGATTGAATTTTAATAAGAGTGTGTTTATTCATATAGTGTATCAAGTTTATTACTTCAATATATTTACTGCAAATCTGATATTAATATTTTACTCATGGATAGGGATGTTAGGCTACTGTATGAATGAGCACTTTAGAGATAATGATAGTAATTATATACATAAGCCTTTATGTGGCTGGTCTGGTTGTATACTCGGGAAAGATTGTGAAAATCGAAGGATATAGCCGGAGTAGTGGATTAACATATTTCTGTGGTTTTTACATGGTTTGAATTTGGTTGTGGGCCCAGGGGGGTTTATATAATGATGATATACAGTAATCAATATATACACAATATAATTGTGCATTATACTTATACTCAAATAATGTAAGCCAGACAGCCTTCCGTGTTTTTTAATCGCCCACTAGAGGGCTGCAGCGCCGCAATAACCAGCCTAGTTCAAATGAACGTAATGAACGAAAAAAGATTAGTTCATTTTAATGAGTCTGTCAAAAGACTCGAACTTGCCATCACTATAGACAGCGTGCTAGCCTCGAAAACCTAGCTGTATTCTAACATTAACTTAGCTATCCTTATTAGCCAGGGTCCTTACATGCTTTTAATGAAAGCAAGATGTGTGTTCCCAGATCGTCGGGGAGCGTGCGCGTGCACAATATGCACAAATTTGCCATTATCAGCTGCAAAATAGCGACAGTTTCCTTCAGTCTAGCAGGGACAATTAAGCTTTTATAACTTCTCCCTTGTGACTTGTGTGCGTGAGTGAATCAGGTGAGAATCTGCTTATGTTTCTTCAGCTGTAGAGCAAGTTAATTTCCTGTTAACATGCATGCCTTTGTATATTTCTCAGTTTCTCTTTGTAAATTTTGCCGTGTCTTTCCATGTGCTAACTTGAATCTGTGAATGCTATTATGGGTTATGTCAATAATATACATTATTTGAACACAAAGTGTAGCATTTTATGTAAAGGATTTCACCAGATTTGTTGGAATATTTAAGATTTATAATTTGGAAGAATTTGATTTGAAGATTTGATTTGAAGATTTTTCCTTTGTTCATTTCCAGAACCACATCCATTCACTGTTGTAACCTATCGCTGAAATAAATATAAATAAATAAATATAAATAAATATATGGACGACCCCAAAGAAAGCGACATCCCCCAGTGCATTTTGCCAGCTATAACGTCGATTATCTTCCTTCCCAGCATCCTTCTACCATGCCACCATGTCTCCCAAAAAGGTGTAGTGGTCACCTAAGGGTCGCTTCAGAGAAGAGCACATTGAGCTCCCGGTCACATGACGCAGCTCGGGAGATGTCAAAGAGGGTTCTGATGTTGAGTGTTCCTCCGACAAAGGCCTACCTTGACCAACCCAACCGATCATAGCAGGTCATGCTGAAAGTTGTGAAGGTCCTTCTCCATAATGGAAACCGAGCTATGGAAACTTATGCCGTGCTAGATGATAGCTCTGAAAGAACCATCATACTGTCACAGGCCATACAGCAGCTTCAGCTGTCCCGACAGTCAGAAATTCTTCAGCTTCTTCTTCACCTCAGAACTGTCCAGCAGGAGGTTGTGGAGCTTCATGGTGCCTCAGTTAACGTGTACATATCCCCATTACATCAGCCGGCCATGAAGTATAAGATCAGCCAGGCTTTTACTGCCATCAGCTTAAGCTTAGCTGACTACTCCTACCCATTTGCTGCTATTCAGAAACGCTACGAGCACCTCAAAGGCTTACCACCAGTTGACCGTGTTTGACCTCTTCTGCTAATCGGCTCAGACATGCCCCACCTGTTGGTACCTACTCGACAGGTGCGCGCAGGCCCTACAGGAGCACCAGTGGCTGTCTGCACCAAGTTTGGCTGGACCCTCCAAGGACCCACTGGGCACAGACAAATAGCGCCTGCAGAGCAATGCCACCCACTCTAAACAGGACCAGCAAGCCCTTGCTTTACTGCAAAGGGCCTCCACCAGGGTTGAGGTTGATGGTGCGCCATGCCACTCCACTCCTCCGACGGACCCCAACGGTAACCCTGCGCGCCCCAAAAGAAGGATTGCTACCAAGCCTACGCAGTATAGAGAGAAGGGATCCTGGTCGGGCAGAGGCATATTGCAAGGAGATCCACACACTCGAGGAGGCTGGTTATGTATTGAAAATATCTCCTGAAGAAGTTGAACAATCCTCAGAGTCCTTGTTCATCCCCCACCAATGGTGCAGCACAATGGTAAGGACAGGGTCGTGTTCAACTGTTCCTTCACCTATAGGGGTCAATCACTGAATGACCAACTCCTCCTAGGATCAACCCTACTCGGTGTCCTCCTGAGGTTCCGTCAGCATACCGTGGCAATCAGTGGGGACATAAAAGGTATGTTCCACCAGATCCGTCTGCTGCCATCTGATCGACCTGTACTCTGTATTCCTCTGGCGGGACATGCAGAGATATAACGAGCCAACCATTTACAGGGGCAGGTGTTACCCTTCGGAACAACCTGCAGTCCCTGTGGTGCGATCTATGCTCTGCAGAGACACGCCCAGGATCACAAAGCTGACAACCCCACATTTGCTGAAAATGTGGAACATTCCTTTTATGTCGACAACTGTTTGCACAGCACCAGTGCTGTTGGAGAAGCCAGAGCCCTCGTTGATGGACTTTGCTAGCTACTGCTTTCTGGAAGAAAGATATGTTTGAGATACGTCAGTGGGCAAGCAACATGCCAGAGGTTATAGGACACCTACACCCAGAGGCTTGGTCACAAAGCAGTGTGTTGTGGTTGTCTTAAGGCAGCAAAGACCTACAGGAGCCCACGCTTGGACTTGGCTGGGACTGCTTACATGACACCCTGGGGTACAGACCTCGTCCTGTTGAGACATCAGTTCCCACTATGCGGCATGTTTACAAAGTGCTAGCCTGCCAATACGACCCCCTGGGCTACTTTGTGCCGTTCACTATGAGAGGCAAGATGCTCATTCAGGACTTGTGGAAGGAGGGCAGAGGCTGGGATGATCCTATCCAACCTAACAACTTAACATCCCTTTTCTGTGGATCATACTCTGGTCTGACTCTACAACAATTCTGTACTGGATCAGATCTGAATCCTGTCGACACAAGGTTTTTTAGTGGGAACCCGCACCACAGTGATCCAAAACCTGACAGATATCAAGAGCTGGAGATATGTGGAAGGACGGCAAACTTAAGAAGTCTACTTTCATTGGGAACATCTCCATTGACCCTGTTCCACATCTCCCTGATATTACCAAGTTCCACACATGGAAGGAACTTGTACAAGCTACAGCCTGGTCCCTACATGGTGCGGCAGACTCTGCCACCACCACTCCATGTGAAGCCACAGAGTACATAAGAGCACAGAAGCTTCTATTGATGCACTCTCAGAGGGACTCGTTTCCAGAAGAGGTGAACGCCCTTCAGGCAGGTAGTTCCCTTCCATTAGATATTCGCCTTGGGTCTCTTGCACCAGAATATGATGAGGCCACTGGATTACTTTGAGTAGGCGGTAGGCTTCGACGATCAGAAGTTCTCGAGATAATAGAAAACTCTTATTTGGAAGAATTTGATTTGAAGATATTTTTCCTTTGTTAATTTCCAGAACAACACCCATTCACTGTTGTAACCTGTCACTGGAATAAATAAAGCGTCCTCTCAGAATCGATTCTCTGGCCGGAATCATTTCATCCATAGTTGTCAGACCCAAAACAATTGTTTCCCGAAGCCCCCTTCCTCACATTCTTGCTAATAACTTTTTTTGTAAGCTGGGTCTCTGACATTGACAGCGCTGTGTTGGACAGATTTGTGTAGCTGTGTTCATGAGGGAGGGAGTGACAGAGCAAGAGAGAGAGGGACGAGCAAGAGGATGTGCTGCGCGAATGCGCTCTGCAATCAAATTCGATTTTAAATTGGCCTAGTAAAAAAAATCGAAAATCAATATGTGCCGTTCAGCCTTGATATTGTGGTGGGCTGCCACAAATAAATGAACGTATAGGGAAACACTGTAGCCTATAGTGATGCTGCTGCAAGGCAGGGGCAGTCAGCTAATGCTACATTAGCTCGGACCTGCTGCTGTTTGCTTCGTAACGTTTAATTTAGATTTATTGTCATTTTACGATACTCAGGTACACAGCTTCTTCACACGTCTCAGTCGTTTGCTGAGCCTGTCTGGTTAGTTATTGAAAAGGGGCAGGCAAACTGGCCTTGTTATTTATAATTCTGAGATGAGTGAAGAGTCAACAGGCTGCCCAAATTTGTCATTAGTTTGTTCAAAACAATTTGGTCTGTAAAATGCTTTAAAACATTCTGTGTTTTTTTTTTAGGCTTACATGATCTGACCAGTGATCCTGGGCAACGTGTATTTCTTAATTAAATTATTTTTAAAAACCAAAATACCCAACAAACCACAGACATGCAGTCCCATTCAGCACTTTCTAATCTCATTCTTACCCCAGTTGGTCCTGATCACTGCTTTGTCCATTTTGGTGATGATGTTGTCCTTCACACCAGAGATCTGAAACACACAGTCGTACCTCCTCCAGTCTTCAGGTGTGACTGATAAAACATTCAGGTCAACACTCATCTGGAAGGATCCATCGTGGTTGGGAAGGATCTCTCCGTGGTCCACGTCTTCATGAATCTCCTCTCCATCTTTCCTCCAGAACATCACGGCCCTGTCAGGGTAGAAACCTGTAGCGTGGCAGATGACTGGAGAGGAGGGAGTCTTCTGGAGGAGAGACACAGAGGGAGGGTCTGGAGAGAAGGAGGGAGACAGAGAGACAATAATTACAACAATAATGTTATTAACAATATGGACTACAATGCAAATCATACCAAAGGTTTTTTTCACTGAGGGCCAGGTTTTCTTGTAAACAAACAAGTTGTTGCATTCAGTTTTTCTTACCAAAATGCAGTGTGTGTATCACTGAGATCTAAATGCATTTCCTTCCTCATGAAACATTTGCAAACCTGATTTTTTAAATATTTAAAATCTTGCATTGTACATGTGAAAAACTATAGTAAATACATGGTCTGTGATGTTAAAATCTGGGCCCTGTTTCAGAAAGCTGAGTGTAAACCTGAACTCTGGGTTGACGAACTCTGAGCTGTCAAACTCCGAGTTTTCTGTTTCAGAAAGGCCGATCAGAATAAGTTCAGTCAACTCAGAGTATGTGGGGATGAAAAAAAGCCTGTTGTGGGGACAGCCCGGAGTGTCCTGTTTTTTTCTCGTTTTATTTCTCCCACTGTTCTGCTCTCCTGTACAGGTGCTGGTCATATAATTAGAATATCATCAAAAAGTTGATTTATTTCAGTAATTCCATTCAAAAAGTGAAACTTGTATAATGTATACATTCACAGACTGTCTCCAGACAGACTGTTATATTTCAAGTGTTCATTCCTTTTAATTTTGATGATTAAAACTGACAACTAATGAAAACCCCAAAATCAGTATCTCAGAAAATTTGAATATTGTGAAAAGGTCAATCAACTAATTAACTCAAAACACCTGCAAAGGCCTTTAAATGGTCTCTCAGTCTAATTCTGTAGGCTACACAATCATGAGGAAGACTGCTGACTTGACAGCTGTCCAAAAGACGACCATTGACACCTTGCACAAGGAGGGCAAGACGCAAAAGGTCATTGCTAAAGAGGCTGGCTGTTCACAGAGCTCTGTGTCCAAGCACATTAATAGAGAGGCGAAGGGAAGGAAAAGATGTGGTAGAAAAAAGTGTACAAGCAATAGGGATAACCGCACCCTGGAGAGGATTGTGAAACAAAACCCATTCAAAAATGTGGGGGAGATTCATAAAGAGTGGACTGTCAGTGCTTCAAGAACCACCACGCACAGACGTATGCAAGACATGGGTTTCAGCTGTCGCATTCCTTGTGTCAAGCCACTCTTGAACAAGACACAGTGTCAGAAGCATCTCGCCTGGGCTAAAGACAAAAAGGACTGGACTGCTGCTGAGTGGTCCAAAGTTATGTTCTCTGATGAAAGTAAATTTTGTATTTCCTTTGGAAATCAAGGTCCCAGAGTCTGGAGGAAGAGAGGAGAGGCACAGAATCCACGTTGCTTGAAGTCCAGTGTGAAGTTTCCACAGTCAGTGATGGTTTGGGGTGCCATGTCATCTGCTGATGTTGGTCCACTGTTTTTTCTGAGGTCCAAGGTCAACGCAGCCGTCTACCAGGAAGTTTTAGAGCACTTCATGCTTCCTGCTGCTGACCAACTTTATGGAGATGCAGATTTCATTTTCCAACAGGACTTGGCACCTGCACACAGTGCCAAAGCTACCAGTACCTGGTTTAAGGACCATGGTATCCCTGTTCTTAATTGGCCAGCAAACTCAACTGACCTTAACCCTATAGAAAATCTATGGAGTATTGTGAAGAGGAAGATGCGATACGCCAGACCCAACAATGCAGAAGAGCTGAAGGCCACTATCAGAGCAACCTGGGCTCTCATAACACCTGAGCAGTGCCACAGACTGATCGACTCCATGCCACGCTGCATTGCTGCAGTAATTCAGGCAAAAGGAGCCCCAACCAAATACTGAGTGCTGTACATGCTCATACTTTTCATGTTCATACTTTTCAGTTGGCCAATATTTCTAAAAATCCTTTTTTTTGTATTGGTCTTAAGTAATATTCTAATTTTCGTAGATACTGAATTTGGGATTTTCATTAGTTGTCAGTTGTAATCATCACAATTAAATGAAATAAACAGCAAGATATGAATCACAACGCCAACGTGCTTGCAAGAGCACCCAAAATGTCTCTGATTGAATAGGGGCTAAATAAAATCTGATTTCCACAAAATATGGAAATATCAGACTAATTGTTGTGATAATACAATGGCAGTGCAGAAGGCTATATGAACATTGTTGTGTTAATCAGGTCATGTGAGTCTACCTGTTCTCTGCAGAGAGCTCTTGCCATAGGTCAGAAACAACTTCAACCACTCAAGACACATCTGAGTGAGATAGTGCACAGTGTATTTTATTTCAGCAGAAGTATCCCATCTCAGTTTGGTGGCAACAGCCTGTTGTTTCGGAGCAATCCAAGTCAATGTCTTCAGGTCGAATACCAGGAAGTCTTCTCCATCGTAACCAAACTGCATAAAACCACTCAACTCTCCAGTCGCATCATCCCACTCACAGCCACTCATCTGCTGTAAAATGTGTCCACCTGAGAGAGAGAGAGAGAGAGAGAGTCTGTCTGATGGATTTTTTTTAGGGAGCCCGTTACAGTAGTCGAGTCGACTGAAGATAAATGCATAGATAAGTTTTTCCAGGTCTTGCTGAGACATAAGTCCTTTAATCCTTGATATATTCTTCAGGTGATAGTAGGCTGACTTTGTAATTGTCTTAATGTGGCTGCTTAAATTCATGTCTGAGCCAAGCTTTCTGGCTTGGTTTGTGGTTCCTAACCTTACCAATTCAAGCTGAGACACACACACGCGCACACTTACAGTTTTATTTATTTATTTATTTTCATTTTTAATTTATTTTTAATTTTTTTAACACAAAGACATATACGCTTTGATTACGCTTTAATTACTTGTTTAATGAAATGTATGGGGTTGATTGTTCTCATGTAGTTTGTATGATGCTTTGGCAATATTGTTGTTACACATTCATGCCAATAAAGCTAATTTGAATTTGAAGATATCTCGATCTTGCTTTCTATCAGTAATGAAACCTAATTTGTATTTCACATCTTAAAATTTATTGAAAATGTGTATGTCTTCTTGCATTCTGTGCACCTAAAAAAAGTGAAAACTCTGAGCATGTTATCCCTGAAATGAGGGAAACTCTGTGTTTTCGGTTTCAGAATGGGAGGTACGTTAAACCCAAGAAAGCAGAGTAAGTCAAGCCCGTTTCTGAAAGAGAGGTAACTTATACTCAGAGTCGGTTACCATGGCAACTTACTCTGTGAACCTAACCTGGTTGGGAGCAGGTTTTCTTCAGTAAACTCAGAGTTTCTTTTGGTCTACTCCCCTTTTTTAAAGAGGAAGCGGTGTTCAAACACCTCATTGATTCTTTCGGTACATTCATTCATTGCGCACATTTCAGTCACACAGAGAGCATCAAAGGGAATGAAATGGCATGTCCTTTTATGGACGATCCTGTTGATGAAGAGGCTTAATTCGTAGGGAGTTACATTTACGTCAGGAGAGGATTTTGAGGCCCAGAGTGGATATTTTGTCATATCCCTATTAATTTTTATTTGAGTGGTACCGTTTTTCTTTACAGTCAATAACATACATCCATAATCTCATCCATCCTTACATCAGAAACATCAACCATCGCGGCTGTGCTCTTACATTCGAGCAGATGCTTTGCGTTTCTTTGCAAATGGTAGTTTTCTGTATAACATCGGGGATGCAGAACATATTAGTAAGGCTACTGTTTGCAGAGCGGTAAGGAAAGTGTGCCTCGCTCTTAAGCGCTTTCTGAGAATATTTGTGTTGTTTCCTGGGCCCAAACCAGTGAGAGTCATCAAAGAGGAGTTTCACAGGATTGCAGGTCAGTGGTGTATAAATAGGTTTAAATGAGGCTAACCTGATAAATGACATTCAGTTAAGAATATCTTGCTGCGAACCCTGGAAGTAACCTAATAATCAGAATTCCCTTTAGGTTTTCCGAATGTGGTTGGATGCATTGATGGCACACATATTCCGATCATTGCACCTTCTGAAAATGAAGCGGAATATGTCAACAGGAGATCCATCCACAGTATAAATGTGCAGGTACACTGACAGCCTACTGTTTCTAATGGTCAAAGACTACATCACAATACTGTAACATCTCTCATTCTTTGCACTATCAAGATCATATGTGACGCTGCACATATAATCACAAATGTGGAGGCCAAGTGGCCTGGCTCTGTTCATGACTCAAGAATCTATCGGGAGTCAACCCTGAGCAACAGACTGGAAAGGGGTAAGTAAATGTATGTCCTACACACATATTTCAATGTATACACTACACACTTACAGGGGAATTTCTATGGAGCTCTAAAGCAATGTGAACTTTCTTACAGGAGAGATTGATGTCTTTCTGCTAGGAGATAGGGGTTACCCATGCTGACCAAATCTTATTACCCCTTACCCAGAATCTGAACCAGGCCCACAGCAGCGCTTCAATGTGACACACTGCAGGACGAGAGCCCGGGTGGAGATGACCATAGGCCTGTTGAAAGCACATTTCCAGTGCCTACGTTACCTTAGGGTAACCCCTGAAAGTGCCTGCGACATTATTGATCACAACATCATGTTAGACAGACTGAGGCACTGGTACAGCCCTAGAATGGTTTTCATCCTACCTGTCAAATAGGAAGTTTTGCGTGTCTGTAAACAACTATGTCTCTTCGTTCTGTCCAGTTAAATATGGTGTGCCTCAGGGCTCGGTCTTAGGACCCATTTTGTTTTCCTTGTATCTGCTTCCCCTTGGACATATTATCCATAAACATGGCATTTCTTTTCATATTTATGCTGATGACACACAAATATACTTGCCCATCAGATCCACAGACCCTGGAATGCTGAGTTCACTTAACAACTGCCTTTGTGAAGTTAAAAAATGGATGTCAAATAATTTCCTCCAGCTGGACTCAGACAAAACAGAAATCCTGGTCATTGGGTCCCAGCAGATGGCAAATCAAATACTGCCATCTGCTGGTTCCCTAGTAAATCACATTAAGCCTGTGGCAAAGAACCTTGGTGTTTGGTTTGATAGTAATTTAAATTTCGAGCAGCACACCACAAAGCTTGTTCAATCATGTTTTTATCAACTTAGAAATATAGCAAAAATTCAATCTATGTTATCGAGACCATTTTACACGCCTTCATCTCATCACGCCTGGATTATTGCAACAGCCTTTTCACCTGTTTAACCCAAAACCCATTACGCTGGCTCCCAGTATGTTTTAGAATTGACTTTGACTATTGATCACTTTTAAAGCTCTTCATGGCCTCTCGCCTTGTTATATTTCTGACCTTTTATTCCCATACGCACCAGCACGCACCTTGAGATCCTCGGGCAGAGGTCTGTTGTCTGTTCCAGAGTCTCGACTGAAAACTAAAGGGGACAGAGCGTTTGCTGTCAGGGCCCCGAGGCTCTGGAACAGCCTGCCCGAGGAAATCAGGTCGGCAGAGTCAGTGAACTCTTTTAAGTCCCTTCTTAAAACATACTTTTATAGGAGAGCCTTTCCCGATCTTATTTGACTTTGTTTCATTCCTTTTATTTTATTCTATTTTACTAATTCTATATTTATCTAAAACGTGTATTTTAGTCTTTTTGATGTTTTCATGCTTTTATCTTGTATTGTTTTTGTATTATTATCTTTTGGGTATTATTGTCTTTACACTTGTTAAAGCACTTTGAAACTTGTTTTTGAAAAGTGCCCTACAAATAAAGATTATTATTATTATTATTATTGTGGCATGTGTTGTTCTCCATAATATTGCCATAATTAGAGGGGAGCAACACCCTGTCCTACAATTACAAGACCCAGAGGAAGACCCCATCAATCCTGCAGATTTCCAGGATGGCGCAATGTCTTCTCAGATCAATCATGATATCCACCACCACAAAAACAAAAATGAATAAACACAAAATCACAGCAATTTATATGGTGTTCTTCATTTCTTACAAAAAAAAAAAAGTTAGATTTTAATATAGTTTCAATACTTCCTAGAATTCACCTGTGACCATACATTCACCTCTAGCTTTTGTTTCAGAATCTTGATTTCCAGATCTGCCTTTTGGATCTGGCAGTCCAAGTATACAAGTTCTTTGCTGTTCTTTTTAATAAGAAGAAGTCTATATAACTCCTTAACTGGCAACTGAAATTTTTAATTAATTGTAGATTAGAGTTACATCATGTAGTTCTAAAATTCAGAATTAAACTCTGGCATTTACTGTAAATCACTGAACTGTGTTCATCTGTGCACCAGAAGTTGATGGGCCTTCCTCCTGCTGTTCTTCCACACTCTGGCGGGTAGAGAAAAGAATGACCATTTATAGATATAAACTTAGATTCTATAGGCTACTCCACATAAAAATGTGAATAAATGTGAATGTGTAGTTTGTTTGATGTGTAGACACATCATATCATTACCTCTGTAGGCCTGTCTGTGGCAGCAGAAACGGTTTCTTCATCCCCATCATCCTGTGAAGATGAGCATTTCAGTACACTTTATAATACTATTTGTCATAATTTATGGTGTATGGAGTAGGCTACTTACAACTGCCTGGGGTTCTGTTGGGACAGGAGGCTCCAAGAGACAGATATTACCATCCGAATCTGTTGGGACCAACGAAAAACCCAACCCAAAGTAATATAAATGGAAATATCACAAATACGCTATATAAAAAACAACACATATGTAGGTAGACCTCTTACATTTTATGAAGGCACTTAAATCTTCTGGAGTGACTGGCTCTGATGAAGTCCCTCCAGGTATTCCCTCAGCCATTGGCCTTCCCGCATTCAGGCTCAGGGCCATCTCCTCTGCATTTGTCAGAGGTGGTGGTGCAGGTCCTTCCCCCAGTTTTGCAAGCCTCTGCCTTCTTTCTGTTGGCTGAGTAGTCAAATGAGAATGAACATTTAGATCTATGTCAAAAATGCTGCTGCACGTCTAGACACTGAATGCTATTTAGTCATTTAATATGTCAAATGTTTGTAAAGCCAGGTACCCTACACCTATGATATGCTCAAGGCTTACCTGATTGAATTATGTTTTTATATTTCATTTTCAACTGCTGCCACGTTCTTTTAATGCCTGCAGGATTGCACCTAGACATGAAAATTAAATTAATAGGTTTAATAAAATACTGTTCTTCCAGTTTCAACTCTGACTTTATGACAGTTGGGTTATAACAGTCTAAAATAGTTCTTAATTACCAACCACAAATTACATCTTCAACAAGTCTAGTTAGATCAATGTAATAATTACTATTAGGAGAGACAAGAAACTGCACTTCTAATGCTTTCAAATAAACAATATCCAATTGCATAAATTATTCTTGAATTGACCAAAGTGTAACTAGAGGGAGAAGGTTACATTAAAAATATACCTTTTAAAATTTGATGTTAAATCCACTATTGTTTTATAGTCTTTAATTAAATTACAGTATTTACATTACATTTATTCATTTAGCTGATGCTTTTATCCAAAGCGACTTACAATTGCTATATGTGTCAGAGGTCACACGCCTCTCGAGCAACTAGGGGTTAAGTGTCTTGCTCAGGGACACAATGGTGGATGGGTCAGAGTGGGGGGTTGAACCCGGGTCTCTCACACCAAAGGCATGTGTCTTATCCATTAGCACCCCCTATTTAGATTACTTAGTAATTAATTACACCCAACACTGTATAAAAGTAATTAAAATGTAAACTTACGCATTGACTCGAGCAGCTATTTTCTCCCAAGCTAACTGTCTGTCCTTCGCGGCTGCAGCCGTGTTGCTTTTTAAAAAAAAAAACGTGTTCAAATTCTGCATATGCTTTCATAAGCACATCCAGTTCTGCTGGGGAGAAATATGGCGACCTCTTTTTGTCTGACGCTGTTGCCATGGTGACTCATAATATCTCCATTGATAATGTTTTTTTACTACAGCGGTACAAAGGCAACATTTTGCTGTGATTTTTTGAACTTTGCCCGTTTTGTGCCTCCGGCTTTCAAGCCTTTACGGACCATGGTTAGGCTACTCCACTCATTGCCAGAAAAAACACAAATGTCAGAGACTGCATTTCTCCCGGTGAACGCCTCATGGTGACTTTAAACTGATGATACACGGGGCAACATTTTGAGCAATGTTGCTGGGCAATCTTGCTAGTGGCAAGTCCAACTATGTTTTGAACGGATAGCGGCGGAGTGAGTCGGGTGGCGGAGTGGTGGGGGAAGGGGATTACGGCAGTAATCTTTACTCATTACCACTGATGGCAATGTTGCCCAGCATGATTGCTCAAAAAGTAGCTCCGTGTATCATCAGTTTAAGATTCCTGGCAACAGGCGAGGTTCTAAAATGTATATAGACTAGCCTACGTCTATATAGGCCTACTTTACTCATACAATACACTTAGATGAAGTGAAACGCATTACCTAACATGTTTGGGGTTTCTTTTACAGGTGAAACCTTCCAGAGCCTTTCTTACCAATTTCCGATTGGTTGCTCAACAATTCGTACGTTTGTTCCTGAAACCTGTGTGGCCATCCATCAAGTTCTTTGTGAAAAATATCTCAAGGTAACGCTATGCATTAATAATTTATCATCATAAGCCTATATCATATAGCCTACTGCTTACAGGCCAGGGGGTCTTATTTATAAATACTGCCTACACACAAAGTCACAAAACAGGGGTGGATAATGTACCCTGATCATCATGTATCACTGCCTGATGGCTTTGACTTCAGGTATCGACTGTATTGAGTCCTCATGGTCTCCATCATTGCTTTCACCATAGTCTCTGTAACAAACAATAGATCCAGCTACCACTACTCAACAGTAACTTTATGATTTATAATTGTTCTTAGGATTTTAAGACCAATTAACTAAAAGGTAATATAATTATTTATTTTATTTATCCTGCCTAGTACCTGGTTATTAATAATAATAATAATAATAATAATAATATAATAAAAGTAATCATTTAACTTGCCATTAATACCCCACATACATCAAAAGAGCATGTTCAGTTGTCAAATTTAGCTATTTTCCCTCTGTTCTCTACTCAGTAGCTTACTATGGCTACATTTTGACCGTTGGGTATTCAACTGAAGTTCGAGGAAACTTGCCATCTAGCTATAGCCATCTAGGATACAAGTAACTTATGATTGCTACATCTCACACGGCCCCTCCCTTCCCATGACTTCCAGTCATAAGAATCTCAATTGCAAACATTATGTTGAGCTGACATTACCAATGATTAATAACAATAAAGCTGATCTAAAATCATAATCGGGTTACAGTGAACTGTTTTACTAGTTAGCTAGCTGTACTCACCAGAAGCCTCCAGTTTCTCCGTTATGTATTTCACCGCGTTATTGATCATATTCCATATTTGTATATTAAGGTTGCTTTGTTCCGAGTGTCTTTGAGCACTGTCTAAAGCGCTATATAAATATAATGTATTATGTTTTTATTATTATTATCATAATAAGGTGCTGAGATCTGCAGAGAGGGTGAGCTTCAACAGTGCAAGCTCCTAAGGTGTCGACAGTCACACACATCGTCCGGGAGGAGATTGGAACAGAGGATGTTTTTCTGCTTGGGAACACATTGAGGAGACACAGTTTGGCATCGACAACCATCATTCTGACTTGTTGTCATTGGTTGTGTCTGTGTTTTTCAGGATAAGGCTGCACCACGTTGCCAAACTCACCTCTCTTGAACTGCAGAAAGGGAGCACGAGAAAGAAGCTCTGCAAAAAAGTTCTCTTTCAGGGGTTTTAGCTCATGCAAAGCTTTCATATGTGTCTGTGTGTGTGTGTGTTGGGCTGCTAAATGTCAAGGGCCGGGAGGAGATGGATGCAGAAGAAAGTGTTAGTACACTGTGTGTGTGACAGAGAGGGACAAATATAAAAAGCTTCAAGTATACTGGAGATATCATTTAATCGTATATTGTTTGTTTGTTAATCATATATTGTATTGGTTCAAATTATTAAAATATCTGACTTTACTCTCACTATCTATTTCTGCTTCACTATCATATTTATAGTATGTGATTTGCAAAATACCTATCATAACCTACATCACATATCATAGGGTGACCAGACGTACCAGGCTACAGGGACAGTTCCCGTTTTTTGGTTCCCTTACCCTGGCTCAATACAGAAAAAAACTTTGAATAGAAGTAATAGTATTAATTTAAAATAGAAAACATTTGATAGTCAAACTGGAAATGTCCCCGTTTTTCCCTTTTCGGGGATTATGTTCCCAGTTTTGATCTCGGACATCTGGTCACTTTATATCATATATCAGAATATTCTATTACTGTTAAGCCCACTATGAATATTAAAATACGCCGAACCATGTATCCTGTGTCATAGCTACATGTATGACCTTTGCAGCAAAAAACCCCGCGTGAAAATCAGTTCGGTGTTCAGTGAGGCTCATTCCACCTGCCAGACAAACAACATTCTGCTCCTTGCCGAGTCTAGAAAATTCTGATTCTGGTCCAGTTTAGCTGTAATATTTTGTAATAAATAATTTACTGTCTGTAATCCTTTTATTAGGGTTAGGAGCCGTGTGTTATATAAAAGTGGCAAGCCAGCCAGGAGCAGATAATTGATTTGCAATATTTAATGAACACTCTGACTACAAAAGAAAATGGATATTGTCCTTGATACACAACATCAAAGTTCCAAACTCTGTAATGGTCAGTGGAATAGCTGGAGCTGAAAAAGAAGAAATTGTAGATTTCCTAAAACAGTACGGTTCCATTAACAGAGTCATAACAGTAGATGACCGTTCCTCAGAGTTTTTCCAGAGCATAATCATAGAGTACAACTCTCTAACTGGAGTTGCCGTGGAAACCTTAAAGCCGCTACTGCCTTACATTCACGCAGCTGATGATGGTAGAGTCTTTTGCTAGCGTTTACACACAGACAATTGGAAATACCACCACTCAGTCCTATCTTGTTGAACTTAAAGGGCTTGCTAACTTGAGTGGGAGGGATTATGCCGAGGTTCTCAAAGACATGATGTCCCAAATAAGCGAATCTATTGCTGATCTTGCATCAACAAGTGTTGGACAGAATATTACCGCACTTACTGCACATGATCTCAGCCCACCAGAAGTTCAGACAGTTGTAGTGGAGCATATTGTGAAAAGGGAAGACAGTGCACTACAAATGCCTTCCTCACTGAGACTCCATGCATTCTCAGGAAAGGTCCCCAGACCTGCTCATGAACCTGACTATGATTCCCGGTGATCCAATGTAGAACTTGTCATGACTGATCCTACCATATCAGACCTTCAGCGGTCTCGGAGAATACTTGAAAGCCTCTTACCTCCAGCGGCTGATGTAGTCAAGCACTTAAACCCTAGAAGCTTGCCTTCTGCTTATCTCCAGTTGCTAGATTCTGCTTATGGGACAGTTTAAGATGGTGACGAGCTGTATGCCAAATTTCTTGACACATTTCAAGACGCTGGTGAGAAACCATCTGCATACTTGCAGCGCCTGCAGGTAGCGTTAAACTTAGCTGTGAAAAGGGGCGGTGTTTCGAGTGAAGAAGTCAACAAACACCTTCTCACTTAGTTTTGCAGGGGATGTTGGAATTATTCTCTTCTGTCAGAACTTCAGTTAAAGCAAAAGAAGACGAATCCGCCATCCTTCACTGAGCTGTTATTGCTGTTACGCACAGAGGAAGACATGACACAGCACCTACGCACGACAAAGCAGAAAGCAACATCTCATGTACAAACTGCATGTAGTTTTGAGAAAGAAAGGGACACGTGTTGAACTTAGTAGACAAGTAGCAGAGATCCAAAGTCAGTTAGCAACACTGACGACAAAACAAGAGAGCCCCCAATTCCAGTGGAGCTCATGGCAGCAAGCCAGCTGAGAAACAGAAATCTGAGAAACTGATGAAAGAGCGTGTGCAGGAAACATTCAGGAATCGAAGCTCTAAGCTGAAACCATGGTACTGTTTCTTATGTGGCGAAGATGGACACATCAAAACCAACCGTGATGGTGACCCAAACCCAGATTTGGTCGCAGAGAAAAGAAAGCTGTTGAAAGAAAAACAACGAAAGGGAGAAATTGAAAACCCTACAGCTGCAGCCGAACAGTTAAACTAGACACAGTCTCTGTTACGGGACGGACAGGGACTGTTGCGGGTCAATCAGCTGAAACTAAGCACAAACAGCGTGTTAAACTTAGACAGTCCTATACAAAGAAACCAGTCTGCAAACTGCCAAAAGGGTTATTAGGATCCATATTCACAGCTCTTGTCAGAAAAGCTGATGCCGATTGTAGTTGCCTTCTGGATACCGGTTCTCAGGTGACTACGGTTCCAGAGTCATTTTACAAACAGAACTTATCAAGTCAAGACATCAAACCACTTAAGGGTCTTTTAGAGGTTGAAGGTGCAGCCAGACAATCTCTCCCTTATCTAGGTTACATAGAGATGGCTGTTACATTCCCCAAAGACTTTCTTGAAGTTGACATCGAAGTAGCTACCCTTGCTCTTGTTGTCCCAGATGTACACCCTGATAGCCGGTCACCAGTGTTGATAGGAACAAACACACTTGATGTCCTATATGAAATATAATCAGACATGAAGACCCCAGACCACCGACCAGGTCATTACGGTTACAGGGTAGTACTGAACACATTTGAACTAAGACAAAATCAGAACAAAGATGGCAATGTGGGTTTAGTCAAAATGCTAGGGAAGACACGAGCTGTCATTCCTTCCAAGCCACACCATTGTTCTGGAGGGATCAACCAACATTCATGACCCCACTGCAGACAAATGGGTCATCATAGAACACCCCACCCAGTCATCGTTGCCCGGTGGACTTTGTGTGAAAAGTTGCCTGATAACCCTCCCTGCTAACTCACCGTATAAAGTGCCTGGGGTAATTAAAAATGACTCGTAACAGGATGTCACGATCCCACCTACCTGTGTCATCACTGAGCATGAGATTTTTCACAGCATTCTAGCACAGCACAATGTGACCAATGCAGCTGATACAGAAACAAACTCAAACTCGATTTGGATTTTGGATGTACAGACAAGGTGAAACATCATATAAAACTCCATGATGAGACTCCCTTCAAGCATTGTGCCATACCTATACATCCTCAAGATATTGGGGCAGTGCGTAAACATCTACAGGAGTTGCTTGATGCAGGCGTGATAAGAGAGTCTAAATCTCCGTTTTCCTCCCCTATTGTGGTTGTAATAAAACGTAATAATGATGTTCGCTTGTGCATAGACTATGGTAAGCTCAACCTACAATCGATAAAGGATGCCTATGCTCTCCCGAACCTGGAAGAAACTTTCTCTGCACTAACAGGATCAAAATGGTTCACTGTGCTCGACCTTAAATCTGGTTACAACCAGATTGAGGTTGATGAAGCTGACAAATTCAAGACAGCCTTTGTCACTCCGTTGGGATTCTGGGAGTTCAACTGCATGCCGCAGGCCATAACATATGCGCCTAGTACCTTCCAGAGATTGATGGAGAAGTGGGTTGGGGACATGAATTTGAAGGAAGTTGTGGTCTTCTTGGATGACCTCATCATTTTTTCCAAGACTCTGGAGGAGCATGAGAGCAGGATAATGCGGGTACTCACACGTCTCAAGAAGTATGGACTGAAATTTTCTCCTGAAAAAGTTTTTCCAGACAAGTGTGCGTTATCTTGGACATGTAGTGTCTGAGAATGGTGTTGAGACGGGTTTAGGAAAGGTTAGAGCTTTAAAAACCTGGCCAATTCCCAAAAATGTAAAAGAATTGCGATCATTCCTGGGCTTCTCAGGTTACTATCGCCGATTTATTAAAGATTATGCAGCTATAGTCAGGCCACTCAATGATCTAACTCGCGGATAGCCACCACTCCGCAAAAGTTCAAAGGACAAGGCAAGAACAGATCAATATCATGACCCCAGACAACCCTTTGAGGGTCGATGGACATGTGATTGCCAGAGAGCATTTGAGACCGTCGTTGAGAAGCTTACCACAGCCCCTGTTCTTGGGTTTGCAGATCCCAAGTAGCCTTATATCCTGCACACAGACGCCAGTACTACTGGTCTTGGAGCAGCGCTATACCAAGAACAGGAGGGCAGGCTTAGGGACATAGCTTTCGCTAGTCGAGGGCTGTCACAAAGCGAGTCTCGTTATCCGGCCCATAAACTGGAGTTTCTCGCCCTCAAATGGTCTGTGACCGAGAAATTTCACGCCTATCTTTGTGGGAATCAATTTACTGTTGTCACAGACAGTAATCCTCTCCCGACGACCACATGGAGAACTACTTGACGATGCCCAGTCTAAGAAAGACCAAGAGCGCATAGCTCGCTTCACTCAACGTCACTTAGCTAACACAGAGACCCAAGAAGTGGTGAATCAGGACCTTGTCAGAGCGATCTGTGAAAGTCATTTTGTTGGAGTTGCAGATGACCCCTTTTCCAGCAGCTTTGGTGTCACACTTGTTGAGTCGCTTACAGTCTCTGCAGATGCCATTCCAGAGAGTTACATGGCAGAGGACCAACTTGGTTTACCCATCATTCCTTCCCTGTCTCACACAGAGCTTAAAGAGAAGCAGAGAGCTGATTCAACTATCAGAGAGGTGATTGCTCAGTTGGAACTTGGAGAAAAAACACCTCCAACTGTGCGCAGGGAACTACCCGAGCTCCCTCTCTTGCTTAGGGAATTGAATCGATTGGAGCTGCATGATGAGTTAAACCTCCGCAAAAGACAGGATGGAGACCAGGTTACATATCAACTAGTTTTACCTGAAGCACTCAGAGCATCAGGGCTGCACAGTTTGCACAATGATGATAATTTTATATTTCATATATTCCCAGTGGGTGCCATAGGATTTCAATGTTTTAGCCTTAATCCAACATTCATTAATAATTAATTTAGCAGCGTCCATAAACTGTTCATCTTTTAAAATGTTAGTGTTTAATTTCCAATAACTCATATTAGGTTTCTTTCCATCTGTTGTGTTATTAAGACTACTGAAATGTAAATAAGTTTAAGTGAGAACAGAGGGCTTAATATAAACATCCATAATCTGTTTTTCTAATTCTCTAGATATTAACCAGAAATCTATTCTAGACTGTTTAGTTATATCTTTGGTGCACCACGTCAAATATATTTTGTCAGGATTCCTATACCTCCATATATCAAAACAATTTAGACTTAAGCATAAGTGGTCAAACTCTGCAGTGTAATTCACTCTTGTTGGTCGTGGAGGACTACAATCCAATAGTGGGTCTTTAATGGAATTCCAATCTCCTCCCAGAATTAATTTTGCCTTAGGAAAAGATCTTAGGAATGTAGAAATTTCTGAAAAAGACTTCCATTCCTGGAGCTAATATTTGTGGCATAAATATTACCTACAATGAAAAGAATGTCATTGAGCTCTGCAGCAATAACTATCTGCCAAAAAGATGAGATTTACTCTTCAGGATTCTACCCTTAAAGTTTCCTTTTATTATGGCAACACCTGCAGGCTTATTGCTACCATAAGACATCCAAATATTATCTCCCCATTGGTTCTTCCAGAAATTATAATCAGAATTTGAAGCATGTGTTTCTTGTATAAAATAAAAATTAGCTTTAAATTTCTTACAAAATAAAAAAACAGCCTTTCTTTTCAACAAGTCTCTGATACCCCTCACATTGAATGAATATATTGATAAAGACATATCTACTGGTAAAGATAATTCTTACTCTCAACAGTAAATAGAAAGAGAAGAAGATTATCAACACCCTTATGAGTGATGGTTTAGTATTCAATGTTCAGCTTAATGTTCAGTGTTATGAGGTTGCACTTATTGTTCTGCGACATCTTTAAGACCGCAGCTCTTTCCCATCAATTATCGCTTTGGCTCCGATAAAGAAAGCTTTTTTTCCTTCTTTGCGTGCCGCCTCAATTTGGGGCCACAACCTGTTGCGACTTTCTTTGTCTTTTGTCGTCAGATCTTCACCAAACTGCAACTTCCTGGACAGGAGATACTGGGATCCCTTTGCATTTTTCCATACCAGTTCTTTGGTTGATCTGGAGATTAATCTTGTGATCACTGGTCGAATTTTGTCACCGTTCTTTCTTCCAACTCTGTGGCTGACATCAACATGGAAGCGAAAAACTTTCACCAATCTCTGGAACGATGGCACGACAGATATTGATCATACACTGAGTGACATCTTCACCTTCCTGTTCCTTTAATCCATAGAGCCTCAGGTTCCATCTTCTCTGATAGCGCTCAGCCTCATTCACCTTGGCTTCAAGCGATCCTCCTGTCATGGGCCACGGTTGCTGTCTTCACCGTTGTGACATCTGCTTTCATATCTTGGAGCTCTTTGAAGAGAAACTCTGAATTTTCTTTCAAGGCATTAATACTTTCTGAATTTTGTTTTATCAACTTTTCCAGATCACCCGCTTTCTCTTCTAGACCGTCAGCTCTTTCATTTATTTATTCCGCCAGCAGTCTTACGATGTTGTCTTGCATTTCGGCAAGGGTTGGCTCAGATTTACCTTTCTTAGGAGCAGGAGAAGTCGGCGCAGAGTCAGGAATCGGCACATTTTCAGGACTTTCTTGGGATGCATAAGAGTGCATATCTACAGTGGTTACTTCCATTTCCGGACCAAAAGGGATAGTATTACTTATAGGATCAAAAGACGGTTCTTATCTGGCTTGTTTGTTTTGTCCTTTCCCAAGATTCTTCCTCTTTTTTCAGACATTGTCGTGTTTTCCTTTGCAGCCGTGAAAAACAAATACTAGGCAAGCTAGCTAGCTAGTCCAAAATAGCATAAGCCAAAAGTATCTCCGGCCAAAAATAAAAAAACAAAAAACAATGGCTCTTGTATTTTCATTTTTTACGCAGTATTACATTACTGTTTGTGGTCAGGAGATAAGCAAAGTACTGTTAACAGGTGTGACAATCAAAAAAAATGTCTTCAGCTACGAGTGAAGCTGTCTAGAGCGGCCGCCATCTTTTCCCCGTGGTCGAGTTGAAAAAAATTGAACTCTGAGCAGAAAAGCGCCTGACGTCATTTGCGTTTTTTTCCCATTGTCCAATTGAATGAATGGAGAGGCGGCCGATCAATAGCACTAGCCTGTACTGCAGTGACTGGAGTTATAGCTAATGCTAATTAGCAACAACATGCCCCCCTTCTTCACGGATGACTTCTACAAACTTCTACAGAAAATTGCAGTGCTGGAAACCAAGATCCACAGATTAGAAGTGAATGTGGAAGTGAATGGACTATGTGGGAATGACACCACTTTACCGTGGACCCAAAACAGTGGACAAGAGCATGCTAACACACGGCTAATTAGCACCAACAAGACTACCAAGAAGCAGGAGGCCTGTGTACTGGGTAATAAATCTAAAAGTGGGAGTCCTCCCTGGAACGCTCTTGGTGCAAAGCCTAAGAGTAAATCATTTCCTGGGGAAATGGGAGGATGAGTAACAGGCAGAACCCTGCGCCCTGAGATTTGTGATGCGACTGGCTGGCCTGCATTATCATCCAGGCAGAGCGCCTCTTCAACCCCTGTTCTTGGTAGGACACAATCATGGACAGCTGCGAAAGAGAGAGTTGGCAACAAACCTCCCCAACAACAAAGTGTTGAACAGCAGAACAGATTTTCACCACTATTGCAGGACCCTGGATCTCCGCCTGATGTCCTGGATAACCTCCGGTCCTCACACAGAAGGGTAAGGACTGAGAGTAAATCAGAAAGTAAAAGGCTGCAGGGAAAGCTAACGACTGGGCCTCAAACTGTGATTGTGGGTGATTCTGCTGTAAATGATGTAAGAAGCATGTGCAGTAAGAACACCAAAATACCCGAAGGATACGGTGTCTGACTTGGCAGAAAGAATCCTGCATATCGTGGCTGAACATCCTACTGTGAAAAACATCATACTGCACATTGGGACCAATGATGTTGTGAAGCAACAGTCTGAAGTGTTGAAAGAAGACTTTAATAATCTGTTGAACACAGTCAGCTCTTTGAATGCTGAGGTGTTTATCAGTGGCCCTGTACCGCCAATCCGAAAAGGAGCTGAGAGATTCAGCAGACTGATGGCATTGAACACGTGGCTCTCAACGGCCTGAACTGTCCATTCAATGCATTTCATCAAAAACTTTTACTTTCTGTGGTACCGCAGACATCTTTTTAAGGCAAATGGACTTCGCCTTAACAAGTCAGGAGTAAAATTGTTCAGCTCCAACCTGTTTTACTTTCTGCGTCACTCATCTGTTCCCTCTGCCAAGGACAAGAGACAAGAGGAATCTAAACAAGAAGAAGACATAACACAACACGCCAGAAACCTTGAAGGAGAGCCACCCCAACCCCCGCCAGAAGAGAGCTCTGATCACGGGGGAGACAACTGAGCCAAGAGGAAGAGCCCCCACCTCCCTCACTGAAAAGGGTTAGGGTTAGAGGCTAAGTCCTCCAGGTTTGACACATGTGCCACAAATACAGCGCACAACCCGCCTTCCCGCTCCGCAATGGCGAAAAACCCAGTAAGCTCTGTCTGATATGTGCTGGGTCCAGGCTACAAGGAAAATAGCACTCATGACTCTTCCCAGGACTAGCCGGGGCCCAGTGTGCTGGTAGTCTTCTCCATCCCTGTCTTGACAGGTAACAGAAAAGGCATGGTGAATGTGTTAAGTAACAGGAAGCACTCAACATATCCTGCAAATTTAGTATTAATTCCTCGTCAGCCGCAACCTGTAGAAAAAAGTGGGCCAGATAATGTTTTTAACACACTAAAATTAGCTTTGTTAAACTGTCTTTGACAGGAAAAACATTTTTAAAAACACTAATAATGCACGTGCCTGTTTGCTACTGTCGACAGGCTAACCAACCCTCCTGTGTCTGTAGCCTCTAAACTTCTATCCACCAGGGCCTGCAATGAATCTGCCTCCTTCTTCACAGACAAAATTCAAACAATTAGGCAAGCAATGAGTGCCTCCATGCCAGTAACAGGATATGTCTTGTCCCTGTGTCCACTTAAAAACAATTAATATAGCATGAGACAATTAGATTCTATTAACCATAAAAACCTGGAGGACATAATACAACATCTGAAATCATCTTCATGCTGCCTTGATATTCTGCCAACAGGTTTTTTCAAAAATGTTTCTAAATGCATGGCCTCAGATTTACTACTAATTGTCAACATGTCTCTCCTCTCAGTTTTTTTCCCACAGGCCCTGAAAACTGCAGTCATTAAGCCACTCTTAAAAAAAAGCTATCTAGACAGTTCACTAATGAGCAATTATAGGCCCATATCAAATCTCCCATTTTTAAGTAAAATCTTTGAAAAGGCTGTTTTTCAACAGCTTAGTGCTTTCTTGGCACTAAATAACTGTTCTGATGTCTTCCAGTCAGGTTTTCGACCACACCACAGCACTGAGACGGCTCTTGTTAAGGTCTTCAATGACTTCCATTTAAACACTGACAGTGGCAGAATTTCAGTCTTATTATTATTGGATCTCAGAGCTGCATTCGCCTGCTGAATAGAAAAAAGCTAATGATGAATGTGTACAGGTTTGCTTTATACTCCTCCGGTTATTCCGTCACACCTTACCGTTCTAGCAACAAACCAATAGGATTGGAGTGATTTCATTCACGTTCAGACCTGCTACGCCTAGAGCCGTTCCCATAGTGTCGTAACCGACGCAGTTCGAGTTCCCTCGAAGGGGAACCTCTGTCCACCTGTAAACGCACAGGTGGGTCCAGACTGGATCAAAGTGGCCTGCGGACAGACATGTCCTGGTTTCTCTGTAGTGTCCGAGGGTTTTTGGAGTTTCAGTGGACCCAAAGATTGCTGTGGACCCGAGTACAGACTAGCTAGAGAGAGTAGATTAAGTGTACTTCTCTGTTTATTCTCTTTTCAAAATAATTGTAACTCAATTATTTGCTCAACCCCTCAGCCTGTTTTTATTTTCCATTTAACTCTTTTATGTTTTATGTAAAGCACTTTGAATTACCTTGTTGCTGAAATGTGCTATACAAATAAACTTGCCTTGCCTTGCAAACCGCAACTACCATAATATCAACAAGGTCTGGAGGAAAGTTAGTGAGGCAATTGAGATGTCGGGTAAGTTGCTTTCATTAATTTAAACTGTGGGCTACTAACGTTAACAGCAGTAGCAAACAGTTTGTAAATAAGCTTTGAACCAACCATCATCCAGGCGAAGCTCCTGCACCAACTGGTGGTACTCCCCGCAGTGTCTCCTATTTCTGAGGGTCTTATGTACCCACACCAATCTCCGTTTCCCTGTCTTCAGCATGTTTAAAAGCTTCTCATCCTCAATCAAGGCCAGAGCAAGCGCCCTCCGCTTGTCCGTTAGGCCTATTTTTATTAAATGCGACCAAAGACACAGTTGTGAGCAAACCAAGCAAACCAAAGATTAGCCTACAGATCGCTGGTGCTATAATCCTTGATTGACAGGACAGCTGATTCGGCAGTTGCCTAGCAACATGGGGGGAAAAAAACGCAGCGCACTGTTCTTTCCAAAATCAACCGAAAAAGACACTGCTGTGCGCCTCATGTTTTCGAACCTGCAAAGCATGTTCTGTCTGATCGGGGCCTCAGGCGTTCTTCACATTCCTTGGTCCAGAAACTTGCTTGCCTAAATCATGCGCCTTGACGTTCCGCCACGGCTAGTTGTCAAGGGATCACTCTCAGAATGTTGCGGTTTGTTGGAAAACGGCGCACATTGGTCCAACTTTCTACGACTCAAACCCAACCTGACTAGACATGTCAAACTCTAAAGACTCCATCCAACTGACACTGACTGAACACCGGCTGATGGAGCACACAGATCCAACAGTTGGTGCTAGTTGGAGTGCAAGTGTGCAAGCAATTTCTTGTGATATTATTATTCACTGATTGTTCATCTGTTTGTGATTAATAAAATCTATTTAAAAAAATACTCTATGGGATGGCGGTTATCCTGCCCCTCCCACTACAAAACCAATCATCTGCTTTAAACAGCCAAAGCGGGAATCATATTTCAGCCAATCGTGTGGTTCCACTGACGTAAGGGTCCGTATTACTTGTGTTGCGCATGCATGGAAGTGGTGATGCATGCGTAGTGGAAGTATAACCGGTTGGGAAAAATGCTTTTTAAACCTTATTTTGGGGCAAAGTTTAAGTGCACTTCTGGCTCTCTAATAGTTTTCTTTAATACCTTTGTTGCTTGTTACGTGACACCCCTGTGTCTCCGCATTGTGTCATGTTTTATTATTATGTCATTTAATGTAGGCTATTTTGTTTTGCCTGAAAGTTTTCGTATAAGATGAATAAGATTCAATAAAAACAACAGTTGTATTGTCTATCAGACAAGAGCACTTTTTATTAAACACAATGTTGTCTATCAGTGAATGGTGATATGAAATGTTAGTGTAGTTTCGGAATTTAAAAATCCTGCATGTTAACTGGCGAAGTCACACGTAACTCAAATAGAAAGAAAGGTCCCCCACCATGCAGCAAAGGGTGTTACACACCTTCAGCAAGCCAGCATCAGTGCTCAATCTGCATTTGAGAGTTTAACAACCCACTACCACTCTGCCCTCAGTCGTTTTGGATGGTACTCGATGTGGCGGACCCCACAAACGGAGTGGAAGTAAGTAGAGAGAGGGAGGAGCAAGCAGTTTCGGAAAGGCCACTTGTGTAACATATACGACCTTGAGACCTGGCCATTGGCTCCCATAATGCCTTTTCTTCAGCACAGAGAACCACAGGTCCAGCAAGACCCACAACTTTTAGAGGGCTCTGCCTATATTCATAGAATTTGGAGTTACAATACGTAACTACTGCTCTACTTTGTATAGGCTTTGCCCTGTAAGGCTATCACTATTGGTTTAGAGGCGAAGCAGGATGAGTCAATGCCTCACTGGGCCCATAAGATACCACCAAGCACACATCCACCTGCCAAGAGCCACCCAGTCCCATGCATCCCCACGGGTTTTATTCCTTGCATTTAAGACTAAACCATGCATAAGGGCCAGTGTCCACTAAAGCATTATTTGCCAGCAAAAAACACCAACTGCTGTTCTGAAAACGCCTAGCTTGGAGCGCTAGGGTGCGTTTTGGAGGTGCAGTGTTTTTTTTCGAGACGTTGTCGTTGCTATGGTACATAATTTCCGTGGAGGCAAGTAGGGTAGGCTACTTAATTTTACTGAATGTAAAAATGTCACCACAAGGTATGTAGGCCTACTTGCTCTGGCACTTGCTCTGCATGAAGAGAAGGCTGAAACATGAGAGCACAGACTGTCCATACGTGGTTTAATGAGATTTTGTGAGCGAGGACACACCTCCGCGAGTAGGCACATCTCTTCGTTCAAGATCGGATGTGCTCTTTGCGGTGTTTGTCCCGCCCCTCCTGCATTGTGATTGGACAGCTGAGTAAAAGTGACAGTGACGAGCGCAGCGTTTTCCCCAAAGTTGAACATTTTTCAACTTTCTGCGACCGGAAAAAAATGCTCAGCGTGGAAAAGACACTCAGAGCCTCGTAATGCTCCTGGCGTTTTTACCAGCTCGGAAAAACGCGGCGCTCCCATTGCAATGAATTGAAAAAAGGCGCTGGCGTCAGAAAAAAACGCTTTGGTGGACATGGGCCCTAAGAGTTAGACCATTTAATAGCAGACACATGTAATTAGGCTAGCTTGTATGACATTTAAAACTCACTGGCTCCTAGCTCCAAGATACAGACAGAAATGTCAAAAATGTTACAACCATCCCCAGTCTCCCGTACTTTACCTTCACTTTGGTTGAGGCGCTGCTTTAAATCATATAATTCAATTTTAGTGTGGTGCGGCAGTCTCTCAAAACACTGCCAAGTGTAATGCTCCAACTGCTGAGGATTGTTTTCTAACGTTTGTTTCCCCCACTCCTGTTTTGGTTGAATTTTCTTGCTGTTGCTGTCGCAGGAAACCGCCGCAATACCGTCAACCACTGCAACTCCTACAAACTCTGGAAAGTTTGCCACTCCAGAAGATGCAGTATAGAAGGTGTTAAAGGAGTGTTTTGCTGTTGGACAAACAAAGTTTATTTATTTACAATAGATATACACACACATCATACATCACACTCATTATACATTTGATATATTCAGTATGATTCAGTTGAAACACATTAGGTTTGTCAAGTTATGTTAAAAGTGAAACTAATGTGTACGTGTCCTTGGAGCAAAATGCAGAATGTGAGGCAAAGACCTTTAAAGATTTAAGATGTGATCTTACCTGCTGTTGAAATGTGACAGAACAGAAGCAACAAAAATAATGTTTTCATCTTGTTTTGATAAAGATGTGTGGATATAAGACTGAGCTAGATCAGAGTTGCTTTTCCAGGGTTATTTCCTGGTTGAGAGAAGCCAGAAGTTGCGTCCCAAGTCTCTTAACCCTGTAAAACCCAAATAAAGAAACAAATGAGAAAAAGCAATTTCCACTCATCAGATGTTGTTGTAGGAGACATCTGATTCAGATAATGAACTATTTTAAACAATTTTTTTTTGCGTTTTTAGGGAAACTTAGTTACACTGCAATGTTGGACCTCGTTGGGAGCAAAATTTCTGTATTTGCACTCATGCTGTCAACAAATATACAGAACAACTAAGGGTATATTTGCATATTTTATGACTTAAAATTTATTAGAAATAAAAAACGGAGAATGAAAACTTTGATAAAGAACCAGTGTTCAGTGTTCACTTGTGTTCCTTTCATTTGAAAAGCAGAGACGAAGGTTGCACCTTCTGCAGAGCATATTAGAATATCGTTTCTTGCAGTGTCTGCAGCTTCCTGTCTTTGTCCCATTTGCTGGAGCCTCATTACCTAGTGTTGTAATACTCGAGAACGGTCTTAAGACAACTTTTTAATGGACTCAGTCTTGTCTCGGACTCGACAGCATTTGTACATGGTCCTGTCTCGGTTTCATACATAGAGCACTCTGGATTTTATCTCAAGACCAGTCAAGACCATAACTTTGGGAATGTCAATATATTGCTTTTAATAATATATAATAACGTTAATAAATTTTACCGCCACTTAGAAAAAAAGTATGTATGTATGTGCAAGCAAAGTATTCAAGGGTAAACACACTACTACGGGAACAAACACACATGAGACCCTCAGGCAAGATCCCAATAGTGAATACAAGAAAAGGCCTTAGAGTGTCTACAACAGCTACAGAAAGAAAACATCATCACCTGTGAACAATATGACGTTTGTTTCCTAGGAGAAGCCATTCCTTACGGACTACCCACAAAAACACAAAGAAGGAGCCCTACTCAGGCCCATTATCAGCAGCATCAACTCGGTCACCTACATTGCCAAACACATATCTACTGTCCTAGCCCCTTTGGTTGGCACTTTGACTTGTGAACAAAGTTCAGGGACTGAAACCGAACCCAGATGAAACCATTGTGTCATATGATATGACTTCCTTTTTCACATGCATCTCCACCATGAGGCAGTAGAAGCCATAAGGACACGACTGCTAAAAGGCAACACCCCGAATGACAGAACTAGCCTCAGCCCTGACCAGATCTGTAAATTACTGGACCTCTGTCTAAACACCACCTATTTTCAGTACAACAAAGGATTCTGCAGACAGAAGCATGGCTGTGCCATGGGTTCACAGGTATCCCCTAGAAGTGGAGAGCAAAGCCCTGAACTCCTTCAGAGGAACAGCACAGAGCCACTGGTACGTGTCTATGGATCACATGGGTCAAAATTAAAATCCATGAAGTGCAAGCCTTCACAGAACACATCACACCTGAAGGGGGAGCTTACAGCCAGTGGATATCCTAAATGGACCTTTGTGAAAACGGCCACAAGATCCGGAAAGAACAACACTACTAGGGGAGGAGGAAAAGAAGATTAAAAGCAACAACATTTGTGATTTCATACGTGTCTGGAGTATCAGAGAAACTCAGGAGGACAACATCCCTGTGTTTTTTAAACCCAAGAACATGCTCAGACAGTTACTGGTCCACCTAAAAGGCCGCACATCCAAACGCAAGCAAAGCAATCTAGTGTATGCGGTCCAATGCAGTGAGGAATGCACACACCTGTATATTGGGGAGACTAAACAACCACGACACAAACACATGGCTCAACACAGAAGGGCCAACTCCTCAGGTCAAGACTCTCTTGACACTCTTTTTGACGAGTAGAATTTATAGTCGAAGAATTATACGGTTATAAAAACAAAATTTGATTGAGTTTATAGAAGAATTAAACAGAGTAACATTTGCAAGAAATACGTAATGTATTACTATGATTTATGAAATAAATAAGATAACCCTGTGATGGACTGGCGACCTGTCCAGGGTGTACCCCGCCTTTTACCCGATGTCAGCTGGGATTGGCTCCAGCCAAAATCTTTAACTTTTTATCATAAAATTAGATTTATAAAATTAAATCTTACTATATGATAACTTTGACTTATTATATCATAATTTTTGAATTTGAAAGTTAGAATTTAGAATTAAACTGTGCATGAAATCCAAGTTCTCCTATTTCCCCTCTTTTATCTCACAAGTTTGACTTATAAAGCAATACATTTCAGTAAAATCATGGCTAACTTTTCTAATTCTCTTCACACATTACATTGTTGCTTTAAACAACAACATGCTTAGATTTGAGTTCAGTCATGATGTTTTCATTCAAGAATTGTGGATCCAATTTTGTTTGGTTTGTTTGTTTTTGTGAATCTGTCCCCAACATCATCAAAATAAAGGATGACCAGCAGATGGTGCTAATTTAACATTAACCGCGTAATCTGCGCAGTTTGTGTGCAGCAGTAAAGCCCGTGAACGCAACAGAAAAAATCCACCCTAAAATTCAATTTTCAATGTGATATTCTAACACATTTTTACTGCAATCATCCACAAATAAAGAAATGTGTTTCCTCAGGCTGGAAATCCGAATGCAACTTGAATATTTGTCACTTTTCCGATCCTGTCTACTGATCAGTAACGGAATTTGTGGACATTTTGTATTAGATATTTTACATTTGAATGATTTACTTAGAAACTTACTAACAAATTTGTACGTGCAGTGAAATATTTTCGTCATTCGTGCAGTCCTAACAATCGACCTATTATAAAGGTGTCAAATTAAACCTGAGCCACACATCTTACAGTGAAAACGTTCATATTTAGGGTGTATTGTCCCCTGAATGCCCTGCTGAGAGGAGCCAGCAGAGATCAGCAGACAGCAGAGACGCTCGGCCTTAGCAGCTGACACCAGCGAGAGGAATGGACTAATACATATCGGGCGATGTTCAGGTACTAAATGCACATATATATTATATAATAACTTGTATTGTGTCTTTGGTGGAAAACCCATTAAATTAAAATATTGGATCCAACTTGTCGTTGGGGTTTTGGCTGATCGTCTGTTCGTTTCACGGCGTGTTTGCACACCCAGTTTTGACAGCTGAGCTCAGCATCACCTTTCTGCCTTTCAGTCATTTCTATTCCTATTTTATGTTATAATCCAATACCGACTATTGCATTTTATTGCATTTATTTATATATCGACGCTGCAGTTTCTAATGCTAGATTACCATATGATCAGTGTTCAACAGGGTCATTTCTCCTTTGGATTATATTCCTTATCACCAAGTGTTAATACTGAGATTTTATAGTGGAGTCTTGTGACATTAGTCTCAGAAACATATCCAGTAGCTTCCTTAATTTAATTCAACTTTAAAATCATAGAATAAATTCCTTAAATCATCTACCAAAATCACTCTCATGCACTTTACAGTAAGGGGAAAATGGCTTTCTGGCAATATAATTGTGTTTTTTAATTTAATAAGCATACCAGGCGTACTGTACTTTATGATGCTGTCAAAATGGCTTGTGTGGTTTTTCCATCTACTGTAATAACATCTGAGTTTCCCTCTAGGCTGTGGGTGACTTGGTTATATTTAATTTGAAGCTGAATTATTCAGGGGATCACAGAATCACATTTTTATAGGGCAACATACAGGAGAAGTCCAGCTCTCTTTATGGTTATTAAGATTTCTGTTTGACTCATCCCTTGGCAGCGGTGGAAGGTAACTAAGTACAATTAATCTGTACTTTACTTGAGTATTTCCATTTTATGCAGCATTATACTTCTACTTCACCACATCTCAGAGGCAAATATTGCACATTTTACGCCCCTATATTTGTCTGACAGCTTTTGTAACTAGTTTCTTTTCACATCCTATGGAAGGAAATGGCACTGTGCAATGATATTATCTGAAGTGTTGAAGTAAACCTTGTCTGTTCATTGACTGTATGTTGGATTTAAAGGTTCAACTACCCTTTCCCTAACTTTAGTTCCTCTTAAAGTCAACAGAGGACACAATATAGAAAGCAAGTGAAAGCAACACCGTTTCAAAAACAAGACAAAAGAGCATTGTCCTGAGCAAAGATATTATCCAACATTGTTCTGGAGCTTTGTCATGTTGGCTCTGATTTTCTATAATTTAAGTCAGAGGGAGTGAGCGTTTTAACTAATAAATGACAACAGCTTTTAGTTTCTCGTTAAGGCTTTGGTAGTGTCTGCATCTGCTCCTGCACACAACCTGTTTGGTGTTCAGGGGATTCATTCCAGTTTTGACTCTAATTATAAGTCAGTGTGATGAATGAGGCTCCTGGCCACAATATCATCTCTGGGAGCTGTTTCCTTTTTTAAAATCTGCTTTTAGGATGTGTGCTGATCAAGTGGGAATAAAGTGCTGTTAAAGATACTTCAAATAAAAACCCATCAGCCATTGCTCTGTTGATTGAGTGTGCTGCATTTTTAACCAAGCTGCAGGTTTTTAAGAGAGATTTCAGGCACATAGAAGAGACTGTAGGAAATCTGTGTTTAAGTGCAACCTAATGAAGGAGAGTTTTATCTGCTACACTCGAATGGATCCGAAACGCTCTGTGTAATAAACTTTCCCTTGTTTCCTTTATTTCTTCCTCTCCAGATTTGTTTGCGATGGAAACAGATATGATACCAAAGTTTTCCTCAAAAGACGAGGAAATTGACTTCTGGAAGGCTCTTTCACTCAAGTACAAGAAAAGGTACGTAACTGGCTCATGTGGACAATCTTTTTTCCTGTTCTTCGGTTACGTTACGTGACATCATTGTTTTGAACTCATTGGTAGCATTTACTTAAAGGCCTTTCTTAGAATTTGTTGACCACAAGACCAGCTTCATACTTTAACTCTAGGAATAATTCACAATTTTCAACCCCCAATTTCCATATTTTTTCCCATCTTACTGAATAATTTTGACCAAAACCTCATCAATCATCACGGCTCCGTTTCTTTTTCCAAGAGCCCTTGCTCTTCATTTAGTAAGCTGCATTCCTATTTGTTACAAGAAAAAAAATATGCAAGAGATCTGCAGTACATTGAAAAATTCTATTATATCGATAGCTTTTCCATGGGGAGGGTGTGGGGGTTGCACGAAATCGTTCACTTAAAAGAGCCGACTCATAGAGCAAACCGGGTCGCGACTGACATATTACTAGAGTGCGTGACACCAAAACCATCCAATAGGGCTACTAGAAATGTCAAAAATCAACCTCAGAAGCAACCAACAAATGGCTTTTTCTGCTGGTCATGTACCGAATACTATAGCTATAAACTGAAGCATTGTTCAAGCTTGTTGTGGAAGAACTGAACTGGACCTGCCTGCACAGAGTCCTGACCTCCGGGCCTGAATTGGTCATGAATCACATGCATGTGTGATGTTTGGATGTCCACATACGTATGAACATATAGTGTATTAACGGATCAATGTGAGAGTCTAGATCACACGATCTGATGGTAGCACTTCAGTCTCTTTGTGTCTGTGGGAACGACAGGCTCCCCGCAGCAGGATCACAACATCGCCTCAGGAATGTTTGCTCTGCTATCTTGTCATTGGATTCCAGTCACCCATTCTTCCCCTTTCAATTAAAAGCCAGTGTTTGCATATCCAGTGACACTTCTGGAACAGCTTCATGTGGGACAGGCAGTGAAAGCCTGCTGCTCATGTTTCACATTAAACATAAAAGACTCTCATATCTCTTTGTCCTCACGTCTTTGAATGACTTTATGTAATAATACAGCTGCAGTTTTTGTTTGCTGTCGTGATTACTCAACATTTTAATGATCTAAAGGCTACTGGAATTAGCTGCTCCCGAGGATTAAATCTTATCTTACAACACGTCACTTGATTAAGAGCTGACTGAAATCTCAACACCCTGTGCTAAAAGATACAAGCTTAGGCCTACACCCAGTTATGTAAGAGTCTATAGACAATGATCTTCCTTCAAAGTCAAAGCTACTTGTGTGTGTGGTGTACTGTATGCGATATAAGTGTTTTCTTCTCTTAATCTAATGAGGACATTAGAATCAGTCTTGTTCAATTTAGGCATCTACTGTTACAGTAGGTTTAACCAGATTGAGTTTCAAAGCTCATTTTAGACCTTGGAAACAGCAGTTGACAAAAAATATTGCCTCAAGGTGATGGTGTGATCTTCATCAGCAGATTTAACAATCTTTAACCTAGATTTTATTTGTTTCCGTAGGATTTTTCCTTTCCTTTAGTTTTGTAAACTAGAAGAAACCTGCAGTACAATAACTGATTTAAAATCCTTGTGCATTTACTTACACCAAACTGTGTGTTAAATAAGCAGAAATAAACAATTTCATATCATGAAATGTTCTTCTCCATGCTGAGGATTCCCCTCATACATTCGTTCCGATGCGCTGGAGCATTTTGAATAAAGGGTTATAATAACTGTGAAGGGGAAGCGCCAGTCGACAAATTGGCAGCAGTCGACCATTTCCAAGTAGAACCAGTTCAAAGTGATGCTGAGTATTTGCACAGTGGGCTGGCATTTATAAATGTATTTTCTGGCTTTTTGCCACCTCCAGCACTCTCGCTCACGTGATGGTTATTGCCATTTGCCATTTATAGACTGCTGAGTCTGTGTGTCCGTCCCGAGTGTGTTCACCCATGGCCACATCAACAGACACTTACATAACCCCCACTTCACGATAACGCTGTTCAGTGATCACATGTCTGAACTTAATGTCAGACATCTGGCTCCTGAGACCAGTCAAACTGAATGCATTAAATATCAATCTGGTTTTCTATGTGCATTTCTCTGTTTAGCTTAAAAGGTTATGTTTGTTAGACATTTAAGCCACGTCTGGATGATAATGTCGGTCAGTCTTTGTTGTTCTTGGAAAATACAAGATGAATTGCTGTAAAATGTTATACATGCATTCACATCCAAAAATGTTAAATCCTAATGACTTCATTGATCTGCTGACTTTCCATCTATCAGCACCAACAAGTTTATTTTTATAGCACATTTCACCAACAAGGCAATTCAAAGTGCTTTACATAAAACTTAAAAGCAACATGGGGAAGTAACAGTAACAGTTGATGAATGCATCCAACATACAGGCTTGCATCCCGACCTCCTTTCTGTCTCGACATGTAGTCTAATGCTTTATTCTCTCATGTCTTCCCCACAGCTGCCAGGAGGCTCAGGAGGAGCTGCTGGAGTTTCAGGAGGGGAGCAGGGAGCTGGAGGCCGAGCTGGAAGCTCAGCTGGGCCAGACTGAGCATCGTATGAAGGACCTGCAGACTGAGAACCACAGACTCAAGAATGAGCTCGAAACAATCAAGGTAAAAGATAATAGAAATATCTGTCTCTGAATCAATAAACCTATGATCTAATCATCTCAGGTTGCCAGGTATTGCTGACAAGGACAATATGTCGTCATAATTTGTTGTTCATGTGTCCACGTAAAGAAAATCTGCTGTTTATCAGAAAAAGTTTTATGTGGCTGAGCTTTCTTTTCCCAGGAAATATGCGTTTCAGAGTGAGTAGTATTCATGAATGATCCAATTATGCTACCGTAACCGACGCTAGGTGCATTGTTTTTTAATTTTGTGTTATGTTTGTGAAATGTAATTTAAAATCTTCCCAGTTTACATTGTTATGAAACGGATCAGAATTGTTGACCATATTACCTACTTTATTTTTCAATCTAAACCGGTCATATTAACAAGCTGACGTTAGCTCTGTCACTTGGACAGTTGCTTGGTGTAAATACTTTCTACATGAGAGCTAGTTTATGTGTGTGTCTGTTTTTAATTTAATAAGTTGAGAGATAAATAAATTAGTTGCAGCCTTAATTTAAATAGAGTTTGAGTCCTCTACAGAAACTTTACAGCATTTCACTAAAAACGAAAATGCAAATGTTTTTATTATTTTCCTATCCTCAAATTTATCTTTTGACTCTTTGGGGGATCCCGGCCCTCCAGGTTGGAAACCACTGATCAAAGTATTACAGTGGAGGTAAAAACCCAGACTTTGTCTTCAATCCGTGAGGATTAGGCTGGGAACCAAAGGGTCGCCGGTTCGAGTCCAGCTTGGACCAGAGTTGCGGTAGTAGCTGGAGAGCTGGGCACTGCCGAAGGTGACCTTGAGCAAGTCCCTGAACCCCCAACTGTTCCGTGTGCTGTTACATGTGTGTTATTGTGGAGAACATTGAATTTCCCCTTGTTGGTTTAATAAACAGTTGTTGTAACTGTTGTGTCATATTTAAGGATCTCTGCTGTGAATTGTGGATTTATCAACATTATTATCAAATCTTGACGATACATTAAACTCTGTAGCAGGCAAGTACAGCGTGTACACTCAGTTTAATAAATATTTGATGCTTTTTTTTTTTTGGTAGCCATCTTATATCACCACTCGTCCGTGAGTGCAGTCTCTTGGGAGGAAAGTGAAGTCACATTGTAACAGCTGCAACTCAGTACTTATTTATTTTCTCTTGTGGGCCTGCAGCTTTGCCTTTCTGGTTATATGTAAGAGGTCACAGGAATATTGAGATCAGACCTATATGGGTTTGTGGGTCTGTGCATGTTGGAGGCCTAACTCAGACAGTTATGATGAGGTTTACTGGCCTCAGTGGGGAGTATAGTCCTTGAGCTGGCACAGTCTGTGAGCCCATGTGTAATCTAAATGGTAAACTCATTTCAGGAAGGTGCTGAGGTACCTCTGTTGTCTAATTTCAGCACTTATCAACCAACATATGTTGTCTCCTGTATACATTAAGACTCAGACTCTCATTCATAATGCATCAGGTTGTGTCTGTCGTTCTTATTCTCGCTCCATAATTAGCAAGAAGGCAGGTGCCACATTTCTGTGTCCATATTTCCAACCGGGTGAATCAATTCACCAGCAGGGATGAGATGTGTGTGCCAAGGTAATAAACTAATACAAAACTGTTGGCTCAGTGAGACAGTTTCATAACTTAGAGGAAGGGTTTGGTTTATTGTTGATGGTTTCAGGTGCAAAACACAACAGCAACACAACAGCATTACAGAAAACAGATCAATAAATCTGAAAACACCATTTCATACAACACTGCATCACAGACAACACACCAACGTTTCAGGAGAGACAACATTTCAGAAAACATGACAATGTTTCATAGATAAAAAATACATTTTACAAATCAACAAATAAGAAAACACAACAACATTTTACAACATTTAACGTTACAGAAAACAACATTATGTTACAAAATAATGTTTTGTGTTTCTGCATTCTGATTTGTTTTTGTGTTTCGTCCAACGTTGCTTGCGTTTTGCACCTCTAGGCCACCGTAAGAAATTAGCCATAACATTATGACCACCTGCTGGTCTCCCTGACGCGTCGAGGCCAGGACCCAACTGTGTGTTCTGACACCTTTCTATCAGAACCAGCAATTTGACCTACAGTAGCTTATCTTTTGGATCGGACCACTAACATCAACTTTGAGGAACGTTCACTTGCTGCCTGATATATCCCCCCCACTGACAGGTAACAAGACAATCAGTGTTATTCACTTCAGCAGTCAGTGATCATAATGATATGGCTGATTGATGTATATCTAAGTGTTATATGTTTCATTGTCACTTTAATAGCATGTTCTGAAATTAGCCTCATGGTGCAAACAGAGGGTTTGCTGTCCTCCGTGTGGCTGGCTGCAGTTGATTCAGACGCCACAGTAACAGCAGATATAGGTCAGGCATACAGACAGGCCCTGCGGTATTTATTGAGCTGATTGTCTCGGAGCTGGTGGATATATAGGTCACACTTAACATCCGCTGCCTAACAGCAGAGAGGAGGAATGTTAGGGGAGCATTGAAAAATGGATGATAACATGTAGGTGGTGTGCGTCGGGAGCTGTTAAATCATGCCCTAATGTGAAGCTCTCTTTCCCAGCGTGTCCTAGATTAAATACATGTGCTCAATTTGTCCTGCCTGTCTTCAATCCTGTCCTGTCTCGCCCCTTCTTCATTCGTCCTCTTCAGGACAAGCTGGAGAAGCAGTACTCTCAGAGCTACAAGCAGATCTCCATGCTGGAGGACGACCTCGGCCAAACACGCAGCATCAAGGATCAGCTCCACAAATACGTCAGAGAGCTCGAACAGTCCAATGATGACTTGGAGAGAGCCAAAAGGTCCGTCTGGGCTCTTTATGCTCACTAAGATAAAATTTTCTAAAATCATTTAGTCAGTTCTTTCCTGATTAGCGTGTGATTAAAGCTCTACTACTAAAGATTTATTTTTTTATTACAAGCATAATACAGAATAGACAATATTGTGACACTTTAACCTGATGCAAATATGTGTTTCACCATCAAACCACCTTCTTTGTGATCCCTATTTAATCTATTTAAAAATTTGCAATCCTAAGTTCTTGTTATAATTAGCAAATGGCTTGAATCGGGTTAAAATCAATGCTACAGTTGTACAAGCCTGAGATATTGACCCCTTTTCATACTTGAATAATGATTAATACGTAGGTAGGACACACAGAAGGCAGCCCTAGAGGATATTTAATTAATTAAATGTCGATCTCAGTATTTTCTGCTTCTCCTGGTTTTTACTTCTTTCTCAGAGCTACCATCGTGTCTCTGGAGAACTTCGAGCAGCGTCTGAACCAGGCCATCGAGAGGAATGCCTTCCTGGAGAGCGAGCTAGATGAGAAGGAGTCTCTTCTGGTTTCCGTGCAAAGATTAAAGGATGAAGCCAGAGGTGATTATTGACTAGAGCCACGGCTGTCAGTCACTGGCTGCACCTCCCCGCTTCCCCTTCCAAGATTTAAAATATCTGCTTTCCCACAGATCTGTAGGAATCTCTTTGTTCTGTGTCTTAAGCTGATCCTGGGAAGACCTACAAAACGTATCTTTTGGGGGTTTTTTTCCCGTAGATTTGCGGCAGGAGCTGGCCGTACGTGAGAGGCAGTCAGATGTAACCAGGATGTCCGCTCCAAGTTCGCCCACACAGGACAATGTGAAGATGGACACTGCAGTGCAGGCCTCTCTCTCTCTCCCTGCTACCCCACTGAGCAAAGATCTGGACAACACCTTTGCCAACCCAACAGGTAGCTGCAGCCTCTCTTCCCCTGAGAGGGCATTTATTTTACACTCATTATGCAAGTGATTTATAGGCAGCCATCCTCTTTTACTCTTACACGTCAGTCTATCACTGCTTTGAGATTTACACCGGTGGTGACTATGGTACACGTCATAGTATTTTATATGATAGGGTTAGGTGGTGTGATGTGATACTCACTGGTATCTTTTTATCCATAAAGCCCTTACTGCAAAATGATCATATAACCTTTCAGAATTGCTTTGTCACTCAGATAAGCTTTTTCAGACCCACTCGAAGAGTCTAGTCTGACAATGGGAAGACTGCTTTTAATTTTAGTGTACGTGACTCCTGGAACAAAACACAGCACCTCCTAAACATCAGTACTCTAGGAGGGGGGGAAAAGTAATATTAAAGAGGAGGAAAATATGCATTATATACAATTATGATATATATATCATAATTCAGTTTCAGGCACACAAGTGGATGGTTAAAAAAAGAAACTGATATATTTGGGCAACATTATTAAAAATGTACAGTATCCAACAGGTATTGGCACACCGCCTTCCTCAGGACATCTTGACACCCTGTATTTCATATTGTCTTAGACCATATGTATTTAAAGCTTTTCATTCTTAAAACAGCTATGAACAATATTATTACTACTATTACTACTGCCTGCGTGTGAATTTAGAGATAGTGATGAACTAACAGAGAATTATTACGTCTGCAGTTTATGTCTGCAGATAAAAAGTAACTAGTAGCTGATCTGGTGCAAAGCGTTGCTTCTATTTATTTGAAATGTGTGAGTATACATTATATGCACTATATAGTTTCCTCTAAGATGCCCACAATGGGGAAAAAAAATGTTCATGCATTCAATTTCAAAATATTATTTTACTGCTCACTATAGAGTAACCTACTGAATGTTGGCTAAGGAGTAGAAAATGAGTGCATGAGGGAGTGATTTCAGACAATAAAATTAAGCCTCTAAATGTAATTAAACACATCTTTGCATCGTCTTCTTTACTCTCCCCTTACAGTGCTATCAAATGGCTATAGCAGCAACTCCCCACTGACTCCCTCTGCCAGAATATCAGCCCTCAACATCGTCAGTGATTTACTCCGGAAAGTAGGGGTGAGTCATTCCTTCTGAGTTTTCCTAAGTCTCCCTTTCTCTTTCACTACATCACAAGCTTAATGTAGAAAGTCCCTGTCTTTCCACCGAGCAGCGTCATCTTTCTGTGTATGTCTCTGCACAGGCTCTGGAGTCGAAGCTTGCCGCTTGCAGGAACTTTGCCAAGGACCAGAGAGCCAGGAAGGCGTTCGCTCTCGACAACAGCAACGTGCTCAACGCAAACTACTCGCAATCACTCCATACATCATATTTTGACAAAGCGTGAGTGAAATCAAAACCCACCTGCCTTTGCTACATCTTCCATCTCTTAGTAATAAGTGAGGGATAATTAATGACAAGAATCCTGTCAGAGGATGCCTTAGGTGTGTTATAATGGTATATGATATGTATTGTGTCTGATGTAGTGGATGACTAAGGGGAATAAATGGAGGAGTATCTGAGACCTGTGTGCATTTTTTCCCAGCAGGACAGAGATTGTCACATTCCCTGCATTGATTCTGGGTAATCGCAGCTCCGCCGCCTGTTATCGGAGTGTATTGGGGCAAATGCATGCTGCTGATGATGTTAACAAGCCTCTTTTTCATGTAGAAATAACATAGAAATAACTCATGACTGTGGGCTACATGATTTCCTGGCCACTAATGATTTAAGGGTAGTGGTGGTGGTAGTAATGTAATGTTGCTGGAATTTTCCCACTGCCTTTTTAACTCTAAGCTGACCGAATAGATCTCCTTTATGTTTATGATGAAGCTCGAGTCGATCCATTCCTACTGTAGATATCAAATATATTATTTGATATTTTAAAAAGGCTCAGTACTTTCCTAAAACAGCTGGTCACTGTAGTTTTTACCAAACTCTACTATACTGGGGGCTATTTTCAGCTGAGGATTAATCCACATTTGGTGCTCTAGCGAGTATTTGGGGCAGTAGGACGTTGTATGAGTCAGAATAAACTACAGTGTGTGTTCATGGTGATGAATAAACATGTCACCAGTGCAGCATTGTGGCTCACTGATGTGTTTTTAATAGTCTTTGCACAACAATGGAGCTCTATGGCTCAGAGGAAGTAGGGATATGAGGCTGTGATACACACACAATACTTGTTAGTCAGATTGATTCGTTATTGGTTTTGCAGTTTCCATGGGATATTATTGACAGTAAGAAAAATCCTTTAGTCATATTTATTAGCAAAAGTGCTGTTGTGTCCAGTTTTTCTGCTGCATCACTCCCATCTGCTTGTGTTGCCGGTGGTGAGAACAGTGTGACAGTGTTTCTGCTAGAACTAAAGAGACAGCACATAGAGATGCGTACACAACAAGGACATTGTCCTTCTGATTTCAGAGCAGGGCGTTTGTTATGTACACCGTTCACCTTCAGCCAAAAGCATCTTGTCCTACTTACTGTAATAGAAGACAACATAACGATTCCCTGCTGAGAATAGGCCTGAGTGTTGAACCTTGATACTTTTTGAGAACTGACCAAATGTGTCCATAGTCTGAGGCTCAAGTATTGAAAAGGACAAGTTTAGGAACTTTTCTACCTTTTAGACTGAGAAGCAAAGCTCTTTATTTAACACTTATATATTTAACTGTTTGACATCTTTTCGTAGTTCATGAATTAGGTATCAGGAATAAAAAATTGCTTTGATATCGGTACGGAAGCTCATGGTGACTGGTATAGAAAATATGGAAACCATATCAGCTCTAGCTTGAGAATCTGCTTAAATAAGGTAAACAGCAAACTTTCAGTTTTTCTGAATGGTGCTTTCCAGAGTCATGACTCAGGCCTGAACCACAATACCGATCATCAAAGCCCAACTATTACCCACTAAAGAAACCAGTTTAACCAGCCCGTCAGCAACTCTGCAACTTCCTTCCCACTTTCTGCATTCAAGTTCCATTTTTAGCAACACATGCATAAAGTTTAAAGCAGGTCATCTCTGTCTAGTTACTGCAGTGTCCTCGAGTGTCAGTGTTACAGAAGAGAGGAACTGACAGTGACTGAAAATACTTCTGTCAAACTGGAGGATGAGGAGTTTATCTGACATTTCCAGCTTCCATCCTGCAGCTATGGAAGTCGAATTCTGCCAAGAAAAGAAAAAACAAGGTCATTTGGTAATTCCCCTGATCATTAAAATTAAGTTTTCTTTTTCTTTTTCTTTTTTTAAGAACCATTAAATAGATATATAAAAAATCCTACTTCATTAATTATTTACAATTTATTAACTAACAAAGTTGCATTCAACCCAAGAAAAAAATCATTTGTTATTTAAGTTACATCCAATTGTAGGATTAACTAAACCCTTTTAGTTGAGCTTAACGATTCATTGTTGACCTTGAAAATAGCAGCTTGAAACTTTTTTAATGTGTCAAAATTTGTCATTGATCACTAAGTAAACCAAACTGTTTACTACACAGTTTTACTTCTTAATAACACAAACTGCTTGTCTCACAGGAAGTTCACAAGCTGTTTTATAATCCTTGATTCTTTATAAAAAACATATAATGAGCGGGTACTGACTAACTATACCAAATTCACACTTTTTCTATTTTTCTATTATCAAATGACCATTAAATGTCCTACGAATTAACCCTACATACATTTCCAGAGAATTAACAGGAAAATAAAGGACCTGTAAAATAACATATCAGTAGGGACAAAAATAAAAGTATTCATGCTAAGTAAAAATGATGAGATAGTTAGTATGCCAACATCTTGACTTACTATTTCATCATTATGCCTAAAATTTGAATTATGCTTCTATTCAGATGCAGAAAAGTGTAACTGTAGGCAAACCTCCCAAATTTCTATTCTCTTTTTTTCCTTTTAAAGTTTGGAGCATACATTTCTGTCTTTTATATTTGTCAACTGGGGTGAAATTGATTTCTGTTTCCTGAGTTCTTTTACGTTTTCTTTTACATTGTGGTTTGCTAAATGTGACACTACTAAATGGACAACATTTACCACCCAATCCATACAGGATAAAGTGAAACACACACGAGAACGTGTCCGAAATCATCAACATTCACTTACAGAAGCATATGAAGCATTTATGCTGTCTGCAGAAGCATATTTCCAGTTTTTGTGCCATAATTCTTTTTTTTAAACTTATCTCATAATGTTTCCTTAAAGTACAAAACGTACAGTATCTCTTAATTCTGACTTACCATGAGTATTTTTTTTATTTTTATTTCTGTTTATTAAAGATCCAATAAGATACCATTTTGAATACATTTTTAAATGATACATCTGTTTTGTTCTTTTCGTGGCAGAAATGGGCTTCCGTACTTATCGGCTTGTTTCTAATACAATTTATGTCAGGGGCCAGTAGTGGGTTAATTAGTGTATAAATGTAGAGTACATCACTGCTCGGTTGCAGACCTTTCTGGTTTAATGCAACTCTTTTTTGTTTTTTGCAGCAGGACCGTGAACGGACTAAAACCGGGTACCCTGACAGCTATCACCGCCCCTCCTGCTGCCTCCTCCACAGGCTTAGTGCCCCTTGCTGTGTGACGTTAACACCCCCCTCCCCACCCCCCCATCTCAAACCTAACCCAAACCGTCCTGAAGGCTCCAGACAAAGAGGGATCACAAATGGCTACTGTAAACCTCGTCTTGTCACTCTCTCTGTTGTTCTGGCACTTGTGCTTCGTTCCTGCTGTAATTATGAGTCCCTGTCTGTATATTTCACGTGTTTCTGTATCTGCTGTTTGCTCGCTGGCTTGTACAAAGATGGTGCCCCATCTACTCTTGACATATTTAAAGATTCCTCAAAGAACTCTGCACCCTGATTTGTGCAATGTGTGCATCAAATAATCTAAAAAGGGAAATATTATGCAATTAAAATGTCGTTAGCTGGACATTTTAATGTCACTACTTTAACTAGCAATAACTTAAATTAATGTGACAGTTAAGTGCACTCACATCCAGTGCTGAAACCATGAATGAAAAATAACTTTAATGGGTGTGCAGATGTCCCGGATAATTGCTTGCCACATGGCCAATGTCTCTGTCAATTATTGTTGATGTTTAAAAATGTCCAACATGTGAGCCTCACAGGCAGATGTTTTAAATACTATCTCTGGAAGGATTCACGTGGTTTTTGGCTTTTAACTGTTATCTCGTGACCCTTGCTTTTTTTTGCATTTGGTTTTCAAAGATGTTTTTAAGACAGGGCAGGGGAGTCTTTGTGTCTGTAGTAAGTCGAACACACCATCTGTCCTCTGAACTATGTGACATGATGTGTACAGTATTGGTCATATTGATCGTTATTTATAGACGGCCATTTAAGAGGTGCTGTCGTAGTGTTCACACCAGTTAACCAGGATTCTGTAGTCGAAGTGTTTTGCTTTTTTGATTTAACACATTTTCAGTACTGTACACGATGAGTGAGTCAAGCACTTTGACCTCTTGTGAACTTAACTTTCTTTCATTTTCAAAGTGCAATATTGCCTGTTTTGTTTTAGTTTTTGGGTTTAATTTAATTCAGTTTTCTTTTACAGCACGTTTTAATAAAATATGTAATTATACTCCATCTATTAACATTTGCTGTGTTTCAATCAGTTCGTACCGTGGAGGAAATTAGGGCAGTTATTTTCAGCTAGAGCAGCAACGATAAGTCAATTTATCGATTAGCTGAATCTAATCTGCAGCTATTTTGATAATTGATTAATCGTTCTAGTGATATCATTGTCTGATTCAAGCTGAATATTTGCTGGTTGTCTCTGTTTTATCGCTGTATATCTGAGAATCTTTTGACTTTCAAATTTGAAGACATCACATTTGGCTCTGACATATTTTTTTCCTTTTCTCAGTTTTTGGACATTTCTCAGAGCAAAAGCTTTATGGTGAAAATAATCAGCAGATTATTCGATGTTGAAAAGGACCATTAATTGCAATTTTCAATTCATGTGTTGATTATTTAAATATAGAAAAGCAGAAAATCCTCAAATTTGCTAAGGTTGAAGCAGCAAATTTTTTTTTCTTTATAAATTACTGTTCTTTTGTTGTTACTTGACTGAGCGATTGATTGTGTTTCATTACTAAAGGAAATTAATCATGGTTTGAGGTTTTGAGAATGAATACTGACCCTGTGTCAGACTGCCAGATATTTACAATATACGTTTACTTAACTGTACTTGAGCTACTTTACTTAAGTATTGTTACTTCTACGCTACTACATCAGAGAGAAATGTTTTACTTACTTACTGTAAGGGATTAGACAACTATAGCAAGTTTCACATGTCTGCCATGTGATATGTCAAGTAAATGTTTAATTTATATAGGTCAATATCACAAATTTGTGGTGATCATAATGGTAATGAATTAGAAACCAGCCAAAGAGGAAAAACTCATGTGAAAATCTAAAACACTACAGCCGGCATTTAAAATTGGTCAGAAAACATGTAAAGCAAGCATGATGCATAGTTCAGGAGCTCAAAACACCCAGTGTTATCATCACTGCCCCCTGCTGGAAAAATGAACAAGAAAAAAGCAGTTTTTTTAAAATTCTCACTTTTGTTATTTAATCATGAATTGTCATATCTCAAGGCAGACACAAAATATTAAATTACATTTCCTGTTCATGTGTGGGAATTTTAACAAACCTCCATCGATGCTGCACAGTTTGGCTTCTTGCACGACATACGTCTCTGGTACAGAAATCTTCACTTGTATTTACTTGAAACTCACATGTAAGGATTACTTAAATTAATCCATTAGTGAAACAAGGCCTGAGGGAAATTATTCAAAAGCCTTGCTTTAACAAGGTCACTTTCAAACAAGTGGTTTGGTATCAACAGTAGGATATATTGTCCACATCTGTAGACGTGCTCAACATTATAGTCTATAGATTTCGTGTGGCACAACAGTGAGTCAGACACTGTTCAGAGCTGCTGTGGTGTTCAACTGCTCCCTCCTTTCTTCTTCTCTGCCGCCTCATCTATCTGCCTCTGCCTCCTCTCCATGATCTCCATCCTCTTGGCATCGTTGCGTGCTCGCTCCTGGGCCCTGAGCTCATCCACGTCCTCCAAAAACCTGTGCCTGCACCGAGGAGGAAGTATTATATCGATGAATGACGGAGGAATTCACAATTAGACAGCACTGGAAGAATTCACTATGAATGCTGTATTTCAAATTAGAGAAGGGTTTTAACATATCTCATATCCACCCCGTCATACCACTTTTTCCAAAAGTGAACAACATTGATAACATATGCATGTGCGATCGATAGAAAGTGATTCTGCAACTATTTTGTTTTGGTAACTTTTCAAGCAAAAATGCCAAATTTTTTCTCTTTCTTCCCCCTTAAATAATATACACTGCTCAAAAAATAAAGGGAACACTTAAACAACACAATGTAACTCCAAGTCAATCACACACGAAATCAAACTGTCCAGTTTTGAACGCTGGCGGTGCTTTCACTCTAGTGGTAGCATGAGACGGAGTCTACAACCCACACAAGTGGCTCAGGTAGCGCAGCTCATCCAGGATGGCACATCAATGCGAGCTGTGGCAAGAAGGTTTGTCTGTCAGCGTAGTGTCCAGAGCATGGAGGCGCTACCAGGAGACAGGCCAGTACATCAGGAGACGTGAAGGAGGCCGTAGGAGGGCAACAACCCAGCAGCAGGACCGCTACCTCCGACTTTGTGCCAGGAGGAGCAGGAGGAGCACTGCCAGAGCCCTGCAAAATGACCTCCAGCAGGCCACAAATGTGCATGTGTCTGCTCAAACGGTCAGAAACAGACTCCACGAGGGTGGTATGAGGGCCCGACGTCCACAGGTGGGGGTTGTGCTTACAGCCCAACACCGTGCAGGACGTTTGGCATTTGCCAGAGAACACCAAAATTGGCAAATTCGCCACTGGCGCCCTGTGCTCTTCACAGATGACAGCAGGTTCACACTGAGCACGTGACAGACGTGACAGAGTCTGGAGACGCCGTGGAGAACGTTCTGCTGCCTGCAACATCCTCCAGCATGACCGGTTTGGCGGTGGGTCAGTAATGTTGTGGGGTGGCATTTCTTTGGGGGGCCGCACAGCCCTCCATGTGCTTGCCAGAGGTAGCCTGACTGCCATTAGGTACCGAGATGAGATCCTCAGACCCCTTGTGAGACCATATGCTGGTGCGGTCGGCCCTGGGTTCCTCCTAATGCAAGACAATGCTAGACCTCATGTGGCTGGAGTGTGTCAGCATTTCCTGCAAGAGGAAGGCATTGATGCTATGGACCGGCCCGCCCGTTCCCCAGACCTGAATCCAATTGAGCACATCTGGGACATCATGTCTCGCTCCATCCACCAACGCCACGTTGCACCACAGACTGTCCAGGAGTTGGCTGCTTTAGTCCAGGTCTGGGAGGAGATCCCTCAGGAGACCATCCGCCACCTCATCAGGAGCATGCCCAGGCGTTGTAGGGAGGTCATACAGGCACGTGGAGGCCACACACACTACTGAGCCTCATTTTGACTTGTTTTAAGGACGTTACATGAAAGTTGGATTGGCCTGTAGTGTGGTTTTCCACTTTGATTTTGAGTGTGACTCCAAATCCAGACCTCCATGGGTTGATAAATGTGATTTCCATTGATAATTTGTGTTTGATTTTGTTGTCAGCACATTCAACTATGTAAAGAAAGGCGTATTTAATGAGATTATTTCATTCATTCAGATCTAAGATGTGTTATTTTAGTGTTCCCTTTATTTTTTTGAGCAGTGTATTTCGGTTTGGGACTGTTTGTCGGCCCAAACAGGGCATTTTTATGTCATTTTTGTCTCGGTTAAAAGTGATTTTTCAATATTTTCTGACATTTTAAAGTCCAAAGTTGATCTAGTCAGACTAATTGATAATAAAAATAATTGATAGTTGCAGTCCTAATATGAACATTTTAGAGCCAGAATCAGTTATGCATTTATTTGACGATTGCTTTTTATCAACGTAATTTTGTAAAGATGTGCATGACTTTATTTGTGATAACACTGGACATTCTGTTGTAAAGATATTACAACTAAAGGCTCACTGCGCCGATGATTCATCTGAAGATCAGTTTACTCGTTAGGAGGAGTCCTACACAGCTTATGGACAGTTTAATGTGGCTCCGTCAGAGAAAATAACCCCAGTGATTTCATCCGGATCGTCTTGGCTTTGGTTTGCAGACTACTAATTTTTATCGACAACCCTGCATAACAAAAAGAGAGTGGGTGCTGAGTCACAGAAAGTTCATTTTGTCCATTTTTGAAAGGAAAACCTGTCCCCAAACTTTATCCAAGCACAATACCAGGAAGAATCTAGTTATTGGACACATTTCACATACAAAAAAGCAGTCCTAATACGAAATACGAGCCAGAATCAGACATTTTCTTTAAAAGTCCCTATTAATTAAACATATCTATTCTAAAATCTATAATTACCATAGTTTTAATTTGAAATTATCTTGATTTTTTTAAGTTTATTAGCTAAAACTAATGAGGTCTGAAACAATAGTCCTGCAATAAATCATCCTGTCATGAAGTTTATAATGTTCAGCTTTTATAGAAACTGATTTAGAGGCACTGATTCATATATTTGGTCATTTTGGAGGTTTAATAATCTAATAAACTGGAAACTGAGCGTAGTTTTACATACACTCTTCATTTTTTGGAGTGATATTGGTAAGTACAATAATGCACATTGTACGTAGCTCCAGAATGATGTCTGTATGTTTGTATTTAATTAAAAAACCTATTTAATAAGGGGGATGACAGCAGACGGCAGACACACACACACACACACACACACACACACTGTAGAGGATCAAGGTGCATCTGCAAGGTCTTATCTTGAAGGTGTCGCTTTTAATGGCATGCACTTTTCCAAATGAAAGTTTAAGCAAGCAAACATACACAACATGCAATAAATAACTCACCTGTTGAAGAAAACAGTGGCCAGTCCGACAACGAGTGTCCCAAACAAGATTGGTTTCGTGCGACGTTTTGCAGCGGACAGCTGGTGTTGCTTCATTATGACGGTAGCTGCAGTCCAGTCCGGTGGCTGCAGGAAGGAATATAAACAGAAAGGTAGCTACATTGGTTTTCTATCTGACCTTTAACGCGACCATTAGATAATCGTTACACACCTCCTTCTTCTTGTCGTGCTGTTACTCACGCACCACGACTTCCGTTTCCCAAGATGTACCAAAATCACCCCAAAAAACATTGTGGTAGAATTTTAACCGCTCACGTTGAACACGTATGATGCTTAAATATGTACACATATGTCTTGCAGATTTGCAGTGATGTAAAAGTACAAGTTATTTTAAAAACCGATAATGTTTAGGCGGAACCTCAACGCTCTTACAGCGCCGCTGCACGGACACATTTCAGCGACGGAAGGTGTTTGCAGAAGCAGCTTCGGTTTGTTTTGTTTGTTTAATCGTCGTTTATTTTAAATATATTCAGAGTTAACAGTAAAGATGTGGAGGAAAAGCTCGTCTGAGGGCTCTGACCGGTTTGAATATCTACAAACTCTGGTCACTGAATTTCAGGACACCGACAGCGAAGGTGGGTCCAGTTAGTTTGTTTTGATCCAGTTCCCTAAATAAACACAGTCCCTGAAACAAACCCGGAGTGTCTTAAGATAGTGTTGCATTTTCACCCAGAATATAATCAACACGAACATCCAAGGGTTTGTAATGTATTTAAACACTAACGTCAGACTCAAGTTCATGTGTGATTGATTATAAGTTACCTCTATTACTTAATTAATAGACTTAACAGTTTTATTTCAATTATGCATTCGTTCCTGAAGGAGAGGCTGTTTAAAGGTGACAGGTTTGTTCATTTAAAGTGGGTTTTATTTACCAGCAGCTTTCTTAAAAACTGTTAAGAGGGCCTTCACGTGATTTAGTGTGTGGGGGGGGGGGGCACATAGTGCAGTAGAGACAGACCGATTAATCAGGCCGATATAAAATGTGCATCGACCGATATCTGCACTCACAAGGCCGATATATGATCCTAAAGGACAGCTAATCTAATCTCACACCAGTACTGGCTAGTAGGGCGATGTGGCAACATTTTTATCACGATAAAATATTTCATATCGTTCGATATCAAAAAAATATTAGGATTCAAATGAAATAAATCCAACATTTGTTGAAATTTATACAATTTATATATTTATTGTTTTATTGCCCAGCCCTACTGGCTAGCGTTAAATACATATGGTTGCTATAGAGAATAATGCAGTTGCATGAAGTCACTTTTGACAAACTGTACCCCGCTCTCCCTTAAACCGCAGTCGCGTTCTGAAATCTACAATAATTAATAGAAATTCAATCTAAAACAACAGATTACTGGCTCAGATAACATGTATATTAAATTGTACTCTGCATGAATAATGGAATTACACATCAGTTTTCTTTGTTTTGATATTGCCATTTTATATCCTGCTCTGTAAATCAGCCATGGAAAACCCCATATCGGTCGGCCACTATAGTGCAATACATGAAACGATACAATAGAAAAAAACATTTTAATAATAATTTTACAATGGGGAACCGTGAAGCATGTTAACAAGAGACTTTCAGTTTGTTTTCATAACATATTTGTTTACACTGATTTTGACCATATACCAGTTACCATTATCGACGTGTTAAAAAAATTGTTAATGCTCTTTAACGGTACACACACAGCATAAATAAACACAACAAATTGTTTTTTTTTGCAGCTGAAAAATAAGTATTTTTCAGAGTCAGTGCTCTCTGGTGGACAAAATATGTAATGGTCTCTGTATCTAAATGACCTCAAACATGTCTTTTGCATTTCTGTTCTGCAGCCGCTTGTTACATATCGGCCAACATATATTGATACCAACATGTTTGTTATAAGTTGATATTCAAATGTTACATAATTAATTCCATTTTTATGTTGCCTACACACCTCATTTCACTACACCAGAGGCAAAGGAGCAGGTGCTGGCTAACCTGGCCAACTTTGCGTACGACCCAAAGAACATGGAGTATCTGAGGGAGCTGCAAGTGACCGACCTCTTCTTGGACATGCTCACTGAGGAGAATGAGAACTTTGTGGAGTTTGGGATGGGTGAGTATCACACCAACAACCATTGTTTTTACATCAAATGCTGTCTCCTAATCTAAAAACATAATTGTTCTCAGGGGGGCTGTGTAACCTGAGTATGGACCCTGAATGCAGAGACAACATCCTACAGAGCAGCGGGATCAGTTTAGTCACAAACTGTCTGTCAAGCCGGAGGGAAGAGACCGTCCTGTCAGCCATCACTATACTAATGAACCTCACAACGACCTCATCGCGCTCTGCGATCACTGACCCGGCCATAGTGCAGTGCATGCTGCGCTTCTCCCTCTCTGAGAGCCCCCGCCTGCGCAACCTGGCCGCTGTGTTCCTGCAGGACTACTGCACCGAGGAGCAGGTGGCCCGAGCGGAGCAGCAGATGCAGGGACAGCAGACCGCAGTCGGTATCCCGCTGCCCGAGGACTAAGTTACAGCTGAGGTGTCCATGTGAGATAAGTTTTCTCTCTATGAGAGAGACATATTTAGAAATATTTAACACTATACGACCAACAATATATGATATTGTTGAACACCACACTCCACAACCTTGGCCGTTAATCTGCTGCAATAAGAGCCTCAACTCTTCTTGTTTCAGTCTTTCCACCAGATGTTGAACCTGGCTGCAGGGATTTGCTCCCTTTTAGCCACATTAGTGAGGTCCAACCCTCACAGTCGGTGTTTCACTTCATTCTAAAGGTGTTTGATCGGGTTGAGCTCTGTGCAGGCCAGTCAAGTTCTTCCACACTAAACTGTGAAAACCGTTTCTTTATGGAGCTGGATCTGAGCACGGGGGCATTGTCATGATGAAACAGGAAAGGGACAAATGCAAAATGTTGCCACAAGGTTGGAAGTGATATTTTTATTCTCTAAAATATCACAGCAGAATTAAGATTTCACATTCAACAAGAAGTGTTCATTCCTTTGCCTTTTGAAGTGATTTCCTAAAGCCTGGTGAAGATGCTGGAGCATGTCAAAGCCAACTGTTTGACTCCTGCACTCTATAAAACTCCCATGTCCTGAAACATTAATCCAAACCCCAAATATGTAAAATAAAAAATCCTAAATAAACCTCGAGTTTCCTCCGTAAGAGCCAGGGGCCCTGTTTGTTTTCTTCTGGGCTCTTAAGAGCTATTTCTGGGCCTTCAGGTCTAGACAGAAGACGACATCTGATCCTGCAGCCCAGCGTCAGTTGGACACATGCACATGTAGCTGACTCCAGAGGAAATTCTTTACAGCTTTCAGTGTCTGTGACACTCGCTCATTTTAAACTCTACAAAGTTCTCATTTTCAGTCGGTGTGTGTGGAAGTGTGTGTTTCTGAATGGCATTCCAAGGGCTTAAGAGGCGTGCACCTGCCGCCGAGATCAATAAAAATACCTTCATTCTTCCCGTAATAAGAGAAACACCCATGCCTGGTTTTAATAATGTGGTAAAATATTTATTTCAAGTTGATGTAAAAAAGGAATGAGTGAACCTGAGTGGTTCAACATCTATAACAAGACTGACCATCAGTTTACTGTACAGTGGCTCAACGAGACAGCCGCTTAGTTACGGATCGTTCTGCATCTTTTGGGTTCAAGTTTCTATTATCTATATTATTAAGCAGTAGGTTGAGGCTGGTGTTGTTCTTTATTTCATAGACAAATCCCATAAAAAGACCAAAACCAACAATACTTTTCCAATTTCCCTACCCTATGTGTGACTCTCTACTCCAAACCCACTGGTGCCTAGTGAAGATATAAATCTTAAAAATAGTTGTCACAGGCTCATTTACTTACTTAAAAATATAGTGATTGTAGTTTTAGTAGAGCTGCAACTATCGATTATTTTGCTTGCTCTACAAAATGGTGACAAATGTTGATCAGTGTCTCCCAAAGACCAAGATGACGTCCTCAAATGTTCACAACCCAAAGATTATTTAGTTTACTGTCCTAGAGGATTAAAGAAACCAGAAAACATTGAAGAAGCTGAAATCAAATAATTTTCCTTAAAACAAAATGACACAAACGGATTAATGAAAATAGTTGCCAATTAATTTAATAGCTGACAAATAATCAATTATTCGATTAGTCATTGCAGCTCTAGTAATTGATGGTAGTGGTTTCATGGTAATGAAGGAACATGTCATTAAGTGCAACGGTGTCTTTTTGGAGGATTTGTTGACAGTAAGAAAAATTTACAATATGCCTTTAACTGTTGGTTACAGGAGGATAAACTCAAACATTTGGCTCAGCATGTGGCTTCATACCCAGTGATCACACATCGACTCACTCTTAAGTTTTAAGATGTTCTGATATCTGGGTAATGTAATCTCCATTGGTGTTTGTGGCACACGATAAACAGTCATTGAATTCTCTCCGTACACGAGCAAGCCTTCTCATTTTCCCTTCTTCAGTCCCAGCTGCTTCTCAGCAACATCGCGTAGTTTGTGTTTCTGGATCTGAGAAGAGAAAGAAAAACAGAAAGTTGTTTCTCTGTTGTGACTTGTACTGAAGAAAACGGCAACTAGACATAACAATTTAGCAATCAAGACTTTTGAGAATGAACAGCTGTTCTGAAACTAAAAATATTATGTTAGGGTTGAACTATATGACAGTGAATGCTGTGAGACAGGGTACTGTTTTTTTTTGTTTTTGTTTTTTTTTTGTACAGATTATGCGATGTGTTGATTAATGAACAGAGCAGAGCTGTTCACCCACAATTTCAGTCTTGCATGCTAAGCTAAGATAATATGCTGGTAGCTGTAGCTTCATATTTCCTCTACAGACATAAAGGTAGTGTCAATCTTTTTATCTAAACCTGTGTTGTAATTTATCACAGGCTGTTACAGCAGCTATTAACTGTAGATCTGTTAGTTTAGTCTGCACGCATGCCGTCTTAATGACTTTGGTAAATAAACCTTATTTGTCTGTCATTTATAGGAACATGAGCTCTGCTGAAAACACCAGGATTTGGGAAATTACCTTTCCGGTAACAGTGAGCGGGTAGCTGGTGACAAAAAGTACGTAGCGAGGAATCTTGAAGTGAGCGATCTGAAAGGAGCAGATGAAGAGGGAGACACTGAGCAGAGTCGTTCAAACTGTTTGACAGGAAGATGAAGTTCAAAATAATTCCATGCTCATTATTTTAATGTCAAAAAGAGAATTGTGCCTCACCTGCCCCTTGCAGTAAGCCTTGATTTCTTCTGCAGTGCAGTCCTGCCCGTCTACCAGTTTGATACAGGCGCAGACCTCTTCACCCATACGGACATCCTCGACTCCCACCACCTGACAAATACAAAGACCTGTTGCTCTGCAGCAAAAAAGTAGCCTCACTGGATTTAACGTAGGGCTGGGCAATCAAACAATAATGATAATTATCAAAATATAATTTTCCTCAATAACAATATAACAAATGTTCAATATATCGTCAATAAATGTTGATTTATTTAATTTGAATAAATTTTTAATTTTCATTTTTCTATTAAGATATTTATTTTGCTGAGGAAAAGGGACTGAAAAAATATTTACTAATCATATTTATCATAATTGTTTTGAAGGTTCTACCTCAGATTTGTGAAGTGATCCACTGTTTGTGACATTCTGACCATAAAGAAAAGTTTAACCACACAATTAACCATTTGGTTTCTTAAATTTTTACTCAGGAGCAAAAATCAGCCTTTAAACTTGAAAGAAATAATTATTTGACATCTATCGAGATAATTATCAATATCGAACGGTATATTTGTTTTTGATCGTGATAACATTTTTGGCCCCATCGCCCAGCCCTAATTTAATGTATTGTTTGATGCAACACATACATCTCAAAATCTCCCTCATTGAAAAAAATCTGTCAATATGCAAATATTGCTCATTTCAAAAGGTTTTCTACTATTTGACTGAATGGTCCATTTCCAATAAATACAAATCCTGTATTTCAGTTACATGAAGGGCTCAAAACCAAACTACGCACAAAAAGTAAGGGAATTTATGTCTGGTAGAGTTTTTCTTTGTTGTAACAATGCCAAACAGCTTTTCTTGGCTCTTGACTCTTATTTGGTGGTGTTTGGTGGATTGGATGTTTGAAGTCTCAAGAAACAATTTATTCATTCATTCAAACATGAGTGTCAGTAGCGTGCGGAAGAACACCGCTGCAACAGCCTGGCACCTCTTCCTCGTGCTGGTCACGCACCGCTGTGAGATGGCATCCCATTCTTCAGCCAGCATATGCTGCAAGTCGGCTCACCTGTGCCTCCATGACTTTGGGGTGTGTGTGCAGGAACTGTTCAATCTCAGCCGGGTAAACGTTCTCTCCACCTCTGATGATCATGTCTTTAATCCTGCCCTCGATTCGGCAGTAGCCGTACGCATCAATGCTGCCAATGTCTCTGCGGGAAACAGGAAAACACTTGAACATCGGCAACTGTAATAATAATAAAAAATAATTTTGTTAACTGTGTTTCCTGTACATAACTGCGGGTCCTCTCACATGGAGGTCGCCATGTTTCTACAGTAGCTCCGATCACCCCACTAAACTTTTACAGCCCTGGTAGTATATGTATGTAATGTTGGTTGGATTGTAATTTCATGTAGGCCTAGTTATTCTCCAGTGCTGTGTGTGTGTTATGGCTTTGCTACGTGGACAGAAATGTGTGTTAAGTTCACGACACAAACAGCTGATAAATATTATTCGCAATAAAACTGTAGAGCATGGAAGTTCAGACCAGCCAGCTAAACGTCACATTTTACTGCCTTGGTGGAAAAAAAATGTATTTATTTTTACTGCTATTGGCGTTACGCTAACAAGAGAGTGTGCCTATCAAGTGACCAAAAATGCTTACTTTCAGAATTTGCATTAAGAATAAAACATATTTGTTTGTAGGCTGTGTAACTATTGTGTAATTTGATAAATAACAGGGTAAAATTATGGCTACAAGTACTACTTTGTGTTTCTATTGTATGTCAAAAAAGAAAAGAAAATTTAAAAAGACATAGGGGGTGTGGAGGGTGAGCAATCCGTTGCAATTCACAACCATCACCACTAGATGTCCCTAAAACTTACACACTTAACCTTTGAGTTCAAAGTTCAGGATCACAATATGTAATGCTTTGTGCGGCGTACATACTAGCAGGCCACTCACCCAGTTTTGTACCAGCCTTCTTTAGTGATGCACTCTTGTGTTTTGGCCGGATCCCCCCAGTACTCCAACATCACACAGTAGCCTCTGATCATGATCTCCCCCATCATCCCCAGAGGGAGCACTTCCCCTGTTGTAGGGTTCACTATTTTAGCCTGTGGAGCAGTCGATTCATATTTTAAAATGACACAAAGATGATTAACTAAACAAAATCAGTGTTTTGTAAAACATATAATTCTGTTCAGGGCTGAACAATAATTAAATTTCTGTTTCAATATATACATTTGACATATTTAAAAATAAATGAAGACCTAATAACATAGCCACTGAATTTATAAAGTAATTTTGAAAAAGTACTTTATATTAATTTCAGCCATATTTCCATATCAGACTCCAGTGCCATTAAGATTTGTTTATTAAAAAAATACTGTACTAAAGATGGTGATGTTAAACCATATCTTAATGAAATGTCTTAATTAATGTTGAAGTACCTCTAAGTGGTCCATGATGAAGCCGATGGTCTCCGACTTCCTCTCCAGGTTGTCTGTCGGGGACGCACAGAACGTCACGGGGCTGTTCTCTGTGGTGCCGTATATAATCTGTCAAACACATAAACAGCATGTTATGAGCAGAGAGAGGGATGTTCAGATTATTAGTACAAAATATATCAACTTCTAATACATAATGTATTATTACAGGTACGCTGGCCATCAGTATATAAATAAATTAGAATAAGCTCCATTTTTGCCAGCAGCAGTGTTAAAGTAATGTGTACATTAATGCATCACTAATTACAATCCAGTATATAAATGAATGTGGTGGCCTCCATGTCTTTGTGAGCAAAGTTAACTGATTATTAATAAATGATCAATACTAAGACACTTAATAACAAAAATTAATACCTAATAGATTAATTAATTATGTGTTATTGTTATTATTATCATGCTTTTCTGGAAACAGGAGCTCCACAAAAATACTAACATGTTTTTTTTTATTCATTATTTTTAATTTTAAAGTCTAAAAAATTTGTGATAAACGTCTCAAGTTCCAGGGGCCCATGGTGACGTCTTGAAATGTTTTCTCTGAATAGCAGTCCAAAACGCAAAGATATTTAATTTACAGTGATATAAAACTGAAAAAAGTAGAAAATACTGATTTTGGCGAAGCTGAAACCTCCAAATATTTGCCATTATTGCTTGAAAAATCACAGTTAATCAATGTATCAGAACAGTTGCTGATTGAATTTCTGACCATCGACTATACTTTATACTCGACATCGAGTATAAAGTCTCCCAAAACAGAAATATTTATTTGTTCACGACATTTCAGAACCTTTTCCTTTACTACATTTATCTGATAGCTGGAGTTACTTTGCTGATTCAGATTTTCCAGTCAGCAAGATGCAAGGTCATAAATATAACTTTCTGAGGAGAAAAGAGACAGAAAGATAAAATATACTGTGGTGCTCACAGGTGAAGATTCAATCAGAG